TTCCCCTCCTTATAAAAATAAAATTCTTTAAAGAGGGGAGGGATTTATTTTCTCTTGTAAGGAGAGCTTTTCCAAATAAAGGATCGAAATTTCGAATCTGATCTTTTCAGGGCTATTCGAACTTTCGATTTCCGGATTTTAAACGGCATTGATCATTAGCTGCAAAGCGCTTTGTAGTGAAAGGCTAGCTAGCCTGTAGTGGGACGAGTTGGGTATTTTTAGACTATTGGGCATTTTGGGATGGGACGAATTGGAAAATTAAGCGTGATGCGCTAACGTGAATGCGCTATCTTTCCGATAGATTTTATTTGCCAATAAATAATTATTTACATATAAAGGACATTTAAAATAGATCTTTTTAAGAAATAGGATACAAAATTAAATTTAATGGCAAAAATAAAGGCAATGATGAAAGGCAAAATTTATTAAATAAATTTAATTTTTAAATTTTTTACCGTAATCCTAACTTACTTTAAGACCAGAGGATTTTTGTAGTGAGGATTATAAGAGAGTAAAGAGTATTAGGTATATCCATTAAGGCATATAGGGAAGAGAGAGCAAAGTTTAAGCTGCTTGCTTGAATAAATTACCGTATTGTCTCTAATAGAAGCCCATCTCCAATAGAAGCCCATGCCCTAATAGAAGCCCACCCAATGAGGGGTATTGAAAAATAGAGGCCCAGGGCTTGTATTAGAGACAATACGGTATATAGATTATTTTGAAATAGGCTTATTTGAAAGCCCTTGAATTCTAAAATTCAATATTTAGAGGATTTTTTTTAGGATTTTTCCTAACATTTTTTTCCTACGTTAGTAATGTCAGTCACATTCGCCAAGAAAGGTTCCCTCAGCTTTTGAATTTAAATTTTAAGGACATTTAGATTTGATGATTTTTAACAAAATTTGAAGCATTGAGTGGTTAAAACAAATGGATATAATTTTTCATTTAAGTCATATTTTTTGATTTTAGTGTCATTCTACTCAGCTCGAAGAGCTTTCCTAAGAAAGATAACTTTAAGACGATTAATTGTTTTGCTGTTTGTTTTTTTTTGTAGAAAGTAGTGATGCTCGGGAATGAGAATTTACCGAGCATTCAAAAACCCGTTAAATTTCTCGATTCTAAAATCGAGAATCTTAAGCATCCCTAGCAGAAAGCTCTTCAAATTAAACTTTAAAAATTTAGAATAATTTTTTGAATTTATTTGTCATGAAAAAGAATTTCAAAAAAGTTGTTTATTAAACATTATTTTAATTTTTGATAAACACTTAACATCAATTTCCTATAATTTTGTATCTTTTTTCGAATTCGGCCTTTTCCCATCCATAGTTTGGGTGGTCACATATCTCCATTTGGTCAAATCCTTTTTTCATACACTCATCCTAAAAATTAAAAATGAGTGGCTCTTGTCCAGTTTATGCGTCCCATGGAGATTTACGCGTCCCATGACGATTTGTGCGTCCCATGACGATTTATGCGTCCTATGAAATTAATTTATAAAATTTGAACAAATATTGGTCCCATGGATGGGGGAAGTTCGACTGGGGAAGTTGTTCCAGGGCTCGGAAAATTTGTTCCAACATTTGAGAACAAATTGTGATTTTGTTCCAAGAAATGCGAGAACAGGAAGTCTGTTCCGACAAACAGGAGAGTGTTGCAAGAGCGGGGGAAGTTGTTCACAGACCAGGAAATGTTGTTAAACTAACTGGGTTTGTTCCATAAGGGCTTTGGTAAAGTTGTTCCTCATCACCCTTGTTTAACATTATCAGAAATTGAATAAATTTTTGTCGCGGTACCTTGGGCGGCGGTACCTTGGCATGCTCCCGGTCCCATCACGATTTATGTTCTTCCATTGTTATCTTTTAATTTTCTAATATTTTTTTAAATTTTTTCAATTCATTTCATGGGACGCATAAAATTTTTATGGGACGCATAAATCGTGATGGGACGCATAAATCTCCATGGGACGCGTAAATCTCCATGGGACGCATAAACTGGACGCCAAATGAGTTTTTGAGAGTAGACATTTAAAGGGCTTTTAGTGTTCTCGATGTGTTTCTGCTCTTAAAAATTTTCTTTACGAATCTTTACGAATGTCAAAATGAGTATAGGACTTATGCGTACGGACATTTGTGGACAATACGACAAAAATTGAAATATGCCTGATATAATCTTTCAGATTTTTAGGTCTAATTGGGTCTAAACCTGCACGAAATGTTTCATTTCAATTTCGTCTTGTTTCGTTTTACGTGAAAAATTTTTTCGAGTTTCGTGTAGATCTTAAAAAAATTACCTCGCTCTCCTTTTGGGCACAATAATATTTATTTTTATTATTTTCCACACAACTACGAGTTGAATAGAAATTAACATATTTACTACCAGTCTCCTTTTCAAACCATTCTACATAATCTGGAGCATTAAATAATAAATCCATCAAATCAATAAAATTTTGTTGAGTCTTAGGATTCCGCATGGAAAGAGTTGGTTTGTAATCCTTAATCCACTCGTCCTCAAATTTAAAATCATGGGCGCAGCACTAAAATGAAAAGAAATTAGATATTTTTTGACGATAAATTACCTCCTTTCTAGAAAGCCTCCTTTTTAACTTTGCTGCTTCTAACTTGTCTTATACTTAAAATGTGTGAGGGAAAGAATGATATGCTGTAACTCAAATAGCGGTGGGGGCATGATAAGAACAAAGTACCCTTAGTCTAATATACAGACAGTAATCTATCTTTATACCCATAAAGATACCATTATTAGAATAACTAAAAAAACTGTGGCGTCTAAAGCATTCGTTAATCCGACAGTATCATAGTTTATGACAACAGATATATTCCCTTCTATAAATTTAATTCCATACTTCCTTTTTCTTATTCAATATGTAGCAGTTTGTTCGAAATAAAACATAATACCAAATATTCTTAGCACTTTCGAAAGGTACAGCCACCTCTTTCTTGAAAATTCCATTAGTGACTACAACATCCAAGAAAATATAATACTAAAATTGAGTGTGGATTCAAAGATTTTTTAGATGTACGAGGTTGTTTGATTCAAGCCTGGGATCAAACAGCAATAATAAAGCCTGAGAAAAAAGTCTTAGGCTTTTGCTACAGAAGCCTGAGACCATATATGTTTTTGATTTAGTAACTAGAAGCGAATTTGAGGACCGGTTGGGTTGTACGATCAATATATTTCGAAATTCTTTATCTTGATAACCTAGAATTCTGAACAATTCCCATCTCTGTCCGATTTCTAGTTCAATCAAAGCTTGTTTTAGATACCTTCAATATTTGATAATAGGGTTTTGTCTGTAAGTTTCGACCCAGAAAACAGACGATCTTCGGTTACGATCTTCGGTCTGTTTCGGATATTTGGAGATTTGGAGACCCCTCACTTGTAACCCGTAATAGATACACCCTTCATTTAAGCTGACTTTTTTAAAGTTGGTAGGACAGTTAGGGCGCTGTCTAAGCGATAACTTAATATCTAACAATAAGTAGGTAACGTTCACAATTTTTCAAAATTCAATGTAGATAAAATATAACTCACTGGAGCAGTTAATGCTCTACTATAATAAAACATTAAGCGTCCACTAGCCGGCTCTGTGCCACATTTAAATTGCAAATCAAATTTCAAATTAGCGGTTTTAGGTTCATCAGAATTAACAAATATTATGCACATAGAAATTAAAAGGTTGAAGAAAATAAAATTTGGAAAAAACATTTTGAATTTTCTGGAAATACTTTGGTAGGTTTTTTGGTACATTTTAGGTTTGTTTTTTGGTATATATATGTATGCGAGATATTATATGCTATTTTTTGCTACCCCAATTATTAGTGAATATTTTTAAGATTTTAGTGAATATATAGTTAGAAGAAATGTGTATGGTTACACGGAAACCGATCCTAAAAAAATTTTCAAAAATTAAAAAATATATCAATAACTACAGCCGGACCTCACTTTAGAGGGTTGTCGGATAGTTGTAAATCTTCGGATATCCGGATCCGGTATCCGAACCGAAATTTTCGGATATCCTGCATTTTTCCGATCCAGATTTTTTTAAATAATGACGGCGCAAAAGTCGCGGCGCAAATGTTCTCGGCGCAAAAGTCGTGATACCAAAAGAAAATAGGGATACAGGCGTGGTTGTGGATGTGCGTGGCACCGGGATCGAATGGATTAAAGGAATGTCGTTGCTTTATTTAACACTAGTTGATACATGAAAATGAAAAATGTGACACTTAATTCAGCCAACTAACCATTTTTAACCAATTTTTTAAAGATTTTATAGTCAGCCTTAAGGGTGTGGCTTACATATAGTGTTCCATTTAGGAATAATTTCTCTTCCAAATATTTAATAAATTAATTAGCAATCTAGCAATAACATAGCCTTATGTTAAACTAATGCTAACATACCCTCCAATTTATTTTTAAATAAAAAAATTATTTTTTATGAATCACTACATATATTTAATTTTATTTAATTTTGTATATAGAATTATTTGTATATGGGAAAATAATTTTAAATTCTAATTATATGATTGAATCATCATGCTATTTTAAGTAAAATTTTTATATTTTAGATTAAAAATTTTTTAATTAGACTATCAATAGTATAGACAGCTAATTTAAAAAATCGAAATATTAATCAAGGGGAGGGGGAAGTATTATTATTATTTTTAATTACTTTTTAATGAAAATAAATAATAATAAAGAATTCTTGATAAAAATTTAAATTTTTAAACATTTTTATATCTGTTTTGAATTAACATAAAAATTTATAAAAAATAATTTTTCTCAAAGTTTAATTAAAATATTTGGATTTTTCGTTAATAAAAAATAACACTTAAATTTAATTTCCATTATCAGAATTTCAGGAATATTTAGTTGGGCAGATGTTTTTAATTAGAATATTTATGCATTTTTCTGGTCACAAAATAATTCAAAAAAATTTTTTATATTTTATTCCAAAATTTAAAATAATTATTAAAAATTATTTTTCATGAAAAGATTTCTTTAAGCTTTTCTTCTAGCTTTTTTAAGATTTCTTTACGTTTTTGCTTGAACCAATTCTTAACCCAATTATTATCTACATCACAATTATTATTTGGATGGGTAACATCTATTCTCTGCCATTCTTCGTCTCTTTCGAATGAAGCTTGTACCAGTCCATATTTTGGATAATCACAAATTTCCTCCATTTGTTCAAAGCCTTCTTTCAAAATGTCTTTCTAAAAATCAAAAAAAAATTAAAATGCAATATCTAAGGGAATTTTGGGAATTTTGTACCAGACTAGCACGTGGATACGGATATGGATACAGATATTATAAAAATCCGTGCGGATATCCGTTTGTATCCGCCGTAAATATGCGGATACGGATACCAAAATCAGTATCCGTGCGCTAGTCTGTTTTGTACTCGCATTTCTATGATAAAAATTTGGGTACTATCCGTTTATATCCCCGCAATTCTGCAAATGTTTGTCCGCACTTTTTTTCATTCTTTCTCCTTATAAAGGATTTGAAACGGTCAAGTTAACACCCATTTTTTCTTCGCCTTCTTTCTCCTCTCATAAAGATGAAAATGTTCAAGTAAAAGTAGAGGAAGACAAATTTTCGCCTATGGAAAAATATAAAGGTAAAAATAAAAGAATGTTTAGAAATTATTTCGGTAATAGTTTGTTTGGTACCCCCCCTGAACCGAAATACGGGCCTATGAACATTTCGAATAAAAACCGTTTGTACAAACAAATACTCATTTGAAGCAGTTTGAGCCATATATCTCGGTCCACAGGCATTTACGGGAAAAAAGAGTGTTACCGTTCGACTCGGCACCTTTTATTACCCATATATGACATTTTGAGCATTAATTTATGGGGTGTGGCAGAACGGAAAAGTACCAATAAGGGAGAAAGGGAAGGAAAAATGAAAAAATGGTCAGAAAAATGGTAGGGGGGGGGGGTACCAAACAAACTATTACCGAAATAATTTCTAAACATTCTTTTATTTTTACCTTTATATTTTTCCATAGGCGAAAATTTGTCTTCCTCTACTTTTACTTGAACATTTTCATCTTTATGAGAGGAGAAAGAAGGCGAAGAAAAAATGGGTGTTAACTTGACCGTTTCAAATCCTTTATAAGGAGAAAGAATGAAAAAAAGTGCGGACAAACATTTGCAGAATTGCGGGGATATAAACGGATAGTACCCAAATTTGTTCAGGGCTTTTTTCCTTAAAGTAACCATTCGACTCAGCTCGAGGAGCTCTTTCGAAAGATTTATAATTTGGCAAAAAAGAGAATAGGAAAATGAGCGGAGGGGTCTAAACCAAACTATTATTGCAATATCTTATTGAGTCCATGATTAAATGGGTAAGACGCTCGAAAAATTTCTGAGGGTTGTGTAGGTCTGGATTTGTCTAGAAAAGCCGTTGACACAAATAAAAAATTTACCTCACTATTCTCGCGGCTGGAATAAAATTTATTTGAATTGTTTTCCACACAACTACGAGATACTTGATAAGCACTATATTTATTACAAGAATCCATTTGAGCCCATCTTTGATAAGTTGAAGCATTTACCAATAAGTCTTTCAAATCAACATAATTTTGGCCTGTTTTTGGATTATTCATAAAAAATTTAAATTCACATTTAGTCTGATTTAAATCATTTTTGTTGTAATTAGATATTATCCACGAGTTTTTTTGTTTGCAACCCTCATTTTTAAGTTTACCACAAATAAAGTCATTTCCAGTAAATGGATGGGAACATCCAAGAAATTTGAAGTCCTGAGCGCAGCACTAATAATAAAGAAAAATTAATTATTTTGTGAATAAATTCGCAGCTCTTCGGCACTTTTTCACGGATTAATATCCCCTACTTTATAAGATAGATATGTATATTTTCTGCTATCCATGACAGGGATGTAAATCGGGCTGGGGTTTCAAAATTTTCTTCGGCTCGGGGTTCGAGTCGAGAATATTTTAAAAAAAAGGTCGGAAAAAGTCTCGACTAACCCATTACTTTCCTAATTTAAAGTATCTATATGAATTTAATTTCATACTTTCTTGTTTCCATTCAATACAGCTTGTTCGAAACAGTTTGTTCTAAATAAAACATCAAAAGAATATTTAGAACTACGAGGAAAAGGTACAACAACATCCTTTTTAAAAATTCCATTAATAACCACAACATCCAATACATTTGTATACTAAAAGTGGGAATTGATGTAAAAATTAATTAATATTTTGAGTTTATCTATGTTGGTACCCGGGGTCATATAATAAAATTACGATAGTATAGAGAAGGGTTTGAGGATTAATCGAGGTTGATATCTCAATTCTTGAGTGGGAGCTTTTTCGGTCCGATTTTTAATACGTAAAGCCGCATTTTCACTGGGTGAGAGAGCTGGTGAGGTAGATTTGGTGAGGGAAACTTTGTTAGTGGGCGAGCCTGGGTGATAGAGCCCTTAAGAGATAACCCCATCCAAGGAATAACCCCAGCCTCTCATAATTTACAATTTCTAGACCAGAGGGATATTTAAAAATATAAGTACTCACTCCGCTATACATTGCTTTACGGTAATTAACCATTAGACGTCCATTGGCAAGTTCATCTCCACATTTAAATTTCAAATTAAATTTAAATTTGACATAAAGACAATTAACATTTATTATGCCAACAAAAATTAAAAATTTGAAGAAAATAAACTTTGGAAAAAACATTTTAAATTTTTGAAAATATTTTTTTAGTTTAAAATAATTTTTGAATATATTTTAGCATTAAATATGTACAAGTTTTGCTATTTTTTGTGTATGATTCACAAAAATAAGATGATTTTTTATTTACAATTTTTGATGATTTTTTGTTAGAACAATCGTTTTATTATTTTTTAAAAATAAATTTTATAGTAGAAAATATTTTTTACATTGATATTACTTTTTAAGTTTCTCATAGAAAACATTATCTTGAAAAATAAAAAAAAATTTTTTAAAGATTATTCAAATGAAATTAATTTTATCTGGAAATTTAATGTGAGGGAAGGAGGAATTATGTCTAATAACAACTTTTTTTTAATTATCTTAACCCTCAAAAAATTTTCTTGATAGACAATGGAAAGTATAAAAATTTAATTTTTAATTAATTTATTTATTATTAATTCATAAATTATAAACCCCAAGCTAAAAACTAATAAAATTTTTTACAAAATTTTTAAATTTTACACTTCCAAATTCTCTTCAAACCATTTTCTATAAAAAATTGCTTCTTCAGCCATTTCTTTTGGGGAACGTTTTTCTTTGTCTAATTTAGCATCGTGATTTTGTAATTTTGCATAAATTTGGTCTGGATCTCCTCCTCCAAAATCGCCTTTCTTACGTGGAATTATATGAACATGTACATGCTTAAAAATGCTTTTTAAAGTAATTCTGATTATTCTATTATAAGATATTGACGACAGTTAATATAAGATATCCGTTGGGTGGAGACTCGAATCTTATAATAAGGGGTTTCTTAGACAGGGGAAGGGCCTCTGTGATAGAAATTTAGCTCATTGGTAACTCAGATTTAGCAAAATGTATTTTAAATGAGAGGTATCTAGACGAAGTATCTAATAGTGAGGTCTGACCTCTAATCTATCCCCTCTCCCCCAAAGTCTATTCCCAATAAGCAATGGAAGTTATACAAGGTCCGCTCGAAAGCTATTTGAATCCTTTGTTATCTATGATGAAAGGACCCATAAAAAATATTAAATTTCAGAAAAATCTTATTTAAATTTATTTTTTAAAAAAATGCCAAATCTTCCCCGTTCAATATTTTTACCTTATTTTTGATTTCGAATCTTTTTTGAACAAAAAATTTATTTAAAAAAAGAATCTCACTTCAATAGTTTGTCCAGCATGTTCTCCATCTTGTACACAAACCGTAGCACAATTTGTTTGATAAATTTGACATAACATTTTTTCTACTTTTTTGGTTAATATAAATAAATCTGCTGTTGTTTGATCATCCAAATCAGTTAAACGTTTTAATCCTTCTTTTAATGGTGAAATTAATACATCTTTAAATTTCAAATAAAAATTTTTTGCTTGAAAAAATTTTTCTAGAATTCTCCAAAACCATAATCTCAGTCTAAAAAATATTTGGAAGCCAAACGGGTTCGAACCCATGACCCCTTTTTATAAAAAATACCACTTAACCAAGAGGTCATTTTTTGCCATTTTTAACCCTGATTTTTTAATTTAAAAAATAAATTTTCTGATTAAAAAATAAAATAATTTTTTATTACGTCCAGGTAATAAAGGCATTAAATTAACGAAAGCATAACAATGTGCACTTTTATAAAAACATTGGGAACCATCAATTTTTAAATGACCAAAATGGAAAAGATCAGAATCTAAAAAATTATAAAATATATTTTTTAATTGAATTTTTGATTATATTTTTGATATAAAATCCTTTGTCAAAAAAATATTTGGGAGCCAAAAGGGTATGACCCCATGACCTTTTTTATAAAAAATACCACTTAACCAAAAAATATTTTTTTGATTCTCCTCTAAAAACCCCAACTCCAGATATTTTGCGACTATTAAATATGATATCAGAGAATAATTCCCACTGAATATTCAAGAAATGCTCTTTTTGGACGTCTATTGGAAAGGGGGCTCGATTGGAAATTAAATAATAAGCTGATTTTTGAAAAATTAAAAATAAAAATACCATTAATTTCCCGTTTTTCATTAAAATATAATGAATACAAGTCGGAGCGTCTATGTTCAAAAACAGGTTGATTTCGTCTAACTTCATCTACATAATCCAAATCGAGTTCAGCAAAACATAAATCTATGTGTAAACAAATTATTAAAAAAAAATTTTAGTGAGAAGGAAGAGAAAATTTCGATGACTGGTGGTCGTATATTGGAGAGGGGCAATACCCGAAATAAAAAAAATTCTAGGAAAGTTAACTAGAGACCGGATGGAGATGAGATCTCGAAAAAAATCTCGGTTTTTTCGAGAATAAAGAATTTTCGAGAAATCGATTCTCAATTGATCCTCACAGTCCAGCCTCTAAAGTTAACATTACCTTTCCTCTTCCCTTCATAAAATTAAACAACCTTCTCTTTCAGAACATTGAGCTATTATTGCCCCCCACGGATCAACCACCATTGAATGACCATATGACGATCTTTTATCGTTATGTTTTCCAGTTTGAGCTGGAGCAACAATGTAACATTGAGTTTCTATTGCACGAGCTCGGAGAAGGGCCTTACAATGAAAATTTTTTGAATTTTTAAAAAATTTTAATCAACCTCCCAATGTGCCAATCCTGTTGTTACAGTGAAGGATGATGGAAAAGAGAGAATTTGGGCTCCTATAAAATAATAAAAAAGATTAGAACGGAAAGGACTCGAACTAGGTCCACTCGAAATAAAAAAATCCAAAGTTATCCCACTACACCACAAAAACCAAAGATAGGAAAATTCGAAAAAATAAGGAAATATTAAAAATTTAACCTCTCAATCTATTAAAAAGCGACAATTCGGCAAAACGTAAATCATAGCAAATTCCCATTCCAAGACGACCAATAGGTGTATCGACAGGAAGGTGCAGCTAGAAAATTAAAATTTAAAAAATAAAAATTTAAAAAACCTTTTTTCCTCGTCTAGAAAATTCACTTTCCATTAATCTCACTTTTCCAGGCAAATCCAAATCAAATAAATGCAATTTATCATAAGAAGCTCGAGTTTGGCCAGATGAATCAATAAGCAAATAAGTGTTAAGAGGCAATCCATCTGTTTGCTTAAAAAATATTTTTAGATTTTAAAAATAATTTTAAAGCAAGTGTTTCTGTGAGAAAAAATGTTTTAAAAAATTGTTTAATTTTTTAAAAGAATTATGAAAAAAATTAAACTGGCAAGGACTCGAATCCATAGGCAAATTGAATAAAAAATCTGAAATACCACCACCCCACAAAAATTTTTTTCAAATTTCTTATTTTAAATCCCCTTGAGGGGATTAATTTAAAAATTAAATAATTTTTAAAAATCCAAAAATTATTCCAAAAATAATTTAAAATTCCCCGAACCTTATTATGAAATCCACCCAAAGCCAGCCAAAGACCATAACGCTTTGCCAATTCACGAAATTGCATTATGTATTGCCCATCTGCCTCTATTGCTTGCTCAATTTGTTCTTCCTTATTTCGGCCAATAAAATCAAAGCATTCCGGGAGGAAAACCATCTAGAAAAATTTGAAGAGAAATTTACAAAAATTTCTGAAGACCAAACAATCCTACAGAAATTGCTCGTTTCTCTGTCAAAAATATTTTTATTTTAAATAAATCTGGACTCAGACAATTTATAAATCAATCTCAAACATTTCTAACTTACTCACAAATGGTTGGGCGCCAACCGGGTTCGAACCCACGACGCATTTTTATAACAAACTCATCTCACTACCACTCAGCCAAAAAATTCAATTTTTTAAAAATTAAAAACCTTGCATCCACGATTATTTGCAGCTCTCTCAATTAATTGTGCACTACGTCGAAAATTATCATTTAAATCATGTTGAACACTTAATTGACAAACAGCAATGAGTGAACGTCGTCCAGCTGAAACTACGGAAGATGCTGCCATTTATTTCTAGTCTAAAAATCAATTTTAAGAAAAATAATGTGGGGAAACAAATTATCAGTTAACTGATAAAATAGCCAATAAATAAAAAAAGAAAATATATAAAAGTAATACATAACTAAAAATTAACACTTTTACGAAAAAATACCCTCAATTTATTAATAAAGAAAATTTTAAAAAAATAAACAAACAAAGAAAATAAATTAAAAATTTTATTTTGCCCGTTTAAGCAATTTTATTAATTTGTATGTACAGAATATTGTAGATGCATAACGTAATGGAGCAAATAACTGTTAAAAAATTTTTTTATTGATTTTTTGGTTAAGTGGTAAAAATCAGGTCTCAAAAATTTAAGGTCACGGGTTCGAACCCGCTCGGCCCTAAAAACATTTTTCAACATTTTAATATTTTTGACAAGTCCAAAATTAACCAGCCAAACTAAAAAATATAATCAAAAAATTTCCCAAAACTTTTCTTCACTCAATATCCGAGGTTTACTCCCTATTCTACACCAAAAATTAAAATCTAATTAAATAAACAACCTTGAAAAGAATTAATGTAGCTGTCAACGTCCCTGCTGATTTAGGCAAATCTCTCATTTTTTGAATCCAATTTTGAGGCAACCGTAAAAACTCAAGTAAACTAATAACATCATAGTCCATCAATAATAACCTTAATTATAAGAGCTATTTGGAAAAAATTTTTGGTTAAGTAGCATAACATTTCCATAAAAATTTAGTGTGTGGGTTCGAGTCCGCCCTGGTCAAAAATATATTTCTACACCTTTGTAAAGACCTCTCAAAAATTCGGCCATTGGTTAAGTGGTATAGAAATATTTTTTTAATTAGGTCATGGGTTCGAACCCGCTCAGCTCCCAAAATGTCTTTAGGCATTTAAAAAAGGAATTAAAAATTATTTTTAACAAATTCACTTACAAATGCAATGTTGAATAAAAAATAGAAAACCATAAAATTGAAAGTATCAAATGAACTGGGAGAGCAATGTACCAATAACTTAAAATATTTTTTTTAAATAAAAATAATTTAAAATAAACCGTTTAAAAAGATCCTTAAAATTTTGAAAAATTCCTTTTGGTTTAACATTTCCACTGTGAAAGGAACGTTTGAAAGTAAGTGTAGATGGAAAATATTGATGATTTCGATGAGAGAGTGTCAAAACACCGTGTTTGTTTGAACTCCAAGTTAACTGGAAAAAATAAATTTTTAATTAAAATTAAACAAAAAAATCGAAAAAATTCCGAAAAATATCCCGGACTCCGATTTGGACGAACACTATCTCATTTATAAGAGCTCGACGAACTGAAGAGTCGAGTGATACTTAAACTAAGCTACAGTCTCAATTTTAAGTCAAGTTATGGGCTTATAATGGTCAAAAATGTAAGGGGAACCAAACAGGTTTTAGGAAAACACCATATGGTTTTTGAGTTTCGTGGAATGAATTTTGGACCCATAATTGAGATTGGAGCTTAATTTAGGTGTTGTTCGACTAATACTGCTTTCGAGTCTAAAACATATGACAGAATTTCTCAGAAAAATCGTTAAAACTAAAATTTAAAGAACCAAATGTCCCGCTTCAGTCAATGCTCCCATACAACTACCACCAGCAAAAACCTTTTTAAAAAATTTCTTTTTAAATTAACAAAAAACCCAAAAAACCTTAACCCGATTTTTTTCATTCATTGCTGAAGTAAATAAAGGCGGGTCAATTTGCATTGGCTTTGTTAATTTTTCAATTTTTGGTCCAAAACCGAGTACATGAGAACCCCAAGTGAAGATTTGACCGTCAGAATTACAAACAATACTTGGAAAAAATTCTAGAAAATTTTAAAAAAATTTAAAAACCATGAAACTCCAGTTGCTTCAGCTCCATCAATTTTTCCTAATTTAAAAGGAACAAGTTGAGTCATAAGCTTTTCTATTGCTAAAGCGCCAGTTGAGCAAAGACCTAAAAAAACTTTTTAATTTATAAATTTAATCAAAATTCGAAAAAATTCCCAACCAGATCCATAAACTGTTCGAGTCAAACGATTGAACAAGCATTTTGGAAGTAAAGTAAATTTAGTAAACGTTGAAGGATACATTTTCTAAACAAAAAAAATCTAAAATAAAAATATTCAAACGGTGAGCCTTAACAGAAAATTTTAAAAATCAAAAATGAAATGAAAATAACCAAGTTTCCATACAAAAAATTACGGGTTTTTCAGGCAATATTCTCAAAACTGAAACTAATTAAAATTCCAACCCCAACAAACCCATCAGTCCTTCCCCAAAAATTAACTCACTCAATCTATTCTAACGAATCTCCTAGTCTCTAATTTAAACAAAAACCTGTTCAAATAGTTCAACAAGTCCAATAATGTCAAGGATAGTCTCACACCTCCCAATATTTCCAATATTTTAAAGCGCATAATTGTTCAAATTAAGAAGGTGCAGCCCCAATAGGGGCAGGCAGCACCAGAAAGCCCCCACATCAGCTGTAATAACCACCCTGACTGTCCTTATCAAACTTATCAAAAATTCAATTATTTAAACCATTTAAAGAATTAAGTATAAAATTTGAAAGAAAAACATTAAAAAACCTTTTAAAGTCCATAAAATAATTATAATTTATGTACTAAAACTCAAAAAAATTCAAAACTTAACAAATTAAAAAATTAATTTTGTTCCTTTTTATTATCTCCATTTAAACCTTTTCCATTTCCATTCTTTTTTCTATATTTTGCAGCAGCAGCAATTCTTCTTTCATTCATTTTTCTCATCAACTTTTCAAATTCAATACGACCACGATATTCTAGTTGTCTGACAGTTCGAAGCCATCCCAAATGTTTTAATGCTTTATAAGTTAAATTTGTTCCAATAATTGTTGATGCATAACGAATTGGTGTAAAAATCTTTAAAAAAATAAAAAAAATTTTGAGACTTTTAAATTAAATTGCCCCGTCTCACTTGAAAGTTCAAAAGTCAAAAAACCCAGTGGATAATCCAAAAGAAAACTGCTAGATAAGGTTGGCGGATCCTGTGAAATCCCCTGGATATCCGGATCTGGAACCGAATCCAAAAATTTCCGAATATCCGGTTTTTGGGATATTTGGATCCGATAAGCATGGTGCTAGACAGGCAAAAAAGAAAAAGGTTTGTTTAGAAATTAGGCAGGAACACCAAAAATAATTTATCATAATTAAAACCTTGATTAAGATAAAAGTAGCCGTCAATGTACTCGCAGCTTTAGGCATTTCTCTCACTTTTTGAATCCAATTTTCGGGTAGATGGAAAAATTCAAGCAAACCAACAACATTTAGGCCACTAAATAAAAAATGTTTTAATTTTTAAAAATTGAAAATCAATTTATTAGCCAAATTAAAGTTTTTGGTTAAGTGGTGGACCGAAATGTTTTGAAAAATAAAGGCTGCGGGTTCGAATCCGCTCGGCTCCCAAACATTTTTTAAATATTTAAAATCATTTTTGAGCTTGAAATAAACAACTTAGAAGCCAAAAAAATTCAAAAAAATTTTTCAAGTTAAAATTTCGCTCACAAATGAACAGCAAAGTAGAAAACACCAAACCAACAGGCAAAAAGAACATAATGAACAGGTATAGCAATATACCAATAACTAGAAAAAATAAAATTTAAAAATTGGGGGAATACCAGTTCACGAAAGTCGGCGTAAATCATTTGAAATCACACATACCACTCCCGGGACGGAAAAAAGTTTTCCCAGTTTGCATTCTCCCAGAGCTCAAAATTTCCCCATAGCCCTTCCCATTCCCGTTGGGGAACAGTCCTACTAAAACCCCAATAATAATTTTAAAAAAGAAACCGTTTTAAATAATATTTGAGTTTCTGAAAGAGACCACTGGGTATATTTTCGTTCTTCTCATCTTCCAACTTTTGCTTTAGCCTTTCATTTCTAGGCAGTCGAACTCTCAAATGTTCGTGAAAAAACTTAAAACTTTTTTATTAAATTAATTTAAAAAGTCAAACCTTAAATTCAGAAATTTTAGGCAATCTAACAAAAAGTTGAGTACTTCGTCTTAAAATTGAAAATTGCCTGACTTGACAAAATTGAGAAAGAGAACGATGGCAAGTAATAATAGCAAATGTTGCTGACATTTTAGAAAATATTTTTTATCAAAAATCTGGAAAATCTATTTAATTGAACAATTTTCAGTCACTTTTTGGAATCATTCAATGGACCCACACCCCCTATGGAACTGCTTGTATTTTGAAGCTAGTTCCTCTCCAGTCACAAGAACCGGATAAAAAAAGGTTAGAGAATAAGCTGAGGAAATATTGCCTGAAAATGAATAACACCCCCGTATGTCACGACAATTAAAAAATTTTTTAGACTATCGAAAAAATGTTCGATAGTCTATTACAACCAGGCCCGTAACCAGGATTTTTTCGGGGGAGGTGGGCAAGGTGGAAAATTTTTATGCGCCGAATTTTAGGCTCCAAAGGACCCCCTATCCCTGGTTATAGGCCTGATTACAACACCAAAACAAATTTAAAAAATAAATAAAAAAGATTTAAAAATATACATCTAATGTAAAAACATAAATAATTTAAAGAAAAAAAATTCTCCCAAGAATTCTAACCTTTATTTAAATATATTAACAACAAATTTTAAACTAAAAAATTATTCTTCCCTTTCCCATTTTTACATCAATCACGCTTTGCCAATTCCTGTTTAAAATTGAGCGCAAAATAAACAGCAGCAGCAGCAATCAACAAACAAACGCCTTCAGAAGAGAAAGGAGCCTTTTTAGAAACGCCTGGATGGTAATATTGAGTGGTGAATAAAGGCTCTATGCGAGACAAAGGGTTTTCAACGCCTGATTGGATTGCCTAAAATTGTTTATTGTTAGATTTATTTAAAAATTTAGTCATATAACAGGGATGTCACGAGTTGAGAAAAAATTGGGGTCGTGTTTCGGTTTTCAAAATTTTTGGACAGGATTTCGATCGAAAATAAGTCCGAATTTCGATTAGTTGTGTCAGATCGGATTTCGGGTCGGAAAGAGTCAAAGTATCTGGTAACTCATGACATCCCTGTTATTATAAAATAAACCTTTTTATATTCTGCCAACTTGTCCTCATCAAGTACAACTACATCGAATGTTTGAGCACTGGATTCGGGGTGTTCAAGAAGCCAGGAAACCTATAAAATTTAAAATTCTTTTCGAATGGAGTCAAGAAACCCCAAAAAAGAAATAAAAACAAACTTGATATTTTGTCGTCTCTTCAGAAACTGAAAGCTGATAAACACGTCCATTCACAATAGCAAAGAATGGGCTATTCTTAAAAATTTAATTTTTAAAAGAATCATTAAAAAGCTAAAAAGTTAATTAAACAGAGGCTGATTAGGGTACTAGACAATAAAAATATATATGGACCCGAACCGGGACCGAACCTTAGTGCAAAGTCAAAAGCTAACCCACTTAACCACAAATGCAATTTTCGCCCGTTTATGCATAAAGGGCAGCCAAAAGAATATTAGTAAAAATTCAAAGTACGGTTTTCGACTCGAACAATTATAGGCACCCCAAAAGTGTTAAGTTGACAAATCATCCCATCCCAAGAACCTTACAAGATATTTAAAAAAAACTTTGATTACGTGTTCATAATTGTTGGCACATTGAAGAGCAAATTCCATAATATAAGTCGTTTTGAAGTGAAAGAACCCATCTTGTGTAGAATATCCACTTGAAGAATGTCGTGGTGATTGACAGCTTGCACCTTTAATAAGATTTTATTCAAAATTTAAAAAAAAATTTAAAAAAACCAAAAGTTGGAGAAAATAAAAATAAAAGAATAACTAATGAAAAAACAAAATAATTCATCTTTTTGCTTGTAATTCTCTGAAATTAAAAAAAAAAATAAAAAAAAATTTTTAAAAAACTTTGACAAAAATTTAAAAAAAACGAGAGACACCCCTTCAAAAAGTAAACGTATTAAACATTCTGAAAAAGTAATCACTTACTGACATTTTGTCCGTTGGTATATCGTATAAATTTCTAATCATTTTTTCATTTTGTAACAAACAAAAGTTAACCGTATTAGAGAAAAAGAGAAATATGTCATAACTATTAGAGAAAAAGGAAAAATTAACACTACTCTTGGTAGAGTAAAAGAAAAGATTTGCCTTATACATATTTCACCAATAGGACAATTTACCAATAAGGGTTAAAATTTTACGTTTTGTCAATAAGGCTTTGTTGGCAAAATGTAAGTTTTAACCTTATTGGTAAAATATGCTATTGGTGAAATATAGGGAATGTGAAAGGATTTTGTTTAATGGCTGGGGTGGGAAAAAAATTTTTTTTCTCAATTTTCTCAATTTTTCCACTTCTTTTTGTTTGCTTTACTAAAATTTTTCTTCTCTTTTTAGCAAATTCTATTAATTAAGAACCCTCAATTCATTTTATTGACATTTTCCAATGGCACGGACCAAACAAACTGCTAAAAAGTCTGCTGGTTTTCGAAAAGAAATAGTTGCTGCAAAAGCTATTGCTTCCAAACGAATGCGTGTCCAGCTGGCTACTAAGCGATGTCCGCGAGTTTTTCCGAGTTACAAGGAGTTACCTCCCGTGAAGATGCAACAGAAGCGATATCACAAGAAGGGTAAGGACAAAATTTTAAATCCTGTCACTTTTGTTAAGTTGGATAATTTTTAGTTCCATAAGCCTTTTGGTTAAAGGTTCGAACCCCACAACGGGCAATTTTTTTTAATCGTAAAATTTCAATTTCAGGATCTCTCGCCCTTAAAGAAATTCGCCGCTTCCAAAAATCAACAAATCTTTTGATCCCTCGTGCTCCTTTCATTCGTCTGGTTCGAGATGTTGCTAATTCTATTACTGGTGAACAATACAAATGGCGAGGGTTAGCTCTAGTTGCTCTTCAGGTTTTTATAAAATTATTAGGCTTGGTGAGACATAAGGATGGGATTAGGTTGATTTATCGTTTGGACTCTGGATTGGGCCACGGGATGGGTTCATGTGTTCAAAAATGATGACAAGACAACCTATCGATTATCTCATGGGATCTAAATTCCGTAAGATTGAGCTGTGTGTTTCTAGCTACAGGGCGGGATCTTGTACAGGTTCATGAATTTAAAAATTAGCTCTGACCTTGACTTTTTATAGTAACAACCTCAATATCTACGTCCCTGTGGGCGGCAGTCTTGCTTGTTTCCCGTGTATTTTTCCAAAAAAAATTCTTCGGCAAGATTTTTAAACTTTTAAATTCCTACCCTTGTTACGCGCCATTTCTTGAACCTTTAAAAATTTTTTAATTCACTTTAACAATTTCAGGAGGCCGCTGAATACTACTTGGTAAACCTCTTTGAAGATTCTAATTTATGTGCTCTGCATGCTTCTCGTGTTACAATTATGCCCAAGGATATTCAACTTGTACGCAAAATTCGTGGAGAGGTTTTTTTAATTTAAATAATTTTTTTTGAAAATTTAAAACTTTAAGACAACAACATTGCCGTCAATTGCATTACGTTAAATTAGAAAAGGATTAAATTTTAAAACCCAATTCCCAATTATTCTCTTGTTGTCTTCCAACCACCATTTTTTGCTTTTAAAATTGACCTGCTTTTATAAAGTTTCTCCCCTCTGTTATAATTTTTTATTGAAATTAAGATACTCCATAAATATTTATTTTTAGACGTTTTTTAATTTTTTAAACAAAAAAATTTAGTTAATCCAAATAAAATAAATGGACGTTGAAACTCGCCAAAACTATTAAGGGGGATGTTTATTTTTACTTAAATTCTCCGTCTTCCTCTCTTCTTTACTTTTTCAAAACATAGTCAACCCCTTCAACCGGTTTCTTAACAAACATACAAAGACGGCGACCAATTTGAACACAGCTACCACATCCACTCGGAACCTTAAATTTTTAAAAAATTTTTGGAGTCGTGAAATTAAATTTCAAACTCACCCCATAAGGAATTCCGTCCTCATTGCGCTCAATCCCATCTTTCTTCTTAACAACCGGCTCCTCCACTCCAAGACCACCAGCCAAGTCCGCGTCCTTTTGCGAGTGTTGCTGCTCTTTGAGACGCTTCAATTGGTTCTTATGAACTAAAAAAATATTTTAACAAGTTCGCAAAAGATAGGCTTGAGGAAAAAAGGGAAGGGAAGACAGAAGGGAACCCCTCAATTTCCCTTCTAAAATTGTTTATGTTAAATTCAATACCTTTAGTCTTCTTATGGTTCTTAAGCACTTTATCATTGATAAAATGGCGGTCGCATTCCACACAATAATTCTGCCCAGCGCCCGGCAAGTCTTCATCTATCGGCTGGTTCTGAACCTTTGCCAGCTAAAAACAAAGTAAAAAAAATAATAAAAAAAATAAAACCTTTTCTGGTCTTTCCATAGTTTCTTTAATTTCATCCAAATCCTTTCCTGGACGCTTCCTTGTTTTATTCGAAATTGTATGTTTTTTGGGCATTTTTTAGAAAATATTGTTAGAAATTCAAATTTTCTCTTAAAAGGTCAAAAAAATTAATTAACAAAAATTAAAAAGAAATTAAAATTGTTAAAATTTTTTCAAATTAAGGTGAAGCAATTTTTAAATATTTTTTATTTAAAAAAACAAAATAATTAAGAGAATATTATACAATTTTAAAATTATAATTCAAGTGAATTATTCAAAAGTCAAGGACAGATCACTTGTTGGATATTTTGTAAAAAATTCGAAAGATTTTTTGTCCGCAAAAATTTGCGGACATTTTTTGCGGATAAAAATTTTGAGATCAAAAAATAGGCTAATATCCATCAAGTGTTTCTGTCTATCCAAAAACAAATAATTACCAGGAGAAAGCAAATTTTACAATTAAAAAAACTTCAAATTCAATTTTAATCATTAAATTGCGGTGTCTAGCAGGCTTGCATTGGAAGCGGAAGTTTTAATTCCGAACATTTGACACTGAATCTCAGCAGAAACCTTAAAAATAAATTGGCTTATAATTTTTTGGTGGAGAGGAGAAGGAGGCTAATTTGAAGGAAGTGTTTAAATTTTAAATTTAAAAAATAGGTCGAAATTTGCGGACATACGCAGAGAAATGTTCAGGAGTACACCCTGAACATTTCTCTGCGGTCAGGAGTACACCCAAAAAAATTTTAGGGGAAGGGAGTAGGCAAAGGGATGGGAAAGATTTCCAAAATTACTCATTGCCCAATATCGTTCACCGCCCACTGTCGGAATCACCAGACACGAAGAGAAGGGAAAAATCGAAACTCCCGAAAATTTTTAGAAAAGTCTAAACCTCGACTGTTTGAATTTATTTTCAGATTTTAAGCGCTTATTTCCCCCTTGCATTCCCCCCTTTTCCTATTCTTGTCCTTAATTATCGGGGTAACAAAATAAATAAAAAAAACCTTGCTCCAATTATCAGCAAAAAACAATTCTCGAAGTTTAAAGAATGTTTGAGCCGTTAATAAAGAATCAGAGCCTGCTTGATGACGTTTTCCGATACGTTGAACATCCAATTGATTAGCGATTTCTTGAAGACCTCCAGTCAATTTTGCTGTTGAAGGAGCAGGTTGGCGAAGAAGCATTTTAATGTCATAACTCGTTGGGAAGAGTTTTTTGTGACTGAAAAAAAGGTCAGAAATACAAAAAACCCCCAAAATTCGCTTACTAAAGAAAAAAGTCATTTTCGTCCTCCGGCAACTTTTCCAGCAAAATCGCTTTGATTAAATATGCAAAATCGAAGCAACTGTGAAATGTAATCCAAGTAATGCGTTTGTTGACCAATAATCCTGAGGTAGTCAGTAATTCACCAAAATTTTCCATTAAAATGCCTTCCTTCTAAAAATTAGTTTTTTTAAAGAACCTCACAATTTTACAAAAATCCGGAACTTAGCGTTGAGGGATCCGAATCCAAATAAAAGTAAAATTTCAAAAATCTCTGGTCGGGTCTCGAATCCAGATGTTTGAAAATTTTCCAGGATCCGCCAAGACTAGTTTCAACTATTCCAAATGACTTAAACTTAGAAAAAATTTCTTTATAAGATTCTAAAAAGCAAATCTGTAGCTAGAGAAGACGTAGCCAGAGGGGAATAAAATTCAACATTTAAAAAAAGATTCCACCCTTTCCCAAAGCTTTTCCTGGTTACATCCCTGAAAAACGGGTCCGAGGGAAAATAAAATTGATAAAAAAAATCCCATTGATATCCATAAAAAATTTTTTTGTTAAAAATTAATTTTCGAACCTGATGCCTGGAGAAATTAAAGCCGGCTTCTCTAAGAAGTTCAACAGAGTCAGCACTGCCCATATCCTCAGCAACACTTAAAAATATTTAAAAATAATTTTTAAAAAATAAAAAACCTAAAATGAAGATTAAATTGCCAAATATCCCGATTTGGAGTTAAGTCACCTTTCTCATTCATTAAAGTAAAGCCAACCTGCAAACAAGATTAAAAATTTTTTGGGGTAATATTTCAAACATTCAGGTAACAATTTCCCGAGAGCTTAAAAGAGCTTCGAATCCAATGACAAAAACTATTGGTATTTATGCGATATACAGGGATAACAATAAACTAGATGATAATCAACGATAAATCTGAGCCTAGACTATATACTTGGTCTAGGCGGATCATTACTCTGATGTCCAGAAAAGATAACCCCATGGAAAACACAAAAAACTAAAAAGATGACAATGCTTCCAGTACTTTATAGAGCTCGAGATTTTTGAAAAGCCAGGGCCTGTTCCTGTCTCTGGGGTTTGATTTATTGACCTGGGTCGGATCCTGGGCCTGTAGTCAAAGAAAAACCCAGGCCCAGGAAAACCCCATGAAGGTAAAAAATGCCTAGGCCTGGACTCTGGGTACAGGAAAAACCCAGGCTCAGACCAACTCGATTTTTAGACTTTAACATATTAGTAGTCGATAGAATTTCCCAAAACCCAAATTTTGACATAAACTCAAAAAAATAAATTACCATTAAATCATCCAAACCTGTATTAATTTGAGCAAATTCACGTTGCAATAGAGCTGTTGATAATTAAATTCGTCTTTAGCATAAAATTGTCCAACAGGCGTAATAACAACTCCAGGAAATTCTGTGTCCATTGCAACATAAGGATAATCGTCAATAAATTCCCGAAGAGAAGCGAATTCTTCTTCCAAATTTGAAGCCCAAACATCATGAAGTGTCACGTCCTTTAAAAATTAAAAATTGAGAAAAATCGCAAAAAAATTTTTTGTCCGCAAAAAAATGCGGACAAAAAATTTAGTCCGCAAAAATAATGCGGACAAAATGTCCGCATTAAAGTGCAGACAAAAAACGTCCGCAACAAAAAGTGCGGGCCTAACTACAGTTTCCGTACCAGGCTCAGAATTGAACGATTTATATGTCATTCGAAAGAGCTCGTCGAGCTGAGTCGAACGACACCAAAATTATTCAGCGGAAAAAATTCTGAGCCGAGTTACAGGCCCCCGAAAATCGAAAAACCATAGGGGGGACCAAGCTGATTTTTGGGGTGAAAAAATCGAATATGCAATTAATAGCTCATTTGAAAGAGCTCTTCAAGCCGAGTCGAATGACACCAAAATGGCCGTGATTGGTCAAGTTTGTTCAAAGTTATGACAGAAAAAACAAACAACGTAAACCTATGGGGCGTCGGCGAGGCGCTTGTGCAAAACTCCGCGCTTCGCGCGGAGTTTTGCGGCACGCGCCTCGCGGGGAGTCTACGGGCTCTGGGTCTGGGCTCATAACTTAATCCTATTCCAATTATCGCTGTGATGGGCATGCCAGCTTCCTTCGCAGCAGCAAGAACATCCACGGAGAACAAAGGTAAGGAGCTAAAACAAACGAGCATTACTTTGTCAAATCAATTCTGATTTCATTGATTTTGGTGTCATTCGACTCAGCTCGATGAGCTCTTTCGAATGAGGTATAATTTGCATATTCGAATTTTTCACCTCCAGAAAACAGCTTGGTCCCCCCTATGGTTTTTTGAACTTTAGTGGTCTGTAACTCGGCTCAGAATTTTTTCCGCTGAAAAATTTTGGTGTCATTCGACTCAGCTCGACGAGCTCTTTCGAATGACATATAAATCGTTCAATTCTGAGCCTGGTACGGAAACTGTAGTTTAGCCAAAGTGCGGACAAAAAAATTTTCTGCAAAAAAATGCGGATAAAAAATTCAACCGCAAAAAAATGCGGACAAAATTGCGGAAAATACCCTCAATTTAAGTAAAGCCCTTTCAATTTTAATAATTAAAAAAGCACCTGAATTTTAACAACCATTTTGTTTTTAAATAATTAAATTAATAAAAAAAAATAAAATAATAATTGGGGTCACTGAAAAAAATATTGTATTAATATATGCAAATTGAAAGACAAAAAATTGACAAAAATGGAAAACAATGTGCGAGGTGATGAGCGGTACAAAAAAGAAAGTGTTACACAAACCCCGTCTCGATTCCCTATGTTTATAAAAAAGTAAAAAAAAAATCGAATAAATTTATTCATCAAAGAGGAAAAAAATAAAAATGTTTTTGTGGCGCGACATCAAAAAAAAAATAAAAATTCCCCGAACCTGTCACCAATTGTGTCTGTTGTTTACGTTCTTTAATTACCCTTTTTGGTAATAGTGTCGTTTCCAGTCCCCATTTTTTTCTCCTCAATTTTTTGCCCTATGTTTGTACTAAATGGTCAAATTTTCCCTTTCTTTCATCAAATTTGCCTTTCCATATTTTGCCTCAAAACAATCAAAAAGATTAATTTTTTATTCAGTTCTTTCACAAGGAGAAACTCAAAGCATGAAAAATGTTTTCTGGCTATTATAGAAGGAAAAATAAGTGCGGCAAATTTGCCTTTCAATATCTTAGGCAAAATATGGAAAGGCAAATTTGATGAAAGAAAGGGGAAAATTTGACCATTCCGTACAAACATAGGGTAAAAAATTGGGGAGGAAAAATGGGGACTGGAAACGACACTATTACCCCCTTTTTCCTTAGGTGTATTAAGGTTTTATTGGCTATTATGTTTTGTGAAAAGTTTACATTTTGAAATTTGCGAAAATTTTTGTAGTGTGAGAAAGAGAAAAATGTTGAGAAATAGTGTGTTAAATTGAGAAATAGAGTGAATAATTTTTGCTATTTATTTATTCGTGTCCGGTTAACTCATCCAATCGTTAACTCATCCACACGGCCAAAAACGTTCAACTCATCTAAACGGCTAAAATTCGTTAACTCATCCACACGGCCAAAAAGGGTCAACTCATCCAATCGTTAACTCATCCAATCGTTAACTCATCCACACGGCCAAAAAGGGTCAACTCATCCAATCGTTAACTCATCTAATCGTTAACTCATCCACACGGCCAAAAAGGGTCAACTCATCCAATCCTTCGGAACGAGACTATTGAGTACCGGCCGTTTGAGTCTTTGGCCGTCTGAGTCTGGCCGTTTGAGTCTCTGGTAAGTAGAGTCCATGACCAGTTGAGTCCATGGCCAGTTGAGTCCATGGCCAGTTGAGTCCATGGCTAGTTGAGTCCATGGCTAGTTGAGTCCATGGCTAGTTGAGTCTCAACCGGCGGTACTCTTCTGGCCATGGACTCAACCGGCCGGTACTCAATAGTCTCGTTCCGAAGGATTGGATGAGTTGACCCTTTTTGGCCGTGTAGATGAGTTAAGGATTAGATGAGTTAACGATTGGATGAGTTGACCCCTTTTTGGCCGTGTGGATGAGTTAACGATTGGATGAGTTAACGATTGGATGAGTTGAACGTTTTTGGCCGTGTAGATGAGTTAACGATTGGATGAGTTAACGATTGGATGAGTTGTATAGGAGCCTATTTATTTTTTCTAACACTCTCCTCAAATCACAAAGTCTTTTCTTGCACAGTTAATGATTTTGGTAATCCTGCAGAATCTGGGAGACACCTTAAAAACACCTTAAAAATTATTATTTTTCTCTGAAAATAATTTTATATGGGTAATCGACCATGCTGATCACGAATCTGATATCAGATTTTGTCAATTGTGACATTTTATCTATGATTTTTTATCATATACTTGATTTAGGGGTGCTTTAGTATATTCCCACAGGTTTCCCACCGAAGATTCCGCGGTCATAACTTTGTTCATAATCATCCAATCGAGCTGATTTTGGTGTCATTCAACTCAGCTCGTCGAGTTCTCTCGAATGAGCTATTTTTTTTGGATTTTTGATTTTTTGACCCCAAAAATTTTCAAATTTCGGGGGTCTGTAACTCGGCCCTATGGAGTCGGATCGCGGTAATTTCGGTGGCATTCAACTCAGCTCGAAAACGCGTATCAGATTAGCCCTAAATTTTTGATATCGAATTTTTACCCCGAATTTCGACTTGGTCGAAATCGAGTCCGGGGTTCGAAATAAACAAATTCTAAGCTCAGATTCGGACTCAGCATGGTCGATTACCTATATAAAATTATTTTCAGAAAAAAATAATAATTTTTAAGGTGTTTTTAAGGTGTCTCCCAGATTCTGCAGGATTACCATGATTTTTTACTGGTAAATTGTAATTTTAAAAGCTTGTAACTTTTGATTGCGCTGATGGAAATTTTTCGTTTTTTGCCAAAATATAGAGCAGATTCTGGTTTACTTTTCTATTTTTTAGATTTTTCAAAATGGATCCAAATGAAATCAAAAAAGAGCCGCAAACACCTTCATCCCAAAAACGAGCATCCCTTACTTTTGCCCGAAACCATCCCGGCAGTTTATCTCCACGTCGTCTTCCAACAAGTTCAAGTTATGCTTCTGCTTTATCCTCAACTACTGGAAGCGCATTTAACCCTTCTGCTGTCGTGCGGCGTGAACTGGAATTGGAAAGAGCTGAAAGTAGTGCTTCTACAACGAGGGCTTCTAGTGCGAGAAGGCAACAGAGCATCGGTTTTTCTTTAAATTTTTAAGAATTTTTTAATTTCAAAAATTTTCAGGCCCTCCCCAAGCTCCGGTTTCTCGCCGTTCAATGGATTTTGACCCAACAAATATTGCAAATATTCGCCAACAGAGGCGCTCGTTGATGGGACAGTTATCTTCAAATGTCTCTACTACTGGGGTGAGCGAAGGAACAAGAAAATGGAATGTTTGGAAAATTAGAAAATTAGTTGAGCAATTTTTGGGAATTGGAATCTTTTTGAATTTTTCTGTTGAGGGGCTAGCTTAAGAATTTTTAGGATTTCTTTTTAGTTTAAAAAATAATTTTCTAATTATTTTGGGAATTTTTTGTTTTAATTTTGCGGACAAAAAGTGCGGATTCTGCAAAAAAATTTGCGGATTTTGCAAAAAAATTTGCGGACAAGTTTGATTGTCCGCAAGTTTTGTCCGCAAATTTTTTAAAATAAAATTATTTTTTAAATTTTATTCTTATCTTAATTTGAATTAAAAAAAGGCCATAAATGCTTCCCTTGCATTACAAGCAGCTACAACAAAAATAGATAACAGACCGGCAATTGTTATTGAAATTGGCAATAGATTGACAAAGTTTTTTTTAAATTTAATTTTTAAATTTTTTAAATTTTCAAAGAATTGGATTCGCTGGTGAATTTGTGCCTCTTGACGTTTTCCGAACAGAATGGCATGATCCTATGGAGACACCTGGACGGACAGTTCCTTCACCTATATTTTGTAGAGATTGGAGTGAACAGGAACAATATGAAAGACTTGTTGAATTTTTTCGAGTTATTGTGTTTAGGTTTGTTTTTAATAAAACTTGTGGGCTTTTGAGAAGACGAAAGGGGATCTAGTTTTTGAAAAGGGAATCTAGTTTTACATAAGGAAATAGCGGAGATAGGATTTTATTTAAAAATTTTTGCCTTTTTTTGATACCCCCAAATACTTTTCTAGAGGCATTCTTATGTTAGGAAAGCCTCTAGATGTTAGGAAAGCCCCTAATTATGTTAGGAAAGCCCCTAATTTAAATTTTTTACTCTTCCTTTCCCAACACCTCCAAAATAACATTTGATTTTTGGCTTCCTTTTTAACCTATTTCCATTTTATTATTTTCGTTAAAATTTTTGCAACTTTCTTTTTTTGTTTAACTTAAGTCATTTTCTTTTTTTCAGAAAATTAATCAATCCCATTGCTTCTCGCCGCGTTGTTATTGTTGAATCTTTACTTACACCTACTTGGCAACGTCAAGCTTTGGTACATTTTTTCTATTTTTAAAAGAATTTTTTTGAATTTTTTAGGCCCATGCTTTGTTTGACTGTACAGCTTTAGCTCCACATTCAATTTTATTTGCTCCTTCACATTTGCTTTGTTCTTTTACTTTTAATACAAAAACTTGTATTGTGCTGGATTTGGGAGCGAATGAAGCTGTTCTTTTTCCTGTAAATTAAAAATTTTAGGAAATACATATAAGGGTGAAATTAAATATTCCCTTACATATCTTCCGTGGTGTAACGGTTAAGGCTTTTGACTTTTATTGGCTAGACTAAGGTTCGACGCCTATTGACTGTTTCCGACTTTTTTCACAATAAAACACCCCAGTATTCTTTGAAAATTCATTTTTAAATCCCTAGAAATTTTTTTTATTTTTCCTTTTCAGATTGTTGAAGGTATTTTAATGCTTCATAATTGGGAAACATCCATTAATTCTTGTGCAAGTGCTTTGGAGTTGGAGGCAAAAAGATTAATGCTTAAATATGGAAGAGTTCGAAGACATCCAGTAATTGTATTAGAAAGTTGTGATGAGGGAGGTGAAGAAGCAGAGCAAGGTTCTTTTTATTTTTTCTGGGATTAATTTTAGGCCGGGTTTTCCAATTTTTTCAAATATTTTTTAAATTTCAGCTGAAACTTCTGATGACGGTCGTCCATTTGCTGAATGTGATTTACCTTTAGCTGACTCATTGCGTTTATGGGAAGATTTAGTTTTTCGTTTTTGCTTTGTAACAACTGCAGCTAGAGGAAGACGACTTCAAACACATCGTTGGATTTTTTTTAATTTTCTTTAAAAATTTTTTGATTCTCTTCTCTTTTTTAGTAGCCAATCCAGATTCTCCTTATCTTACTCGACCTGTCCCTCCTGTTCAACTCCAATTTGGATCAGAATTGCTTTATATCCCTGGAATTGTTCGAGAGGCTGTAGCTGAACTTTTGTTTACACATAATGATGAATCTGGTTGTAGATCTGTTCCTCAATTAATTTTGGATTGTATTTCTAGGGTATTTATTTTTTTATTTTTTTTTAATTTAAATGGGTTTTGAAATATCGTTAATAAACAATTTTTAATGGTAGTAGAGTTGTCCCTATTAACTCCTTGGTTTTTTAAAATAAATTTTTTCTTGGATATCCGACCAAGGAAAAATATAATAATGAAAGTTAACTTTGTTGGTGACGATCAACTAAATTTTATAAATTTTTTAAAACCCTGAAAATATTTGTAGATTCTATCAAGGACTGTCAGTCCTTGTTCAGATATACCAATATTTAGCTGGATTATTCTATTATTTTTAGGTCAGTATTGATTTACGTCGCGTTTTGTTGCAAAATTTGCTCATTGTTGGTGGAATAAGTCGTCTTTCTGGTTTCTTAGCTAGATTAAAGGTTTTAATTTAGTAATATATGTTATCTGGGTGTTAGAAGACTCACTAGCCATTTTTGGAAAATTTCTGCAATTTTTATCCGCAATCTCTAGACTCCCTCTTTTCAACATATTTTATTTAAGATTTAATTTTTATTTTCAGACAGAACTTCTTGATTTAATTGCTGATGGTTATAAACCACAAATATCACCCAAACTTGTTGACATAAAATTTTATCAATTTCCACGTGAAATTGCTGGCGAATTGTTTTGTTCTTGGCTTGGAGGTTTTTTAATTTAAAATTTAAAAAAAATAATTTTGATTAAATTTAAAGGTTCCTTGTTTTGTTCTACAGATTATAATATTGACCAAAGATCAATAACAAGACAAGAATGGCTTCGGACACGAAAAGTAAAGGATTGGACAGAAGAAATTGATAAATATTTTTCTAATTTAAATATTAATAAGGGAGCATAAAGGTTTTTTAATTTATGAAATTTTTTAAGAAATTAATTTTGATTTTTATTACAATATTTTTTTATATTTTATTAAAAATATTTCTTTTATTTTATCTTTTTTGACGTCCAAAAAATTTGGCTGAAAATTGCGTCATTTTTGCGGACATTTTTTGCGGATTTTCGGTGATTTTTTGCGGACTTCTTTTTTCTTTCGCTTTTTGTGGGCTTTCTTTTGCTGACATTTATTTGGGGATTTTTACCACTTTTCTCTCAGTTCTCCTTTGAAATTTATATCCTTCAAATAAGGATTAATTTAAAACAATCCTGAATTAGAATAGGAAAAGTAGGAAAATTTCAAAAAAATTTCAAAAAATTTTCCTATTCCCCAAAAAAGTCCGCAAAAAATTCTTTTCAAGAAGATGCCAAATAAAATTCAAACAATAAATTATTTCCCTCAATTTATTTCTGAAGCTGAAGAAGAAATTTTAATAAAAAATGTTTATTCAGCACCAAAACCAAAATGGCGACAACTTTCTAATAGAAGATTACAAAATTGGGGAGGTGTAGTTTCTCAGAAATTTTTGTTACAAGAAGAATTGCCGAAGGTTTTTTTTTTTGAAAAATTTTTTTTTAATTTTTTTAATTTTATTTTCAGTGGTTAGAAAATTGTATTGACAAAATAATGAAAATTCCTGGTGATTTGACCTTTCCTCCAGAAAATAGGCCTAATCATGTGTTGGTAAATGAGTATTTGCCTGGACAGGGAATTTTGGTTTGAATATTTTTAAATCGTTTGTAAATTTTGTTGAGTTTATTTTATCAAATTATAGTTACTTTTTCATTATTCTTATCGTTGTCCTCGATGGTATAGTGGCTAGGGTTTTAGGTTTGGTGCGCGGATCTGCCTCGGTTCGACCCCTTTTGGTCTGTTGTTATTTTTATTTTGATTGTACTTTATTTTTCTATATTTTATTTTATTGTAAATGTGGTTTAGTGGTTAAATTTTTTGTTTATTTTAGAAAATGACTTGGGTTCGAATCCTTTTCGAGTAATTTATAGCTAAAATAATTATTTTAATGTTTTCCAGCCTCACACAGACGGACCTGCCTTCTTTCCAAAAATTTCAACAATTACTTTGGGCTCTCATGCTCTTTTAGATTTTTATGAAGAAAATGAGGAACATCGAGAGCATGTCGGTTCAGTCCTTTTAGAGCCTAGAAGTTTAATTTTAATATCTGGACCGGCTTATAAATTGTTGCATGGAATTGATGAGGTTTGGAAAAAAATTTTTTTAATTATTATTTATTTAAAGGTTACAAGTGATGGGATAAGCTTAAGAAGTTTACTAAATTTTAATGAGATTGGAACTACTTATGGTGATACAAATAATGATTTCATTATTCTGGAGAGGAAAACTCGGTTTTTTTTTGAATTTTTAAATTTAATAAGGGAACGTTTTGAACTGTAAGGGGCCAAAAAATTCAAAGTTTTTACTTGCAGTTCGAAGGGCTCCCTTTTAAGTATTCCTTTTTTTCTTTTAAATTTTTTAGAGATTTTTCCCTTATTAAAATTTTTTTCCAGTGTTTCTTTGACAATCCGTAATGTCCCACAAGTGAAAAAAGGCTTATTGAACTTCAAGTGATTTAAATTTATTTTTATTTGTGCCTTTTCTTATAAATTATTTAATTAATTTTTTTTGATTAAATATTGTTATACTGAGGTAAAAAATTTTTTGTTGTTTTTGTTTTTATACTTTACCTATTTTTTTAATTTTCTAAAATTTTCAGAAAAACTTTAGGGTCTTTTTGAATGAATCCTTCAACATCGACTAAATTTACTTTACTTCAAAAAATATTGTTGAACCGTTCAATTTGTGAGTTTTAAACTTTTCTACTTTGCTTCAGGTTTATTTTCTTTTCTATTTTTTGTAAGAATGTCGTCGTCAGGGATGGGCTCTACGGCATTTTAGAAGTCGAAAGTGGAAGGTCCCTGATAGTTCTCATGTTCTTAATTTTTTCCCGATTTCTCCAAATATTCTCTTAATTTTTTCCTTTAGACTTAACTCGGTTAGCTTCATTTTTGCCCAATGATGTTATTGAAGCCTCTTCTCTACACGAAGAAATCCCTGGAAATGAACCGAAACATGTTCATGAAATGGTTGGAAGGAAACGTCTGACTCGAGTAGTTTATGGATCTGGTTTGGGAATTTTTTTGATTAAATTTAAGAATTAAAAATTTTTTAGGGCTTTGTTCAACTGGCGCTTTAGCAATAGAAAAGCTTTTGACACCGCCTGTGCTTAAACAATGTGTATGTTTTTATAAATTCAAATTTCTTGTTATTTCAAGACGACTACGTATCTTGGACATAACCGAAATCCGGACTTTTTTCGTCCTGAAACATGGTTCGAAGAATATTTTGAAAACCTGACCCGACATTTTTCCCAACCCCGAGATTTTCTCACTCCGAAACGCCGCTTTGTATTTCATGGTCTAGTGGTCAGTGAGTTAGGTTTGCATGCGAAACGGGCATGGTTCGAGTCCTCTCGGCTGTCGATTGTCTAATATTGTTTTTTTTATTTCTTTTTTATTGAAAAATAATTTCCAAAAAAAATTTCTCCCAATTTTCAGTTATTTCAACCTATGCGTATTATACGTATGAACACAAGAAAAATCCGTTTTATTGCTGCTGGCTGTGGATTTTCTTTATTTGCTTCTAATATTGGTTTTTTAAATTAAATTCATTTTAAGATTTATTTTAATTTTTTAAGAACTTTACGGATCAGGCCTAAATAATTTTTATCAAATTTCTGGACCGAAGAGAAGAGACGAAGATGAAAGGCCAAATTTAGAAAGTGGTTATGCTGGAAGAAATGAAGCAGAAATGTGGTATATACACGGAAGGAAAATAGTTTTACCCGAAGATATTGGAAATATTCGATGTATAAGTGCTGGACGCATGGTTGATTTTTTAATTATTTTTAAGTTTAGGACATTAAGGGTCATGCCCTAACCAGAATTTCGGAGAGGGGAAAATTTTGATTTTTAGCACCGCAGGCGAAAATTTTGAGAAATTCTGAACTTTAAGTGTAGCAACCTTTTTTTCTTTTTTTCTTCTTTTATAGAAGATTCAATCATTCCTGCAATAAATATTTTTTAGCATTCTGTAGTGCTCACAGATTCCAACAAAATTTTCTGTTTTGGAAGTAATTCGCACGGACAATGTGGAGGTATTTTAAAAAATCTTTTTTTTACTTCAAAATCTTTATCTAGCCGATCCACTTGAACATCCAGTTGTTACTCACGATAAGCAGCATGAACTTAAAGAAATGGATGTTTCTACAATTTTAGAAGAAGATGTTGAGATTGTTAAGGTTTTTTCGAATATGTTTAAAATTATTTTTCCATATTTTTTTAAGGTCCACGCTTCTTTAGACACCTCTTTCGCTTTGTGTTCCAATGGAAAATTGTTTGCTTGGGGTTTAGGAACTGATGGACAATTGGGAAATGGAAATGATCAATTTCAATGGAAACCTTCTTTGGTTCGAGGTGATTTGGAAGGTGAAAGAATTGTGGAAATTGGTGGAAGTACAGAGTTTGTTTTTTCTTTTAAATTAGAATTTGATGAGTTGGATAAGTTTTTGGTTGAAGTCCTCATGCTAATCCTCTAGTATTGGTTCTAATTGTAGGGATGTACCCAGAACACTAGATTGCGGGCGTATCGGGTCATTGAGCTTTCATATTTAATTTCAAATCTTCTCTTTTTCGAGAAAGGGGTCGTGGTACAAATCTAGTTTTAAGAATATTCTATTTTTTAAATTTTTGGGTCATTTCAACACTAAAGATCGAAACCATTTATAGTTAAGATTTAAGGAGGGATTCAATAGCTCAAAATTATTTTTTAATTTCAAATCCTCTCGTTTTTTAGCACTCTAGTTGCTGTAAATGAAGACGGACATTTGTTTATTTGGGGACAAAACGAATATGGGCAAATGTGTTCAATTACTGATGAACCTCAAGTTTTCTTAATAAATTTTATTTTTAAATTTTTAAAAAGATATTTCTCCCTCAACAAGTTCCTTTTAAATTAGGGAAAATTGTTGGAGCAGAAGCAACTGGAGTTTCATGGTTTTTTAATTCTAAATATTTTAAAATTTTTCCAAGTATTGTTTGTAATTCTGACGGTCAAGTCTTTACTTGGGGTTCTCATGTACTCGGTTTTGGACCCAAAGTTGAAAAATTAACAAAGCCAATGCAAATTGACCCACCTTTATTTACTTCAGCAATGAATGAAAAAAATTGGGTTGTTAAGGTTTTTTTATTTTTCTAAAATTTTCTCTAATTTTTTAAAAAGGTTTTTGCTGGTGGTAGTTGCATGGGAGCATTGACTGAAGCGGGACATTTGGTTTTTTGAACGATTTTTTTATAAAATTCCGTCATGTCCTCGTTAGAGATCGAGATTTTTGAAAAGCCTGGGCTCGTTCCTAGACTCTGGGGTTTGATTTCGTGTCCTGGGCCTGTAGTCCAGGAAAAACCCAGGAAGGCCAAAAAATGCCTGGACTCTGGATACGGGAAAAACTCATGCCTTAATCCAGGTCCAGTTCGATCTCTGGTCCTCGTATGTCATTCGAAGGAGCTGAATCGGAGTCGGGGACATCTGACGGAATTTTTCTAATTTTTGTTTATTTTTTAAATTTTTTTATATAGTTCACTTGGGGCTCAAATAAACACGGCGTTTTGGCACTCTCTCACCGAAATCATCAATATTTTCCTTTCCAGGTTTCTTTTGCTGAAAGTATTAAAGATGCATCTTTTGGTCCACACCATTCGTTATTTTTGACAAATAAAGTTTAAAAAATATTTTATTTTTAATAAATTTTTTTGTTTTTTTTTCAATTATTTTAATTGTTTTTTGACAAAATTATTTTTTTGAAATTTTACTGGGCACGTCGTTTTTAGGCCTAATTTAAATTAAAAATTGAGAGGTTATAGGTCTAAAATACTTATGGGTCATAAGTTCTGTATGTGGCTCAGTTGGTAGAGCTTCTGCCTTTCCCTATAACAGTTGTCGGTTCGAGACCCATTCGTTTTATTGTTTTGTTTTTATGTTTAATTTTATTTTAAGTGCCTTATTTTTTGTTTTATTGTTCAATTTTATTAAAAAATTTTTTTTTAGCATTTTTAATTCAAAAAATGAAGCAAACAACAGAAAATTCTGAAGCAAACAAACTTCACAAAAATATTTTTTGTGATGGGTGCCATAAAGAAATTCGTGGTAGACGTTATAAATGCTTGGTTTGTACGGACTTTGATTTGTGCCATTTGTGTGAACAAAAGAATGAACATTTTGGGCATGCTATGATGCGTTTGGTTACTCCAAAAACATTAGTATTTTTTTGAATTTTTTAATATTTTTAAAATAAATTTTCCGATACTTGTGGTTTATCCTTTACCACTCTTTGAGGACATTTTCGAACTCGTACAAAATGTGGTACTTATTGCCCTACCCCTGTTAATTTTTTTAAGGATGTAGTGCCTTATTTTTTGTTTTATTGTTCAATTTTATTAAAAAATTTTTTTTAGCATTTTTAATTCAAAAAATGAAGCAAACAACAGAAAATTCTGAAGCAAACAAACTTCACAAAAATATTTTTTGTGATGGGTGCCATAAAGAAATTCGTATAAGAAATTACTTGGTTTACTGACCAACGTAATCTTCCTTGTTGTAATTGGTCAGTAAATCAAGTTGGTCAGTAAATCAAGGAAGGTCAGTAAACCAAGAAATTATTTTCTGACCGAAATGATCTTTCCTTCCATTTTTGAGCTAGTAATTTCGACAACCTCATGGAGATAAGGTAAAGTCAAGGAAGGAAGTCTTACGATTTTGTACATAAAAATGAGTTCGTAGAGATTAGTAAGGGATACCTCGCAAGTAACAATTTTTCTAGTTTTGTTTTCCAGTTGCCAGATTTCGTAAGGGCGCAGTTTGAAGACCATCATTTTAAGCAACAAAAGCCGTCAACGAGTCAACAAGGAACTTTAAATCAGAAAAAGTCTGTTGTTAAACCTAAGAAGAAGAAATCTTCAAAGAAGATTCCTCCAAAGAAAATTATTCAAAAAATTACTACAAGGAAAATTACGTTGCCGACGACTATGAGAATCTGCAAAAGAAGTAATATTAAAGAAGAGCCGGTTTCTGATGTGCTTCAAGTCTGAAAAGGATCCCTAACAATTAGAAAATTCTCAAATATTTTCTCAAAAAGTATTTTTAATTTTTTTAAATTGATTTTTTAATTAATTTTTTTTTTAATTTAACAGGTTCAATTGTTAACAAGAAAGATACGGTTTGGCCTGAATTTTCAATTTTAAAAAGTATTTAATTTATTTTTTGTTTTTGAATAAAAATTTGTTTTGTTAGTTAAAATATGTGAAATTTGTTGGTATTCCTGCCAAATTTTTTTTATTTAAATTAAATTTTATTTAATAAATTTAGAAAGAAATAGACAACAAGAGCAAGTAAAAGACACCAAAAACACCAGAAAAGAATAATTTAATATTCAACAACAAAAAACAAATTTTGTACCTTGTGCGAGTACAACAGCTGTAAAACCAGGTCTAAAATTTCTGAGGATTTTTTGTTCAAAATTTTCGGAAAAATTCTGGGTCTTTGTTGCCTATTTGTTGGTGTGCTTTTCATCTGTTTTTAAAAAAAATTTTATTTTGGCAAAACTTTATTTTTTGGCATACCGTTTCTTACTTTTCTGTGTTAACTAGAGAAACATAAATAAAAATAGGAGAAATATCCCTAATGTTAGTGATTTATACAAAATTTTTGGCTCCGGTACAAAATATGGAATCGTTAAAATATGGAATGGTTAAAATCGCGAATAGGCTAAAAAGGGGTTAAAATACCGAATCGTTAAAATATGGAATGGTTAAAATATCGAATCGGGTAAAAAAGGGTTAAAATATGGAATCGTCAAAATATCGAATTGATAAAATGTCGACACGGCCAAAATGGGTCAAAATGTCGAATTCCTTTAAAAAAGGTTCAGATGAGTGCCATACGTTGATTGTTGATAATTTTATCAACCTATCAACTTACTGCTGATAAGTTGGTTGAAAAGTTTGGTAAGTCTTAGTCCGGCGTAATCTTTTCTCCTGAGTTCAGTGTATTTTACGGAGTAAAACCGGACCGGTTAAATCAAGCATAATCGACCGGATCCGGTCCGGCATGATCGTACGGATCCGGAAAACACAACAGGATCCCGATACGGAAAAATTAGAGTAGCGTCACTAGTTTTTAGTTAAGACCTAAATTTTGACCTTACCGTATACGGTACGGAATACCGAAAAATACCGATCAGCTTTTAAATTTTATCGGTCGGCATTCCGTACCGTACTACCGAAACGGAATACCGAAAAATACCGTCGGTATTACGGTAACGCCCGGATTTTAGGTTTTGGCGCCATTTTTAAAAAAAATTCGACATTTTGACCCATTTTGGCCGTGTCGACATTTTATCAATTCGATATTTTAACGATTCGGTATTTTAACCCCTTTTTAGCCTATTCGCGATTTTAACCATTCCATATTTTAACGATTCCACATTTTGACCCCTTTTTAGCCTATTCGCGATTTTAACCCATTTTTACCCGATTCGAGATTTTAACCCTTTTTTAGCCTATTCCATATTTTAACGATTCGATATTTTGTCCGGACACGAAATTTTTGGTTAGAGAAACATAAAAACAATTAAAGTTAGAGAAGCACACTATCATTTAAACATGTTACAAAACATGTTTTGTCAACGTCATGCAACTTTATAGAATTCTCATTCTTTTTCCATGTTTTGTTTATTTAAGTGTACTTTTTGGTGATTCATTTTTCATTTTCTATCGAAACTAAAAAGTTTTGTCATATGTTTTTTAGTTTTTTTGTGAAATTCTACTCTCTTTCTCTCTCTAATTTAATTATTTTTAATGGCCACCTTTTCTTGCATAGTTTTTGTCCTTTGTTCATTTTTACTAGGAGGAGAGGGCAAAATGACCTCTCTCTCTCTTTTAATTCCCCTCATCCTTTAAAATCTTCTGGAGAGGGTGACAGGCGTTTAGTCCAATTTTCTTTAAATTTTATCTCATATCGGGCTGTAAATTTTGTTTTGCCTTTGTTTCTTTCGGAGTATTGATTTTAATGTGTCACTCTATTCCTGTGGACATTTTCGAGCATATTAAATTTCCTCTACTTTTTCGCTGGACATTAAAATCCTGCTTTTTTCTGTTGACATCTGATTTAATCTAATCTAGAATTTCTATAGAGGTAATGCGTGGTTAAGTTGGTAACGGTTTGGGCTTGTGTTCGATAGGTCTTGGGTTCGACTCCGTTTGGCGATTTTCTTTTTTAAACGTTAAATTTATTAATTTATTTTTAATTTTTTAGTGTTTTTAAATTAAAATGAAGCATCAAAATAATAATTTTGACCATATTATTCATTTAAACGTCATTTGTGATGTTTGTGACCAGATGATTCGTGGACGTCGCTACAAATGCTTAATCTGTCCAGACTTTGATTTGTGCCAATCTTGTGAACAAAAGAATGAGCATTTTGAACATGCTATGATGCGTCTGGTTAAGCCGGATACTTTGGTTTTTTTTTAAATTTTTTTTTTCATTTGAAGAAAATTAAATTTTAGAAGCCGCAAGGGGTGCCGTTTCTTCCTGTTTTTGATTCTGTTGGGAAACTTGTTTCTGATCTGAGTGAAAAACTTACAACTGAAATAAAAGTTCTGTCTACTCCACCGTCTAATGAGAAAGGTTTGAACTTTTTTGGACTCTTTAAATTTTATTTTTTAGGTTCTAAAGTTATTGGTTATGATTTTGATGCTAATAAAGAGGGGTCTAATAAGGAATTGACTGATGTAGAAAAGTTCGAGATTTTGGATGGACTTGATCTTTTGTTACCAGAACAACGTGAAGGGTATGAGTGATTTTAGTTATTTTATATGTCAAATTTAAAATCTGACTCTGAATTTGGGTGAATAGGTTGATTTAAATTTTCCGGAGAAAGGAATTTTCTTAAATCGGTGGATTTGTGAAGGTCCTCTTGTCAAAATGGCAAACGGGAAGCCTGACCGATATATTTTCGCTTTTCAGAATTTCACTTATTATTGCTGCTTGGAAGGAGGACGGTGACGCAACTCCAGCTAAACTTGATTTGACTAATTTAAAGCCAGTTGTTTTGCGTGAAATTCTTGCGTACATTCGACATTGTTTGTCTTTTCAAAGAGGGGCTCGTTTTTGTCGTCGTCTTCACTCTGTTGGGGCATCCAATTGTCATCGTCACTCTCTAGGCAAACATTCGCATCATCACCGTCATCAGTCTCAAAATCCGATCTTGGCTCAAAATCCGATGGAGGCAACTGGTGGCCATCGTCCACATCATCACCATTCTTGTCATCGACGCCATTACAGGTTTTTTTTCAAGTTTAAATTTTGAAACCTGACTAGCATCTAAATAGAATCCTGGTAATGCCAAGTCTGGTCCACCGTTTTTTCTTCCTTAAGATGGCATAATTGGAAATCTTTTTTCCTTTTATTGGCCTGGACTTAATTTTAAATATTTTTTTCTAAGACGCAATCTGCCCCCGGTCGTTGACAATGTTGTGAATACTTCTCCAAAATTCTCAACAAACACAACAACTTCGGTAGCTAGTAGTGGGACTTCAAATGCGCCAAATTCTAATGTTTTGGCTGATTTTGGTAATGTTGGGTTTCGTGTTGATCGACGTCATAAGAAATTGATTGACAAGATGAATAAAAAGTGCAGCAAATTACAGGCTGAGGTTTTTTTGATTTTCTATTTTGTTATAATTATGGTGCTTTTTCCAAAAAGAGACGTCTGAGATCAAAAATTCTTTAAGATATGACCGAAGTAGGGCTGTATCCTAACGCTCGGGGTCGGGTGTGTAGGTATTTGATGTTTTAAATTTTTCGGGGCTGAATTTGGGTCAAAGAAAAATGTGAAAAATCGTTAAGTAATGCGGCACATCTCTTGAGTCTAGACCACAAGTTTCTTATAAACTTTTTGAGAACTGTGCGCTTTTAACTTATCCACATCAAACCAGTAGATCTTTAAAAATTTAGGAACAACGTCTTCGTGACCGCGCTTTTCGTGCTCTTCATCGTTTCAAATGTGTTAATTCTGTTGCTTATCCTTGCGAAAATAATGTCAAACAACCAAAGGAAAGCAAAGTGAATGCACCACAGAATAATGGAGTCGGTAATAATAATGAGCAGCAACGCCAACCATTTGATGATGACCGTGTTGAGTATTTGAAGCAAATTGGTGAAACTGTTCAACGTGCTCTTCTTAATTTTGGTTTGATTTTTTTATTTCTATAGCTCTTCAATACTAATTAAAGGAATTGATTGTGAGGCAAATGTTCAAGATGGTCAGGGTAATATTCGAGCACATTTGGCTTTTCCAACACAGCAAAATGTTTCAGTCTCAACTGCTCCAGTTAATAATAACGTTAAAAATGTTTTGAATCCAGAAGTTCATCAAACACCTGCTGGGGTTGTTGAGGTTTTTTTGTTAAAACTTTTTGTTGATTTTCTAAATTTCAGCGTCAGCAATTGCTTACCAAGAAACAAGAATCAACTAAAAAGCAGCCAGTTAAACCTGTTAATAAGGAAATGAATCTTAATAACTCTAAAGCTTTTGGGCATGGAAATTTGGGAATGGTTTGCTTATTAAATTTTTTAAAGTTTACCCTTTATGCCCATTGATTCTATTTTGTTATAATTATGGTGCTTTTTCCAAAAAGAGACGTCTGAGATCAAAAATTCTTTAAGATATGACCGAAGTAGGGCTGTATCCTAACGCTCGGGGTCGGGTGTGTAGGTATTTGATGTTTTAAATTTTTCGGGGCTGAATTTGGGTCAAAGAAAAATGTGAAAAATCGTTAAGTAATGCGGCACATCTCTTGAGTCTAGACCACAAGTTTCTTATAAACTTTTTGAGAACTGTGCGCTTTTAACTTATCCACATCAAACCAGTAGATCTTTAAAAATTTAGGAACAACGTCTTCGTGACCGCGCTTTTCGTGCTCTTCATCGTTTCAAATGTGTTAATTCTGTTGCTTATCCTTGCGAAAATAATGTCAAACAACCAAAGGAAAGCAAAGTGAATGCACCACAGAATAATGGAGTCGGTAATAATAATGAGCAGCAACGCCAACCATTTGATGATGACCGTGTTGAGTATTTGAAGCAAATTGGTGAAACTGTTCAACGTGCTCTTCTTAATTTTGGTTTGATTTTTTTATTTCTATAGCTCTTCAATACTAATTAAAGGAATTGATTGTGAGGCAAATGTTCAAGATGGTCAGGGTAATATTCGAGCACATTTGGCTTTTCCAACACAGCAAAATGTTTCAGTCTCAACTGCTCCAGTTAATAATAACGTTAAAAATGTTTTGAATCCAGAAGTTCATCAAACACCTGCTGGGGTTGTTGAGGTTTTTTTGTTAAAACTTTTTGTTGATTTTCTAAATTTCAGCGTCAGCAATTGCTTACCAAGAAACAAGAATCAACTAAAAAGCAGCCAGTTAAACCTGTTAATAAGGAAATGAATCTTAATAACTCTAAAGCTTTTGGGCATGGAAATTTGGGAATGGTTTGCTTATTAAATTTTTTAAAGTTTACCCTTTATGCCCATTGATTCGGCTATTACACATCAATGATGTCACGCGTTCCCAAAAACCGATTAGAAAAATTTTTCAGAACTCGGGCGAGACCCGTCCCAATTTATTCTCAAACCGCGACATCCCTTCCAAGCATGTTTATTTCTTTTTTATAAATTCTAGGGCCAGAGTAAAATTGCAGCTGAACTTCAAGCCGAAAATGTTAAACTTCAAGTCGAAGAAAAAAAATTGGCTGAAGCTCGCAAGGATTTGTTTGCAATGGTAAGTGCTTGTTTTTTAATTTACATATAAATTAAAAAAAATTTTTTTTTAAGCTGGCTGAAAAATTCGAGGCTAGTGGTGTTGCTAACAGTAAGTCTTCGCCCATATCAATTCAAGGTTTACTAGCAACGCTTAATTTTCCGGATGTTGCTGTTGATGAAATTTGGGTTTACTTTCTAATAAGAATTTTTTAAATATGTTTTTTAAACTTTTATAGAATAAAGGTAAACCTTTAAATGAGCTTCAGAATGAACTCAAAAAAATGGCTGAGGGTCATAAGGATATTTATGGATGGGTGAGTGCATTTTTTATTTACCAAATTAAATTATTTTTTAAGCTTGGTGAACATTTGAGGGCTAATGGTGCCAAGTCAATGTCAAAATCATTTCAATGTTATCTGGAAATTCTTAATTTTCCATATGTTAATGGTAACAATAATCAACCTGGACAACGACAAGAACAGAAAGCTGTCAATTCTGAGACACCAAAAATTGAAAATATTAACAAAAATAATGCTGAGGATCAAATGTCATCGTTACAAGAAGGGGCGTCTTCTACATCTAAATTAATTCGAAATTTGAGTCAACTTAATTTGAACGATGTGAATCAAGACAAAAATGAAGAAATTAAAGAGAACAAGAAGGAAGAGATGAATTTGGAAGAGAAGAAGAATGAAGAAGAAAAGGAGGAAGAAAGTGAAGAGTTGATATGTATAGATACTCTTACTGAACCTGTCAGTGAAATTCTTTCTGTCTCTTCTTCGGATTCAGATGTTGAAATTATTGAAGCTACAAATGTTTTGTCTGAACCAGATAAGACTGTTAATACTTCAAGTAATGTGGAAAAATTGGAAGATGGGAAGGAAGAAGGAGAGAAAAAAGATGATGGAGAAGAGGATAAGGCTTTGGAACCTGAGGTTTTTTAATTTAAAATAAATTATTTTTCAAATTTAAATTGATCGAAAAGTCTGCACTTAAATTTTTAATTCATGATAAAATTTGCGGACAAAATTTGCGGACTTTTCTAACAGAAAAAAAATTTATTTTTTTTTTCAATCATTTTATAGCCTTCTCTGCCACCAAGTCTTGGTAATACTAATGGAAGTTTAAAACGTCGAATGAATGTTATGAATGCAAGTTTACATACAGCTGAGGAATTTGTTGGTGGTGATGATTGTAATGATTCCAATTTGGCTGAATGTTTATCTCGTTGCTGTTCATTCTCTTCTATTCATTCCACGTCTTCGTGTCGTTCGGATTCTTCTAGTTGGATTGAGGTTGAACAAGCTTCTTTTAAATCGATTTGTGATAAATATGAGAAAAGACGTCGTCTTGATGAAAATGTTGTTGGAAATGAAGGTTTGTTTTAGGGTTTAATATGTTTTGTTTGCCATTGGCGTAACCAGGGGCTATAGGTTCCCTGAAATTGGGAAAATGAAAAAATTTAAGGAGGGAAATGATCAGAAAGCTTTCAACCCCATACAACCTCCCAAAGGCGTATCCAGGGGGTCGGTTTCGGGGGGGGGCTAACACTGGGTGGGCGCAAAAATTTTTGGCGTTTACCTTGGCGTTCCGGACGCAAATTTTTTTGTACATTAATTTTCATCTTTTTCAGCGTAATTTTTTTCTTTTTCATTAATTTTCATCTTTTTCATTAATTTTCATCTTTTTCCCCAGCCCCCCTGGATACGCCCTTGCAACCTCCGTATTTTCCAATAATTTCAAAATTTATTCGATCCAGATGCTACAACTTTGTCTGATCAATACCAGTGTTGTAGCAATGATTTGGCTATTGTTGGAGAGAATTTGGCAAAATCAATGGGAATTGAGCAAGTTTTGAACAATTCGAAGAATAATGAAGTAATTGAAGAAGAAAAAATGGAAGAGGAAGGAAAGGTTGAAAAAAGTGAAGATAAAATTGAAGAAAAAGTAAAGGTTGATGAGGGACGTGTAGAGGAAGAAAAAAAGATTATTACTAATAAAAATGACAAGGCTTCTCCAATTTTTGAAGAAACTGTTTTGGATTTGAGTAAATCTGTGACGGTTAATGAGGAGGATACTTGTGGACAAAGTAAGGGTTTGCTTTTATATTTTTTTAAATTTTTCTGGGACAATATTTAAGGGAGACACAGGCGGGTAGAAACGTCCGAAACTCTTGGTCTTGATTCCAAGAATTTTCTTGGGTTTTTCTGTCTTGAGTCCTAGAAAATTTTGTTCTTGGACGTCTCTACGGGCGGGTTAATCAACTATCTGTTCTATCCTAACTGTGATATTTTTATGATAGATATCGGAAAAGAATTGTTTTCGAGTCGGGCTACAGTTCTATTAAAAAACACGGTCGCTTTTTAATACCTCCTCGGGTGAAAAAAATTTTCTTTTGTGTTTTTTAGATGAGAAAAATGCTAAAATAGAAGAAAATAAAACTATCAATAATTCTACAAAAAGTATGGAAATTCCGTGTGTTGATTCTTCAAATACTACATTGACAAAAATGTTTAATGATTTTTTGTCTCATTATATGGGTGGTGGATTTACAGCAAATAATAATGGACAAAATGATGTTGGGGATGGACAAGAAGGAAAGAAGGATGTGGACAATCAAGAGACGGGTTTATTTAAATGATTTAAATTTTAAAAATAATTTTTTTAGCTTCACCTACTCTTCCCTTTTCTGCTAATTTTTTCATTTCTCCACCACCACTGCCACAACAACCTGTTGTTGCTGAAATGCCTTCGGCACCTCCTGTAGCGGCTGAAAACGGAACTCAAACTGAGGAAGGAAAAGAGGTTTGTTTGTTTTTTTTAAAAGAATAGGGGAAATACTGGGAGTGGGAAGAATAAAACTTTGAAAATTATTTAAAAAATTCAGGAAAAGCGTGCCAACATTTACCCTGATTTGGTTGCCCATGCGTTATCTCGTAGTGGAATTGTTGATGAAATTTGCACTGCTGGTGCTCCTCATCCTTTTACAATTGCCCAGCCAGGTGGATCGCAACATAGCCGTAAATGTTCATGGCAGCATTGGGGTAGAATTTTTTTAAAGTATTTTTTGTAGATTTCTTGGTAAAAATCCTCAAATTTAATCACCTTTTTGAAGAGATTTTCGTTCCTGTGGCTTTGATTTAAATAAAAATAGGCATTTATTTTTCTAAAAAGGATTTGTGTTGATCTAACATACATGGGCTATTTTCAGAAATAATTATATATTTGCGGACTTTTAAATACTTTTGCGGACATTTATTAACTTTTGCGGATTTTTACTAGATTTGCGGATTTTAATTAATTTTGCGGACTTTTATTAAATTTGCGGACAAATTAAAGTTTCATAATCTTGTTCAAATTATTTTTTTAAGAAATTAAAGTAAATAACATCGCCAATCAACTTGTGGATATGGGTTATGATAATTGTAATGGATGGCTTTATCGGTTTTTTGAAATTAAATTAATCTAATTAAAATTCTTTTTTTTTAGTTTGGTCGTAGAAGCAAATTATGACGTTAATCGTGTATTTGAACTTATTGAAGAGGACCCGCTTCATTTGGAACGCCAAATTTTGGCTGATTTGTAAGAAGGGAAAGAAAGGTTTTCTTATAATTATGTAGTAGTTTATAGAGAGAAGGGAATCAAAAAGTATATATTATTTTTTTAGCTATAAGCTTATAATTAAGGATTCTTCTTTTTTGATGGTTCTTATATATCGAAACTTTAAATATTTGAAATAAAATTTATTTCTCTTTAAATTTTTAAAATTTTGTCAATCTGATTTTCAAAATTCAGATTTTTTATTATTTTTGTGTGAATTTCTCATTTAATTTTTTTTAAGATTTAAATTTTAATCTTTCCGTCCCTCACTTTCACTCTTAAAGAGAAAAATAAGGCAAAAATGACCCCATCATTTTTTAGTTATTCCTTCCCTCATTTAGAAAATAGGGGGGACGCTTGTTTTTTCTTATTTTTAAGCTTAAATGGGAACTGAGCTTGGGGAAACTATTTTTAAAAAATTAGGTCACTAGACAATATTTTTTTTATCTTTTGATGTCACAAAAAATTTTTTGAACACAAAATTGAGGGAATACTTATATTTTTTACTTTTTTCTAGCAAAAAATATTACATCATTTCTAAAATTGATTTTTATTGGTCATCAAAAACACTCTCCTCCCTATAACGAGTCATTTAAAAGGGGGCAAATGAATATGGGGGTCTTTCCATTTTTTCTAAGTTTACTTGGTTCGTAACTTAGTTGATGACTTTTTGTTGCTTTATTTATGTTATGGATCTTGTCACGAACTTTCGGATCCGAAAACTTTGTGGACTCGAAATCTGCCGTTCTCTCCCTTAATCTCCTATATCTTTCCAAATCTCTTTAGCTCAAGTATCAGTCCGCAAAAAAGAATCCGCAAAATTGAAACCTTATTGATTCAAACCCCACTAATATTTTTTTGTTTTTTTTTTGTGATACATTATTTTTAAAAAATTATTTTTTAGAGTTTTTTAAAATTAAAATGAGCAAGCAAAATAATTTTGAACAGTTTCTTCATTTAAACATCGTCTGTGACAGTTGTGATAAGGAAATTCGGGGGCGTCGCTACAAATGCTTAATCTGTCCGGACTTTGATTTGTGCCAATCTTGTGAACAAAAGAATGAACATTTTGAACATGCAATGATGCGTTTGGTTAAGCCGGATACTTTGGTTTTTTTTAATTTTGATTTATTTTGAAGAAAATAAATTTTTAGAGACCTCATTATCTCTGTAAAACTCCACCTACACAAATTGAAAAAATGGCTCAAGTTTTCAACAAGGCTTGTTCTAGCTTTGTTTCAGGCTTTCAATCACCCTCAACAACACCAACTGTCACTACATCTCGACGTCAGTCATCTCCTGTTACTATTAAATTTGAGGCTGAGGTTAAGGGATTGACTCAAGATGAAAAGTGGTTTATTCTGGAGGCACTAGATAATCTTTTGCCACAACAACACGATGAGTAAGTGAATTTGTTTTTTTAGTTTGACTTGAAGTTTGGAGGATAAGGAATTTTTAGTAGGCGTTAGCACAATGTTCCGCAAAATTATCGAATCCGTGACGACCAGCTCGTCGTGGCGCATCGGACCATACCCAGGCGTCCCGGATTCGATATTGGCCTACTCCCACGAGGGAATAGGCACGAAATCGTATTTTTGAATTTTAAACTCATTTTATTATTTTTCAGAATCTCAAAAATTCTCGCTGCGGCAAAGGAAAAGGATGACACAACTCCAACCAAACTTGATTTGGATGCTTTAAAGCCTGCTGTTTTGCGTGAAATTCTTGCCTACATTCAACGTTGTCTGCCTTATCCAAAAGGAGCTCGTCGTTTTGGCTCTGTCAAGCCTTCTGTTTGTCATCGCCATTCTCTGAGCAAATATTCGGCTAATCATCGTCATTCGTCTCAAAATCCAAGTTTGGCTACTATGGGTGAGGCAACTTCTGACTATCGTCCAAATCATCACAACCACTCTTGTCCTCGACGTGCTTCCATGTATTCTTTATTTTTACTACCAATTTTATGGTCCGTATACTCTATCCCCTAAGAATTTTTTTGGTTTTAAAAAATATTTTTCTGTCCGTAAAAAATTTTTTTTGTCCGCAATAAATTGTCCGCAAATTTTATATTTTTTCTAAATTTACAGTCAAGTTGCTGTGGAAGCTTCTCAAAAATTTGCAGCAAAGACAGCATCTTTAAAAACTTCTGCATCAACTCTAAGAGCTCAAGTAATTGAGAATTTAAATAAGGATCTTGATGAGACTTATCAAAAGCAAAAAAGAATCACTGAAGAATTTAAAAAAAGTATTGCTAAGCGAATTGCTAAAGAGCCAAATACTTTGCCGACTCAGGTTTTTTTTAATTTGCGAAGTCTTTTGACTAAAATATTTTTTAGAATTCTGTTGCTTCTCAAAACGAAAGTAATGTTAAACAACCTGAAAATAATAAGGAAAATGAACAAAATAAGGAAGTTGTTAATAATAATAAAGAGCAGCAACCACAGTCGGCTGATGAGCGTGCTGAGTTTTTGAAGCAAATTGGTGAAACTGTTAAACAGGCTCTTCTTAATTTTGGTTTGTTTCTAATTTTATTCCTTTATAAGGCTCTCCGATACTAATTTGCTTGGAAATAAATTTGTCCACAAATAAAATCGGAAATATTTTTGCGGACAGGATTATTTTTTTTGAAGAGACTTACCTTCCTTTACAACCAAACTTTGGGCCACAAATAAATTTTTTTAATTTAAAGGAATTGAGTGTGAGGCATCTGTTCAGGATAGTCCGCGTAATATTCGCGCACATTTAACTTTTCCAATACAACCAACTGCTCCTGTCAAAAATAATGTTCAGAATATTTTGAATCCAGAAATTCATCAAACACCTGCTGGGGTTGTGGAGGTTTTTTTAAAAAAATTTTGCTTTATTTTTTTTTTGAAATTTTTAGCGTCAACATTTAGCCTTAGCTGCTAAGGAAAAACTTGAGCAGTTAGAGAGGCAAAAACGTGTAGTTAAGGCTTTTCGTTATTTGACGGGGGCTAGTCATGCTACTGCCACTAATTATGCTGCTGGAAAAACTGTTCAGGAGACTGCAAAGGACAGCGAAGAAATTTTGGAAATTCATGTATTTTTTTAATCTAACCATTTTGATCTTTTAATTATTTTTCTAGTGTTCTCAACCAAGTAGTGATGATGTTATGAAGCTCAGCACTCATACAGCTATTGGGATTGACGAAGAAAACAACTCTTCTTCTAATAATGAGGATATTATGAAGAGCAGTGTTCATACAGCTATTGGGATTGATGAGGAAATTTCTCCTAAAGATGATGTTATGCAGCTTAGCACTCATACAGCCATTGGGATTGATGAAAATGATAAAGGTTTGACTTTGAAACTCTTTGAAATAAAGTTTCAATTTTAGAAATTAATTCTGAGACATTAAAAGGAATAGAAGATTTAAAGGTTGTAGTTAAGCCAACTCTTCCAGAAAATAATGGTCAAAATGTTTTGAGTCGACAAGAGGAGTTGCTTTCTCCAATGAGTGTTGTTGAGGTTTTTTTGTAAAAAAAAACATTTAAAATTAGTTCTTATGGGACACGCCGTAAACTGGACGCCGAAATACCAAACCCCCCAACTTGGAAGATTGTCAAAATTTTTAGTGTTTCGTCAGTCTTTCAGGGCTTTGGTATTACCCCGGCATCAGTCCTTTTTTATTTATGATAAATTTGCGAATTAAACTTGCGGACTTTTTTTTCTTCAACAAATTATGTTTTTTAATTCTCTTAATTTTCAGCCTTCTCTACCACCAAGTCTTGGAACAAGCAATGGAAGTTTAAAACGTCGAATGGATGTTATGAAGGCCAGTACACATACTGCAATAGCTATTGGAGATGAATATGGTGGCAAAGGTTTGGAAAAAACTTTTTGAATTTTTTAAAATTTTTTTTTAATTTTTTAGTCGATGATTGTAATGAATCTGATATGGTTAATAATTTGTCTCGTTGTTGCTCATTTTCTTCTCTTCATTCTTCCACTTCTGGTTCAAGCTGGATTGAGGTTGAGGAAGTAGAAGAGCAGACATCTTCCAAGAAGCTTTCTGATAATTTATGGGCACCAAAATCTTTTTATGAAATTGTTTCGGGAAATGAAGGTTTTTTATATTTTAATGAATATTTTTTGAATTGGGAGAAAATTTTTTAGAAATTGCTAAAGAATTTTTGAGGTTTCTATGAAACACTCATCGTTATTTTGTGAATCATTAGGTCAGATAACTGGCAAACATCTCTTATTTGTCACATTAGTACATTTTGCTATACCCTCCCAAAAACAAATAAAATATTTTTGGAGAAGAACGATGAGTGTTTCATAGAAAACTCAAAATATTTTAGGGAAACTTTTTATATTAAGAAAGAACCATTAGATGTCAAATATTAACTGGCACAAAAATAAGAATTCAGGAGATCTTATAACAATTATTTTTTAATTTTTAGTAAGTCCAGACACAACATTCACTGCTGAACAATTTCATAGCTGTAACAATAGTACTGTTGGTGATCCTGTTGATTCTACTAAAGAGACTATGTAAATGAATCTTTTTTGTTCATAAGAATGAGGGAAAGAAGGAACTGTTTATATTGAAGGAAAAGGGTTTTTTAAATATTTAAATCAATTTTTACTTTAATCTTTTTTTTTTTAATTTTTTATTTCTTTAAAATTTAAAAGGGAGTGTTGAATTAAATTTTATTAAAATTGGGAGTGTCAGAAAATTTTATATTTTTTGGGGGTTTCTAAATTTCAACACCTCCCTTTTCTTGTGTATACTTTTCTTTTACTTAAAATTGATTTTAAAAATTATTTGATTTTTTGATTATGAATAAATTTGCCTTTTTTATTTTTATCTGATTTTATCTTGTTTGTTTCAACAGATGTGCTTGTTGACTGCACAGTTATTTCCTCTATTTTTTTTATTCGACTGTTCTTTTACCCATTGTCTTTTTTAGCCGTTGGCCTTCCGTGACTTTTTGAGCAACTTGACCTTTTGGCTGTTAGACGTTTTGTCCCAATTTTGTCTGATCGATCTTTTAAGTCTCCGACATTTTTTCTAATTTTTCCTTTTCGGCCTTTTAATCAGTGTCTCCAGTTTGTGTGTTAATGGGTTATTGACACGTGTAATTCATTTTTACGGGTTTTCCTTGCCACATTTTTTAATTTTTACTTTGAATTTACACGTTTTTAAATATTTTTTTATATTTTAAATTTTAATCCTTTGCCACGATTTTTTTTTCTTTTTAAATTTCTTGTTTATTAAATCATTTTTTCTATTAAACACAAAACCTTTTCAGTTAATCATTATTTTTTCTTAAATATTTTATTTTTCCTTCAATTAACAAGAAAGAGGAGATTTTTATTTTGCTCTTATCCTCTCCCATTAGAAATTTACTGACGATCGAAAATTGTTTAGATGACTTTTTGCGTTTATAGCATTTATTTTCTAAATGTGTTCGATGGGTTGTGTGGTCTAGTTGGTAGTGATTTTGTCTCACTTTGTGTGGGGTCGAGGGTTCGAAGCCTTTTGCTATCAATTTTTTTTATTTTGATTATAAAGAGTTTGACAGGTTTACTAAACAATTTAAATTAAAATTTCATCGATTTTTTAATTTTTTTTACCTCGTTTTCGTTTATTTTTCTCGCTAATTTTAATTCTTTCTTTTTTAGTTATTTTTTGACGATTAAATTATTTTTCTAATTTATTTAAAATGAAAGCTCTTATTCTTGTTGGTGGCTATGGAACTCGACTTCGACCTCTTACTTTGACACAGCCCAAACCTTTGGTTGAATTTGCTAATAAACCGATGGTTTTTTTAAAACTTAAGAAAGAATTCAAATTTTTTTAATTTTCAAGGTTTCTCATCAAATTGAAGCTCTTGCTGCTGCGGGTGTTGACACAGTTATTTTGGCAGTTACTGCTCGGATTGAAAACTTGTTGAGTGCTGAAATGCAGAAAGAAGAACAACGCGTTGGAGTTAAGGTTAATTTTGTTTTTATTTTTTATTTTACTGGCTGGGTTTGGGCATACTTTCGGTTGACTTCATAACATTGTCAAAGCTTTTATGTAAAACATAACTATGTTTATGATGATAAGTAAGTTGTCGGTTCAATATTGTATCGAATTTTACTTTTTGATTCTTTGGTATTCGGTTCCAGATATCAAAGATTTTCCAAGAACCAACAACCTCAATAACAAAATTATCTTGACATTTTTATTTTGTTGTAGTTTTGCGATCCCCGTCAAGCTTCTTTCTCACAAATCAGCTTCAAAACGGGAGTATTTTCCTTTCGGTTTCCTAGTTCTCGAGTCCTCCTTGCTAAACACACGTTTCTGCATTTTTAAATTCCTGCTTTTAAATCCACTTTTTTATTTCCTAATGTTGTTTAGCTATCGCCTAGTTAATGACGTTCCCCTTCCAATTTGCCCATTCCTATTAATTTTTCCGAATTCAAAACTCAAAAAAATTTTTTTTAGATAATCTTCTCTGTAGAAGAAGAGCCAATGGGAACTGCTGGACCTCTTGCTTTGGCCGCTAATTTATTAAAAGAAAGTGACGAGCCTTTTTTTGTATTAAATTCTGACGTTATTTGTTGTTTTCCTTTTAATGAAATGATGGAATTTCACAAAAAACATGGACAATGTGGAACTATTGCCGTTACTAAAGTTGGTTTTTTTAAATTTAAATTAATTGTCCGGTCTAGTTGGTGCTGATTTTAATTTTCCACGGAGTTGGTTGAAGGTTCGAACCTCCTCGCTCGAATTTTTTGGTTGACTAAAAATTTTGGCTTTTGTTTAGTTTACGCGTCCATTCAATTTTTACACGTCTAATTAAAATTTTATGCGTCCACTCTTATTTTTATGCGTTCAATATTTGCGCTAAGTTTTCGTTTTACGTGTTTGAACTTATGTTTCGTTATTTGCTGTGCAGATAACGAAGGAGCTAGGACTTATCGGCATTGATTCGACGCATAAGATATCATTGGACGCGTAATCTCTGAACCAAAAATTTTTTGTTTTGTGGAAGATATTGTTCATTAAAAATTTTTTATTAAAAATTTATAGGTAGAAGAACCAAGCAAATATGGAGTTGTTGTTTTTGACGAAGAAAAGACAGGAAAAGTTGATTCTTTTGTTGAAAAACCTCAAGAATTTGTTGGAAATAAGGTTTTACTTTAATTTTATAAATTTTTAAAAAAATTTTCCAAAAAAGATCAATGCGGGTCTCTACGTTCTAAATCCTTCAGTATTGGATACAATTCCTTGTGCTCCTTGTTCTATTGAAAAAGAAATTTTTCCAAAAATGGCAGATAATGGAATTTTGCATGCTTATGTTTTGAAAGGCTTTTGGATGGATGTTGGACAACCTAAAGATTTTTTGGAAGGTTTTATTTTTTGAAAATTTTTTTAATTTTTTGTGAGTGATTCCGGGATCTTTCCCCCAAAATTCCAATAAGTATGTCAATATATTTCTGCCTTGGGAGTCACCGTCAAGCCATGTTAATTCTGATTGCCTCGTTCAGGGCGTCCATAAAAATTTTATTAGGACTTACTGGTATAACAGACCGACAATGATAAGAGGTTATTACTTGAGATCTGCCTGGGTCTGTATCCAGACTTTGATTTTCCTGTATCCAAAGTCAAGATTAAGACATTTCCTTGATTTTTTCTTGGCTCAAGGTCCTCAATCAAAATCAAGTCTTTTTAAACTTCCGAAGTTATAACTTTTTTTGATTCGAGATTTGTGTCTATATTTAAAATCCTATCTCCCAAAAATTTAACAAATTTATTTTTTTAGGTGTTCGTCTCTATTTAAAACACATTGCTGGTACCGACACTGCAAAAATTCCTGAACATCTTTTAATTAATGGGAATGATGATGGGAAACGTTTAACTGGACTTCATTTAGTTGCTCCAGTTTTAATTGATCCGTCTGCGCAGATTTCTTCGGGTAAAAATTTTTATTTATTTTTCTGTCAAAAATTTTTTTCGGACATTCTTTTTTAATTAAAATTTATTTTTTTTGAAGATTGCTGTATCGGCCCAAATGTATGTATTGGTGCAAGTGTAAAAATAGAAGAAGGTGTTCGTCTTGTTGACTCTTCAATACTTCCAGATACTACAATTCATGCTCACAGCTTTATTTCTAATAGTATTGTTGGGAGAAAATGTGTTGTAGGTTAGCTTTAGATTTTAATTTTTTGCTTTCTTTAATTCTTTAGAAATTAAATTTTTGAAAAAAAATTTTTCTCATGTCCGCAAAAAATTTGCGGACAAGAAATTTAAAAATTTCTGTGTCCGAAAAAATTTCCTGACATGCGAATTTTCATTCTTTTAATAATTTCTTTCAATTTTTAACAGGTAAATGGGTCCGTATAGAAAATACCAGCATTATTGGTGAAGATGTGGTTGTTAAGGATGAACTTTATTTGAATGGTTTTTTTTTATTTTTTAAATTTCTCTAAAATTTAATTAAAGGTGCTTGTGTTCTTCCACACAAATCAATTGCTGCAAGTGTGCCAAATCCGACAATTATTATGTAAAAAGAGGCAAGAGGTGCTTTGTTTTGTGGTTTTAAATGGTTTATTTTTTAAAATGTTAAAATAAGGGAAATTGGTGGGAGGGAGGGAGATTGTTCACGAATGGAAGGGAGAGGTCTTTTCCCAAAGGGGTTTTTGTTTTAAATCGCGTCTCTTCCCAATTTCTCGGGGGGTTTTTTTCAAAATCAGTTTAAATTTTCTCTAAAAATGGTTCGTGGACAATCCCTCTCTTGTGCACATTTTGAGAGAAAATTTTTTTTAATTATTTCAAGACCAACGTGATTCTAATTTTTATTTAAATTTAAATATTTTCCTTTCATTTTTGTTGTCTTTTTTGATTATCCTTTTCTGTTATATTTATTTTTTTATTGTACAAATAATCTTTCAACAATTTTTTAATTTCTAAAATTCTAAAAAAGAAAATTTTCACTTAAGCAATAATTAAATACCAAAAATATATTTTTTTGAATTTAAAAAGAATAAAATTATACATTTTTAACGGATTAAAAATTGTTTTTCCTGGATTTTTGTATAGATTATTTGTAATAAATGCGACAAAAAATCGAGATTGGTAGAAAAGAATAAGAAGGCCCCGAAGTTATTAAAAAATGTTTTTTTTAATTTTCTTTACAATTTTATTTTGTTCTACTACTGTCTGTAGTCAGTTCAGTGTGAACATCAGACGAGGCTAGTTAATCCGATTATATATATATATATTTCGAATTTGACGCTAGAAGAGAGTATCCTTAAGTATTTTCAAAACAGTCGGTCTGTCGCACTGAACTGTCCTTAATTTCGCTCGCACTGAACTGTCCTTAATTTCGCTCGCACTGAACTGACCTCGACTCTTTAACTGTCTAATGTCTCTTTATTTCCCGTACTCTTTTTACATTTATTGATTTCATTGTATAGACATGCAAAGACTGGAACTGGTTAGAGAAAAAGAATTAATTTTTCCCACGGCGGAGTAGTGAAAATGGTTTTCTCTGACCACTACATGTTTTTTGTGTGTTGTTACTTCTTGTGTTCCCAATATCCAACTAGAAATCCATAAATCGGTTTAAAACCGCTATATCTTTTTACCATATAAGAATATTTGTTTCAGAATTCAAAAATCTGCGATATTTGGCATAATGCAAAACTTTAAGAGTAAATGACACTTCATCCCAAAAATCAATAATCGATTTTTGATGTTTTTTTGGAGTTCTCTGTTGTCCATACTTAGCAAAGATTAGTGAACGACATATCGACTTTTTCTTAAGGAAAAAAAGTCGTTTTAAAAAAATCTACAATTATTCGCGAACGACTTTTTTTAATAAACAAAACGCCAGAACTACGTAAATATCGATGTTTTACGCCAAACGATTGCGAAACGACTTTTTTGTATCTCTTTTTCTCTAATTTTTCATTATATTTCCTTTCTCTTTTTCTATTAATTTTCGTCTCTCTTGTTTTGTGCAGTCCATTTTTCTTGGAATCCAAAAACTTTGTAGGGCCATAACTTCCTTTATTTTTGTCTGTTCGAATTATTTTTGGCACCATTCGAAACAGCTCGAAAAGCTCCATCGAATGAAACATCAAACTTACAAAACATACCAATTTTGTATGTTTTGAATAATTAAAAGAAAACAATAGAAAAAAACGAAGAATTGATAAAAAAATTATCATCTACTTGATTTGGGGTCGCTTTAGTATATTCCCACAGATTTTCCAGCGAAGATTCTGTTGAACATTTTCTAAAGAACATTTTCAAATGTAGTCGAATCTTGACTCTAGGCTTTTCTTGGGCTTTTTCGGGCTTAGGGGGAAGTTAAAAACAAAATTTCAATAAAAAAATGAGACAAATAAACAAAAATTTATCAAAAAAACTAAAAGCCAATGTCTCGTTTCACTCATTAGATTTGTGGCCCTAAAGAGGGCCGTTTGGGTTGTGGCTGTGTCGCTTCTATTCCATCTAAGACTGCAATTCAAAGGTTGCCAGGCAGAATCACTTCAACAGCAAATCGCCCGAGCACGTCGTTGTAACACTTAGAAAAATGAATTAAAAAATTGAAAAAATTTTAAAAAATTCCAAAAAAAAAATAAGATTTAAAAAACAACCTCTCCTATTGTTTCCCCATTGTTGCAGCCGTAGGATGGAGTTCGACACACATCAAACAAGTTTTGATTAAACATAAAAAAGAAAAAATTTAGGAATGAAAAAAATTTAGCAACTAATTCTAGGATCAATGAAAACGATAGCTCATTCGAGTTTCAGGGTGCGAAATTCGGTTCGGGAAGTGTAATTTAACCCGGAAAGTGATTTACCCACAAATTATAATGCACCGAAAAACAAAATAACCTGATAATGGTTGCTGCTCCAAATGTCGTTGATGGTAAGTGTTTGCTTCTGAAAATTCACTACTACCATTAACAATAAGACTTCCAAATGTTGTACTAGGAGGCTAATGAGATAGGCATTAATTCTACAGCTTCAAAATTTCAATTTTTCTGCAATTTTCCTTCAAATTTCCTTTCCTACCTCCAAAGCCTTAAAAAAACTTTTGTAACCCCTAAAAATAAAAAAATGAAATCCAATTTACAAAAACCTCCTTACAAATTGAGAGACTGCACTGAACGAAAATTAATAGAAAAAGAGAAAGGAAATATTTTGTGAAATTAGAGAAAAAGAGACACAAAAAAGTCGTTTCGCAATCGTTTGGCGCAAAACATCGATATTTACGTAGTTCTGGCGTTTTGTATTAAAAAAAAGTCGTTCGCGAATAAAAGTAGTTATTCGCCGCGAATCGACGAAAACGTAGATATGTCGTTCACTAGCAAAGATGTTCTAAACGGAATGCGTGGCTTTTCCTTTTTTTGGGATTAACCTTTTTAGGGGGGAGGGTAGTATTGAGTTGCGGACAAGACTTGCTGTTTTCGGTAATCCTGCAGAATCTGGGAGACACCTGAAAAACACCTTAAAAATTATTATTTTTTTCTGAAAATTATTTTATATAGGTAATCGACCATGCTGATCACGAATCTGATATTAGATTTTGTCATATATGACATTTTATCTATGATTTTTTTATAAAATTTTTTATTTTTACAGATTTACCTTTTATTAATATGAATATTATTGAAATTACAAATTTTATTCGCACTACTGATGACGCACTTACATTTCTTCGGGAAAGAGGTATTCTTAGAGCTTTGGATCGACCCCCAATTTGTCCGGTCTGTGGTCAACAAATGGAACTTAAAAGGAGGCAAAGCACTGGAGATGGAGAAGTTTGGCGATGTGAACGTAGAATTAGAGGAGCAAAGCATAAAAGACAAGTTTCAATTCGGCACGGGTCTTTCTTAGAGCAAAGTAATCTCCAACCATGGAAATTTGTGATGTTAGCATATTTCTGGGCTCGTGGATGTTCTAATGCTATGTTAGAGGAATTTTGTGAACTTTCCCCGCATTCAGTAATAGATTGGTGTAACTTTTTCCGTGGGGTCACTTCTCGACACCTACTTGCAAATCCAATTATGCTTGGTGGAATCAATAGGATTGTTCAAATTGGTTAGGAAGGGGGGGGGTCTCAGGGGATCATTTAATCTAAATTATTAAGACGAATCGTTAGTATCAAAGCGTAAAAATAATGTCGGACGTGTGGTAGAAGAAAAATTGGCTTTCGGTGCGTTTGATTGTCACACGCGGATTGGTATTTTGGTTTTAATTCCAGATAAAACTCAGGTTTAATATTGTTCGTTCAGGATAAAATTATTTTTCCTATAGAACACTATATTCCCCTTAATACAACAGTATATTAGGCCAGGATCAATTATTTACTCTGATTCTGCCGCCATGTATGTGAATATGCGAGCCAACCCACCCACAAGCCACTTAACTCAAATTGCGGTGAACCCACCATATCAACATCAGTGGGTAAACCATACCAGGAACTTCCGTGATCCAATTGATGGTTATTCCCAGTATTAAAAAATACTTATTATAAATTTTAGGAACATGCACCAATAATGTCGAAAATTTTTGGAAAAATGCAAAACAAAAAAATAAAGCCATGAGTGGAACAACTGCAGAACTTTTACCATCCTATTTGGATGAGTTCCAATGGAGGCAGATGTATGGAAAGAAAACAAATGAATCATTTGATAATTTATTAAACCAAATTTCAGTTTATTATCCCGTCAACAATTGATTTTTTCTAAAAATAAAAAATTTTATAAAAAAATCATAGATAAAAAATCATAGATAAAATGTCATATATGACAAAATCTAATATCAGATTCGTGATCAGCATGGTCGATTACCTATATAAAATAATTTTCAGAAAAAAATAATAATTTTTAAGGTGTTTTTCAGGTGTCTCCCAGATTCTGCAGGATTACCCTGTTTTCTATTTTTTAAAAAATTATACATTTTTTATTCAGTTCTTCAGCAGCAGCAACAACAAAAGTGTCAACAGCAAAAGTCCCACTCTTCGCTTCGGCGATATCTGGGCAGACAAAGTCCCACTCTTCGCTTCGGCGATATCTGGGCAGACAAAGTCCCACTCTTCGCTTCGGCGATATCTGGGCAGACAAAGTCCCACTCTTCGCTTCGGCGATATCTGGGCAGACAAAGTCCCACTCTTCGCTTCGGCGATATCTGGGCAACGATTAAATTCCAATGTACTCGTCTACGTGGTTAGTTTTCTTACTTTATTAAATCCGCAAGTTTTGTCCGCAAAGTTACTCCCTTAAATAAGTTTATCCTTTCCCAATGTTAAAGCCAATTAAATGGTGGCCAAGTTCTTGACAAACGAGAAGACGTACAGCAAAAGTTCCATCGGTTAAATGCATTGATTTGCTTGTTTTGAATGGTTGATCTTTTGATAGGTTGTTTTTATGTTTAAAATTTTTTTAATTACTTAATTTTAAGCTTTGAGAAAGTATCCAGAAGCCTTAAAAATTTCTAAGAGGTTATTTTTAATTATTTACTATGGTTTCAAGTTATTTTTTAGGCCGATGACTTGTTGCGGGAAGACAGTCTATTTGATGAGAATGCTTTAGAAGAACAAGAATCAGCAGAAAAAAATGACTGAAGAACTCCATTCTTTTGTTAGAATTCAGAAAATTAGGTTTGGAAATTAATTTTGATTATTTGTTTTCTACAATTTTTCGTTTATTCAAGTTTTGCTCCCTTTTAAAATTTACTAATTTTCCCGTTATCAATGTTTAAATCTCCGTTCAGTTGCTTCCCTTGAGTATTGTGACTTGTAGGGGGGTTTTTGTTGGCCCGACAAATTGTAGTCGTTCGAAAAAGCTTTTTGAGCAGCTGACTCGAATTACACCAAGCCAACGCGATCTAACAAGTTTTGACCAAGTTATGGTGTTTGTTTAAGCTCCTTACATGTTCATCGTGGAGGTTTTTGCTGCTGTATGCCGGCCGCAGCTATTATAGGTTTATGATGTCTGCGCTTGGTTTCGTCCCACCTTGGTTTCGTCCCCCTGAACAAAAACTTTGGTTTCGTCCCACTGTACAAAAACCTTGGGTTCGTCCCTCTTGGTTTCGTCCCACCCTAGATTCGTCCCATCTCAAAATGTCCAACAGATAAACAAGAGTTGGCGGACTTTTCAAAAGAGTTGGCGGACTGCTGTTCCACGCCGTCTGTTGTCGACGAAGACGCCATTCTATTGACTACAAAAACCAAAACCAGACGGCCATTTTTAGTGTCACAACTTTGATAAGTGCAACTAAACAATGGTTTTTTTTAAATTTTCTATAAAATGTTTTATGATTTTTTATTTTTGTTTTTTTCCCTCGAAATCCATTATTCTCAACGTCGGGATACTTTATTGAATCTTTTCGCAATCCTTTGAAGATTACACTTATATTTTAAATTTTTAGTTCGACGAATTGAGTATTTTTACCTGTTGGACATTTTGAGATGGGACGAATTTTTAGGTGGGACGAATCCAGGGTTTTTGCTCACTGGGACGAAACCAAGGTTTTTTCCCAAGGGGACGAATCCAGGGTGGGACGAAACCAAGGGAGACGAACCCAAGGTTTTTGTACAGTGGGACGAAACCAAAGTTTTTGTTCAGGGGGACGAAACCAAGTGGGACGAAACCAAAGCGCGCCGTTTATGATACGAGTTTAGGACCCAGTGATCGTAGAACCCCAAGCGCTTTTTGTATCGTAAATTTGTACAAAATTGTTGGATGGCGTTGATTTTGGTGTTATTTTTTATTTTTTTAAAGATTGTTGTATCGGCCCAAATGTTTGTATTGGTGCAAGTGTAAAAATAGAAGAAGGTGTTCGTCTTGTTGACTCTTCAATACTTCCAGATACTACAATTCATGCTCACAGCTTTATTTCTAATAGTATTGTTGGGAGAAAATGTGTTGTTGGTTAGCTTTAGATTTTATTTTCTTGCTTTCTTTAATTCTTTAGAAATTAAATTTTTGAAAAAAATTTTTCTCATGTCCGCAAAAATTTGCGGACAGAATTAAAAATTTTCATTTTTTAATAATTTATTCCAATTTTTAACAGGTAAATGGGTCCGTATAGAAAATACCAGCATTATTGGTGAAGATGTGGTTGTTAAGGATGAACTTTATTTGAATGGTTTTTTTTTATTTTTTAAATTTCTCTAAAATTTAATTAAAGGTGCTTGTGTTCTTCCACACAAATCAATTGCTGCAAGTGTGCCAAATCCAACAATTATTATGTAAAAAAGGCTGACATAAAAGTGCTTTGTTTTGTGGTTTTAAAGGGTTTTTTTAAAAATGTTAAAATAAGGGAAATGCGGGGGGAGGAGGGAGATTGTTCACGAATGGAGGGAGAGGGGTAGTTTATAAATCATTGGGGAAAGATTTTCAAAATCACGTCTCTTCCCAATCTTTCGTAGGGGTTTTTTTCAAAATCAGTCTATAAAACAGGAATTAGGGTTAAATAGGGCTTTTCTCAAAAAAATTTTTTCCGAAAAACCATTCGTGGACAATCTCTCCTGCGCACATTTTTAGAGACAAATTTTTTAAATTATTTCAAGACCAACGTGATTATAATTTCTATTTAAATTCCTTTATTTTTTGTCTTTTTTTTTGCCTACACTATTTCATCTCGTTTTATAATTTTGCTTGTTTTTAGCCAAATTTTATGTGTTTTGAATAAAGTTAAATCACTCGTCATTGAATTATCCTTTTTTATTATATGTATGTGTACATAAAATTCAGTCAATTCTCCAGAAAAATATTTCGGTTTTTACTTGAATACCGGACAGAGAATTCGAGGAGGCCATTTCTATGTTACCAAGACTCAAGTAATCATCTTGTTTCGAAACTACTCTGTCTTCCATTTTCAAGCAAGTTGGAATGTAGTAGGTAGAGAAGTAAAAAGTTTGAGATAGTTAAGGTGCTGTGATGTAATATTAAAATAAATGACATTTTATCCCTTAACTTAGAGAAAATATGAAAAAGAAATAGTGTAGTTAGAGAAAGAGAATTATCAAAAATTTTGGTCGTTTCAGTGCTGAATTCTGAGAGTGAAAAACTACTGTATTTTAAAATTTTTAGGTAACACTGGGTCAAGATGGAATTTGATGAATTGGAAGGTACCGAGTTTTCAGCATGAAATTTGATGTTTGGAAGGTTGGGCGCGCCGAACTATGCGGATTCAAATTTGCGGACCCCAATTTTGCGGACACGAAATTTGCGACTAGAAACTTGCAGAGCCGAATTGCGGATCTAGATTTTCGGACCAGAAATTGCGGACTGCCAGTAGATTCTATTGGACTTATTTTCTTTCTTTACTCAAGTGTCAGTCCTCAAACTTTGGGCCGCAAAAAGCAGGTTCTCAAATTCGAGTACGCAAATTACGTTTGCAAAGTTCAGGTCCGCAAATGAGTTGTCCCAAATTTTTAATTTTGGAATCTGATGAAATTTTGGAATCTGATGAAGTTATTTTTCGAAAAGCATGATGATTATATATTGATATTAGTTTTGTAATTGGATTCGAAATGATAAAGTTTATTGATTGTATTCTTATTTTTCGATGCCGTTATTACCTAAAAATTTTAAAATACAGTAGTTTTTCACTCTCAGAATTCAGCACTGAAACAACCAAAATTTTTGATAATTCTCTTTCTCTAACTACACTATTTCTTTTTCATATTTTCTCTACGTTAAGGGATAAAATGTCATTTATTTTAATATTACATCACAGCACCTTAACTATCTCAAACTTTTTCCTTCTCTACCTACTACATTCCAACTTACTTAAAAAAGGTAGACAGAGCAGTTTCGAAACAAGAGGATTACTTGAGTGTTGGTAACACGAAAATGAATCCTCAACTTTGTGCTCGGTATGCAAGTAAAAACCGCTATATTTTTTCTATATTTTTTCGATTTGAACTTTAATAAAAAAATGAAATTCAATGACGAGTGATTTAACTTTATTCAAAATACATAAAATTTGGCTAAAAACAAGCAAAATATAAAACGAAATGAAATAGTGTAGGCAAAAAAGACAACAAAAAAGAAAGGAAATTTAAATTAAAAAAAAAGAAATTAGAATCACGTTGGTCTTGAAATAATTTAAAAAATTTCTAACAAAATGTGCGCAGGAGAGATTGTCCACGAATGTTTTTCAAAAAAATATTTTGGGAGGGCCTATTTAACCCCAATTTACGTTATATAGACTGATTTTGAAAAAAACCCCTCCGAAAGATTGGGAAGAGACGTGATTTTGAAAAACTTTCCCCAATGATTTATAAACTACCCTTCTCCCTTCCATTCGTGAACAATATCCCTCCCCCCCCCCCCCGCATTTCCCTTATTTTAACATTTTAAAAAATAAACCATTTAAAACCACAAAACAAAGCACTTTTTGTCAATCCTTTTTACATAATAATTGTCGGATTTGGCACACTTGCAGCAATTGATTTGTGTGGAAGAACACAAGCACCTTTAATTATAAATTTTTAAAAAATTTAAAAAACAAAAAAAACCATTCAAATAAAGCTCATCCTTAACAACCACATCTTCACCAATAATGCTGGTATTTTCTATACGGACCCATTTACCTGTTAAAAATTGGAATAGATTATTAAAAATGAGAAAAAAAATTTTGCGGACAAAATTTTTTGTCCGCAAATTTTTTGCGGACAAAATTTTTTGTCCGCAAGTTTTTTGCGGACAAAAAAAATTTTTTCAAAAAATTATTTTATCTTTAAAGAATTCAAAAAAAATTAAAAACTAACCAACAACACATTTTCTTCCAACAATACTATTAGAAATAAAGCTGTGAGCATGAATTGTAGTATCTGGAAGTATTGAAGAGTCAACAAGACGAACACCTTCTTCTATTTTTACACTTGCACCAATACATACATTTGGGCCGATACAACAATCTTAAAAAAATAACACCAAAATCAACGCCATCCAACAATTTTGTACAAATTTACGATACAAAAAGCGCTTGGGGTTCTACGATCACTGGGCCCTAAACTAGGTATCATAAACCTATAATAGCTCCGGCCGGCATACAGCAGCAAAAACCTCCACGCTGACCATAAGTAAGGAGCTTAAACAAACATCATAACTTGATCAAAACTTGTTAGATCGCGTTGGTTTGGTGGTGTACAGCCCAAGTAGGCGCGCGGCCAAGTAGGCGCAGAGCCATAACTTGCTTCAAGATTTTCGAATCTTATTAAATTTGGTATTAAACGATTCCTCTCATCGAGCTAAAGAGATTGGTACCAAGCTAAGGTCCAGAAATTTTCGAGGTAGTTATGGCTTTGCGCCTACCTGGCCGCGCGCCTACTTGGGCGTGTCCCGGTTTGGTGTAATTCGACTCAGATGGTCGAGCTTTTCGAACGACATACAATTTATCGGGCCAACAAGAACACACCTACAAGTCACAATACCCAAGGGAAGCAACTGAACGGAAATTTAGACATTGATAACGGGGATTTTTTGAAAATTAAAAGGTTTTAAAAAGGGGTAAAACTTGAATAAACGAAAAATTGTGGAAACCAAATAACCATAATTAATTTCCAAACCTAATTTTCTGAATTCTATCAAAAGTTTGGAGTTCTTCAGTCATTTTTCTGCTGCTTCTTGTTCTTCCAGAGCATACTCATCAACTAGACGGTCTTCCCGCAACAATTCACCGGCCTAAAAATAATCTTGAAACAATAGTAAATAATTAAAAATAACCTCTTAGAAATTTTTAAGGCTTCTGGATACTTTCTCAAAGCTGAAAATTAAGTAATTAAAAAAATTTTTGAAGATAAAAACAACCTATAAAAAGATCAACCATTCAAAACAAACAAATCAATGCATTTGACCAATGGAACATCTGCTGTATGTCTTCTCATTTGACAAGAACTTGGCCATCATTTAATTGGCTTTAACATTGGGAAAGGATAAACATTTAGGGGAGAAACCTTGCGGACAAAACTTGCGGATTTAATAAAGTAAAAAACAAACCATGTAGACGAGAGCATTGGAGTTTAATCGTTGCACTGTTGGAGTGAAGCCATTGCCCAAATATCTCCGAAGAGACTCCGGGGCTTTTGCCCAAATATCTCCGAAGAGACTCCGGGGCTTTTGCCCAAATATCTCCGAAGAGACTCCGGGGCTTTTGCCCAAATATCTCCGAAGAGACTCCGGGGCTTTTGCCCAAATATCGCCGAAGCGACTCCGGGGCTTTTGCCCAAATATCTCCGAAGAGACTCCGGGGCTTTTGCCCAAATATCTCCGAAGAGACTCCGGGGCTTTTGCCCAAATATCTCCGAAGAGACTCCGGGGCTTTTGCCCAAATATCTCCGAAGAGACTCCGGGGCTTTTGCCCAAATATCTCCGAAGAGACTCCGGGGCTTTTGCTGTGTTGCTGTTGAAGTACTGAAAAAAAAAATGTTTACATTTTTTTAAAAATTATAAAAAGCAAGTCTTGTCCGCAAGTCATAACTACCCCCCACCCCACCCCCTAAAAAGGTTAATCCCAAAAAAAGGAAAAGCCACGAATTCTGTTGTCGAACACTTTTGCTATAAGTGGTCAACAGAGAACACTAAATGACACATCAAAAATCGATTATTGATTTTTGGATGAAGTGTCATTTACTCTTAATGTTTTGCATTATGCCAAATATCGCAGATTTTTGAATTCTGAAACTAATATTCTTATATGGTAAAAAGATATAGCCGATTTATAGATTTCTAGTTTTGATTGGATATTGGGAACACATCAGTGTTTCGCCGGAAGTTCCGGTTCCGGCCAAAATTCGTGGTTCCAGCGAAACACTAGAACACATAAAGTAACAACACACAAAAAACAGGTCAGAGAAAAACATTTTCATTACTCTGCCGTGGGAAAAATTAATTCTTTTTCTCTAACCAGTTCTTGTTTTTGCATGTCTAAACAATGGCTGCCGAAAAAAATCAATAAATATAAAAAGAGTGCGGGAAATAGAGACATTAGACAGTTAAAGAGTTGAGGTCAGTTCAGTGCGAGCGAAATGGCCAGTTAAGTACGACAGACCGGCTATTTTGAAAATACTAAAAGATTCCCTCTTATGGTGTCAAACTCGAAATACTTCATATAAAATCGGTTTAACGAGCCTCGTCTGATGTTCACACTGAACTGACTACAGACAGTAGTAGAACAAAATAAAGTTGTAAAGATTGTCAAAAAAGACTACAAAAATAAAAGAAATTTAATATATATTTTCTCTAAATAGCAGATAAAATTAAATCTATTTAAATAAATTATCACGAAAATGGTATGGAATGCTAACATAAGATATCCATATATGGAACCTATTAAAATTTCATCTTCAGCCAATCTAAGCCCAAAGCGTATTCTGTGATTTTGTCGACAAAGCAGCAATAGCCTCAATTTCAACAAGTCCACCTTTAGGCAATGCTGACACCTTTAAAAATAATTATTAAAATCTAAAAAGAAATAAGGGTATTATTGAGGCTATTGAATTAAAAAATAAATTAACTATGAGACGGGCTGAGTCTACTCCTAAAAACACCTCAAGTACCCGCCTATTGAACCTTTAGACCTACAAATCTTGAAAGGGAATATCGAGGAATTTGCGAGATTAAGGTTATATCGATGACTTTGGTGCCGAGTCCCCAAATAACTAGCTAAAACGAATTTAAAAAATACTTGATAGCAAGAACGCGCAGGATAGCCCTTTTTCTCATCAAAAAATTGTTTGTAGGCTTCATTCACAACAGGAAAAGCAGTCATATCAACCAAAAGAATTGTCGTCTTTACAACTAGAAAATGAAATTTGAAAACTTTAAAAACATGTTAAATAAACTGTTATCGAAAGTAGCATAACTATGAGCAGCCTTCAAAACTTGCTCAATATTCTTCATTGCCTGAACAGTTTGAGCATGGACTGGATTGTCACCAGTAGCGAATTCATTTGTGCTAGGAACAATGCCAAGTTGACCACTCAAGAAAAGATAATGTGGAGCTTCCCAGATTTCTTCATTTTTACCAGAATGCTCTGAGCCAGTAGAGTAAACGGCTTGGCTAAAAATAAACTGGTTAGGTTTTGCTTTTAGTTTTTCGAAATTATTCTATTATTTTTTAAATTCCTATAACCGATGGAATTCTTTGAACTAAGGAAATTTTTGAAAATGTGAAAGAAACAAGAACAAAGGTAAACAAAGATTAAAAATGCTTAGAAAGGCCCGATTGCAAAATTTTAAAGAAACCTGTAAGGACCAATTGCTGCCGGTGCTTTAGTTGTGTTAACCACATTTTTGCCAATACAATACTGTTCCTCAATCTGATCGTCGTTCATTTTTAACAATGAAGATCTGGGGAATTTTAAACTTTGTATGATTCCTTTATATTTTAACCCCAAATGTTTGGCCATAAATACACAACTCAATGTGTTAGAACTTATAGTCCGGTACTGTACGTGTGTACCATAATATACGCTGACAATCAGTTTCTGCACTTAAAACCTATGCAAACGTTGGGCTTGTTACCAATATATTTCTACTCAACCAGATAAGTACACACGCACAGTAACGGACCATACGTTCTTTCAAAAATATATAGCATTCTAGCTTAAAAATTGTGGATAAACTCCAAGGGAATTGAATTAATTTTTAGATCTACTAGTATTTTATAAAATATGAAGTCCTACTTATGTTAAGAATTAAAAATCCTAGTTACGAAAAATTGAAAAATTTGATGAATATATAAAAATATTTCGTAAACGATACAAACGTCAAGAAAAAAATATATAAAAATTATTTATCTTTATAAAATAAAGCTGTCAAAACTCGAAGGTTTCGGTTTGGTTATATTAATTTTGGAGGGAACCTTCGAGTTTATTTCTCAGCATTAAGATAAAAAAGAACAAAATAAAATGAAAATTTATCAAATTTTCAAATTCTATTCTCGCGACGCTCAGGTTCTTCTTCTCGATTCCGTCTCACCTATGATGAGATGTGTGAAGATCGTCGTTGAGTTGTCTGACCAATTAAGATGTGTGAAGATCGTTGTTGAGTTGTCTCACCAATTGAGATGGGCGAAGATCGTCGTTGTTGAGGAGATGGGCGAAGATCGTCTTTGAGTTTATTTCTCTGCATTAAGATATGGTGAAGATCATTGAGTTCGAAGAGATTGTTAAGAATGTTGATAGTTGTGAAGATGGATTAATTCCGTCTTCAAATTTGAGGATGTAGGAGATAATGTTGTTGAAAATAGTAGTTTAGTCCTCAAAATTTCATAATTAAAATATAAAAGGAAACTAGCGTTTATAAATTAACACCACGGATCTTTAGATTAGTGTTCGGAAAATGGATTTTTTCGTTACTCCCGATAACGAAAAGCACCGAAAAATAACGACTCGGTATTTTCGGGAGTACCGAACCGGTACTCACGATGATGTTAAAGATTAAGAAGTTAATCCTTATTAATCCTCGTATCTTTAAACAGGAAATCGGAATTTCCCACATAGAAGGAAAGAATAATTTAACTACTGATTATATTGAATTTCTTTAAAGATGAAATAGAATTGGCAGAGACCCAGTTATACCCCGACCAAGAAATTCGGTAAGAACTCAATACGCTGATGTTTGCCCCCTCCTTCCAGGCGAAATGTTTGTAGCCTTCCAAAACCTCAGGTTATTAAACGTACAGAAAGCGGATTAAATGATAGAAAATCCCGACAAAACGAATATAGAACCACATGAAAAATCTATTTAGGCTATTATCCAACATGTCAAAATTTCAAAATTTATATTTGTTGAGGTTGATTGTGTAAGCTCAACAAAAACACAATTTCCATTTATATCCAACCCCAGATTAATCGAAATAATCCTCACCTTTATTGTTATTCAGTCACTGCAGGCGTTCTTGCAAAACCAGAAATAGCCACCAAGCAATAAAGAGCTAACTTAATTGAAATTTCAAAAATTAATTATTTAGAAAATTAAAAAGTAAAATAAATGAATATAACATATTTAAAAATAATAAAAAAACATTTTTATTCAACAAGTATATATTTGCCCAATGTAATCATTATAAAATGAAGAGCAACAAAAAACATAATATAACAAATATAACATTCCATCAACTCTCTCTTGCTCTTATCGCAAATTGCAAGTCATCTTCCCCTCAACACATTTTCCCATAATCTAATAACTCCTACAAAAGAAAAAAAGAGGTTAATAAGAAATGATGACTAAAGGATTATCTATTGGGTCCACCCCAGGTCTACTCCCAAAAGATCAAATAACTCTAAAGGTCAACTCCAAATATTTGGACGGATAAACTCAAGGCCAAAAGTACGTTTCTTGCTTTACCTTTTTGCTTTATCTAACAGTTACAAAAAGAGGATTCTATTCTGTCCCTTAATCCCCGTTAATCCCAATAAATCCATAGATATCCCCATTAATCCGCACTAATGTTTGGAGTGCTCCTTCAGGTAGTTGACCTTTTCTTAACCTACAAATATTTGGTTAGTGAATAAAATGAACTTAATTGTAAGTATAACAAAGCCCAAAATTAAAACCCACACCATTCAGCACCACCTCCACCTCCCTGCTGTTGCTGCTGACTAACTACACCAATTGGAGCCAATTCGTGGGTTGGCATTGGATACGAAGCTTGTTGTTGTTGTTGCTGCAGTGGGGATTCTTTGTGTTCGGAATATGGCTGCTGCGGAACAGATTCAACTGGAGGATCCAAAACCTGTAATGTTAAATTAGCTAAAGGCAAAAAATTAAATATACCGAGATGTTGTCAGGCAACGGGTTGCGGGGTCCTTGTTGTCCACGCGGATCATGTGGTAACATGATTTTGACTTTGATTCCAAGAACACCTTGAAATTTAAGTTGTAAAAGCGAAAAATTTCCAGAATATACCTTGACGCATTTGAACGTGTCGCACAGCCTCTTGAATATATTCGGTGACTGGATTCCCGCTGTGAATCATGACCCCGTCAACAAATTTCATAGCCTTTGCTCGTTGACCGCGTAATTTTCCGGAGACAACAATTTCACATCCACGAGCACCGCTTTCCATAATAAAACGAAGAACTCCTTTAAAAGAATTTTTAAAATTATATATTAAGTCGGCCCAAATAAAAAATAAGGGGTTCAGAAAACAAAAAAAGAAACCATAACAAGCACGTCGAACTGCAAGACCACCAACCAACTTATAACGAAGAGACTCGCATTGGGCCACAGCACAAAGACCACGACTGGATACTTTTTCGGCATAAAGCTGAAGAAAGCTTTAAATCATTTTCAAAGTCAAATAAACCTCAATTTGTCCAGAAGCATATCCAAAACGTTTTTGAACCAAAGCAGTCAACTCACGAATTCGTTTGCCACGCTCGCCAAGAACACTTTGGGTACGTGTCGCCATGATGATGACTTCAGTACGGGAAGGAGCACGACGCACTTCAACACCAGAATATCCATCTTCGGCGAGTTCCTAAGAAAACATGGATAATGTCTTAAATAATCAAAATAAACCTTCATCAAAAAGTTATTCAATTCCGCCTTGAAAAGTCCATCTTGAATAGCTTTACGCTTCTTTGTAATCGCTTGTTGTGACATGATTTAAAAATTAACTAAATTAAGCCTAAAACAATAGAAAATAAGCTCTAGGAATCGAAAAAAATAATCCCAAAAATAAAATCGGATTTAACAAAAATTCAATCATAGACAAAAAAAATTTATGACAAAACACCACATAATTGAAATTTTTACTGTTTGCCAGCAAAAGAACATTTTAAAAGTTGATGTTTTGAAAATAAATCAATAAACAAATTCCTTTCCGAACCTGTCCACATTTTAATTCACTAATCTTTTTTTCGCCTTTTTCTCTACCAAATAATTTATACACTATTTTACTTTTGTAGTAAGGGAAATCGTTTCGAAAATTAATTTATTGAACAAAACAAATTATTTCAGAAAGAACCCTGAATCTTCTAAACTTCGATGGAGCGCTCCAACGCAGCAAAGTATGCCGGAAAACCAATTCCAAATGTCTCAAACAATGAAAACGGAAACACTAAACAAGCTAAACTTTTAAGGTTCTTATAAAAATTTTTAAAACAAAAAAAAACTTTTTAAAAATAGACAAGCTTCTGCAACACTTGGAAGTGGCAATTTACGGGATATAATTCTTTTGCCTTATGGAGAGGATGAAAACGAATGGATTGCTGCTAATAGTTTGTTTTTTTAAATATTTTTATTTTCTAAATTTTTAAAAGTTTCCGATTTTTTCCGACAAGTTTCAATGCTTTACGGAATGATTTCTGAACATTGTTCCGATGAAACATGTCCACGGATGATTGCTGGGGAGGAATATGAATATTTTTGGTTATTTTTTAAATTATTTTTAGCATTTAAATCCTTTCAAAGGTCAGACAGTAAAGGAGCAGTAATGGAACCATGCCCAGCTAATGTTTATATTGATTATATGTTAAGTTGGGTACAAGAAGAGTTGGACGATGAAAATGTTTTTCCTTCACAAATTGGTTTGGATTTATTTTGAATTAATGAGGTTTTTATCCCGCGGGGCTTTTAGTTTTTAACCTCTGTGATCGAAAGCAGAGCAATAAATTAGAACAAAAAGTCCACTAAAAGTTCTTTTTTTAAAGGTCAGGATAGGGCTGTCACTACTGGTTGAGAGAAAAAAAGTTGGGTCCGTTTCATCAAAGATTTCTTCGGATCGGGGTTGGATCGAAAAAGTTCGGGTCTCGAGTAGGGTCAGTCAAAGGGATTAAGAGTGAAAAAAGGTTTCCTCTGATCGGGTTCCGGGTCGAAAAAGGGGTTCGGGCAACCTGTGCCATCCTTGGATCAGGGGTCTCTTTCTATTTGAAACCTATTTTAAATCCAAAAAAATTTTTTCTTAAGGAAAACCATTTCCACCCAATTTCAAACACATTGCTCAAACAATAATGAAAAGACTTTTTCGTGTCTATTCCCATGTTTATCATCAACATTTTAATTTAATTGAACAATTAGCTGCTGTTGCTCATTTAAATACTTCTGTAAGAATTTTTAAAAATTTTTCTTATAAATTTTCCCCTTTATTTTTAAGTTTAAACACTTCATTCTATTTGCAAATGAATTTGAATTAATTGATAAAAAGCAACAAGAACCTCTTGCCGAATTAATTGAAAAATTGGCATTAAATAAAAATAAATGATCGAAAGAGGGTTTTTTGAGAGAGGGAATATTTAATTGATAATTTTTAAAAAATTGTAGTTTCCGAAAGTATTTTTATAAAGTTTGAATTTTAATCGAAGGTTTGCTTTCAAACCCAAACGAGGTACTCTTAGGTTATCCTCTCCCACCTCCATTTTCCTGTCCTTCTCATTACTCCTTAAGACTTCAGAGTGGTCAAAGCTGAACATGATAGGAAAAAAGAGGAAGTGAAAAAATTTTTCTTCCAAAAATTCTTTCAAAAGAAAAGGAAAATGGAGGGAAATAACATAAGAATACACAAATTCTGATAAAATCCCCGTTTAAAATAAGCAAAAATCACTTCCTCCTCATTATCATCTCTCATATAATAATTAAACAACATCTCCTTTTGCACCCAGACGATGAGGATCCTGGCTAGGGTAATAAATACTTGGTGGTTTTTGTTGTTTTCCACTAGTTACTACATCCCGCTAAATTTTTGATTTTTTAAAGAAAATTTTTACAAAAATTCTTTACCAAATCAATCGGTTTTTGTTGTCCTTCTCCTCTACCAATTTGTGGTGGTGGAACATTTGGAACAATTAATGGTGGTGGCATCAATGGACGATTTTGTTGTTCTCCTGGTGCTGGTTCAAATCGTGTACGTTTTGAAGGGCCTGGGCCATTGTCGTAAGCATATGAAGGTATAGGGCAGGCTAAAAACAAAAATTTTTTGAGTTCAAAATGGTCAATGTCAAAAAGGTTAAAGCAAAAAATTAAAAAAACTAACGATCAGCAAGATTTGGCACTGGCTCGAATGTCCGGTTGCTCATTTCAGTTGAAGTCATTGGCTGTGATTTTGGTTGACCCCAACGAACTCTGATTTTGAGTCCCTTAAAGAGGAGAGAACTTGTAAAAATCAGAATTCTATAAGATATTAACCTTTAAAGTAAGCTGCTCAAAAGTTCTATCAGCAGCCATTTCTGCTGAGTGTCTTGATGTAAATTGAATAAATGCACATGCTTTTTGCGGGACAACGTGGACTTGACGTATTTCTCCAAATTGATAAAAATAGTCTCTGAAAAGAAAAATATTTTGAAGAAAAATGTGAAACGAGCAAGAAATGACTGTACTTAAGTATAGATGTCCCTGAGTCCTTATGTACAGGCCGTATTCTCCCGTCACAATCTTTTAATTATCCCTTTTTCATGATTAAATTTCAAAATAAATATTTAAAAAATTCAAACCTAATATCAGCTTCAGTAACAACCAATTTATCATCTCTACTTAAATTACCCAAAAATAGAGTAGTTATTGAAGGATCATCTGGAGGCGTAAGTTTAGGCAACGCTTTTGCACGATTTAACAATTTGTCGGCTACCGGGTCATTACTTCCATAATAACGATCACGCAAATTTTGTTGGGATAAAGGGTCATCCGGATCGCTTGGTTTTTCATGCCTAGAAATTTTTTTGAAAATGGAAAAAAAAAGATAACAAAAAAAAACCTGTAAGGACATTCTTCTCCACGTAAACATTCTCCTTTGACAAAAAATGAACAAATATGAGGCAAATTCCGATTATAATATGGCTGATTTCGAGCCAATTTTCTCAACATTTCATTTGTCCCTGCATCTGTAATTTTTGCCAATTGACCGTAAGGGACAGTTCCGTCAGTTAGAGCCAATGCACGATCCGCATTTTGAATAAAAAAGTCGCGGTTGGCCCCTTGTTTAGGCAGTTGTTCTTTGATTTGAAGAGCGTGGTCGCGAACTTGTACTGGTAAACCTGTAAGAAAATAAAAATTATAAGCAAGCTTTATTTGTTCCTGCAGCTATAAAGAAAAGATTTAAGCAATAGCCTGCCGAAATCATAAAGAGGATTAAGAAAATATCTAGAAATCTTGGCGCTTAAATTTTTTTATTCACTTGAGAACCCATAAAACCAAAAATTTTATTTTAGGGTAAATTAGAGATTGGACTTGGAGTACGTATAGAAAAAGTGAGATCAATATCCCGAAAAATAATGATCTCGATAACCTAGATTTTTGATCAAAAATCGTCTTGGTCCGATTTCTAGAAAATGAGAACATATAGAAAGTCTTCGTCATGAAAAAAATAAACAAAAACAGATAACAAACCATATTCCAAATCGAGCAAACAAGTTTGGCAAACATTCTTCAACTTTGAACAAGTCTGGCAAACCTCAGTCTTTTTATAACGCGAACCTTTGCCTGGCATCCAACGAAATGTAGTGAATGGACGTTCACATATTTTGCATTCACCTCCATGAACATCTTTAGACTAAAAAGAAAACTTTTAAAAATTCTCCAAAAAAAAAAATACCATTCTCAAATATGGATTTGGTCCAAGACATGTTTCACATAAAATAGGAAATTCTGCATCTTCAAATGTTTTTCTGTTATAAGTGTAGGAAGATTTTGACATAGACATACTTCCAAATATTCTTTTAAAAATAAAGTCTAAAAACAAAATTATCAGCGCTTAAAATTTTTTTTAAGAAAAATCATTAGACAAAACGCCCAAGTCACAAAAAGGTAAAAAAACTTCAATTGAAGTGCAACACTTTATAAAAAATTTCAAAAAATCTTTTCAATCATTTTATGCTTGTTTAAGTAGTAAAATGCGTATAAGCTATCCAATAAAAAGGATGATTAATTTATAGTAAATTGTTAATGGAATTTTTAGGAGGTAAAAGGCAGCATTTTTAAGTAAAAAAATTAAGGAATGATATATAAAAAAATTGTGGATTTTTAGAGAAAGATTTTACATAGTTTTGTTGTAAATAAATATAGGTATTTATGGCAGCTCGGAGTTTTTTAAACAAGATTTTGAAATTTTTAAATACTCGATTAATACTTCAGCGAAAGGCAGGAAAGCCACGGGAACTTAAAAAAAGCACTCCGAGCAGCCAAAATAAAGGAAAAATAAACTTGATAAATTGAGAATTTAAGGGGAAAATAATATATCGTAATTACTTGCCGCATAATACTAGACATGTGGACATATCGGGACGGACATATTAGGATATTTCAATGATGAACAATTACCCTAATGTTTTCTGGACCTATGGCCACTGGGTCTTGAATAATACATTGCCCTATTGAAGAAGAGAGTTTTTGTGTTCTAGAACCAACATAAACACGCAAGAGGTTATTTTTTAACTAGAATCCCGATATGTCCACCCACCTAATATAATAAGAGTAAAAAATGCGTTGAAGATTTTTTGTGTTCTTGATTTAAAGGCAATTTTTAATTAAGTATTTTTTATTATATCTTTTTTTTTAATTCATTTTTCAAATTTTCTCTCGCCTAAGTAGTAAATCAACCTCTTGACGCTCCTTGATGAGTGTTATTGCTCGTTGATGTGTCATATTCTCGGTTGATTCTCCATCAATTTTCATTAGTTGATCCCCAATCTTAATTTTTTCAAAGTTTAAAGTTTCTAAAATAATTTTCAAAAAAAACCTGCATAGCACTAAAAGCGGCTGGCCCCTCATCAGCTATACGCAATATAAATAGAGCCATACAAAACTCAGAACCACCACGAATTGAGAAACCAAAACCACGATCAGAACGTTTAAGATGAACAGAAATAAGTGTAGAATATGGTGAGGATTGATGGGAATCCTGATTTGAATTAAAAAAATTAAAAGGCACGGAGGAATTCTTCCGACTAAAAATTTCATTTGAATAATTTCGTGAAAAAACTCTGTCTTCTTCTCTTCCTAGTAAAACGAAAAATTTTTTACATTTTGCTTTTGAAGTTGCTGAATGCCATTGCCGCCACCCATCTGAATATAATTTGAAGGAATATTTCTTCCTGATATTCCATCTTCTTCTTCTATTCGCTTTGCTGGATCAATTGTTAAAACTAAAGATGCCCCAGAAGAACTAATTTCTTGTTGCATTTGCTTTTAAAAAATAAAAGTTAAAATCAAAAAAATTTTCATTCAAAAACCTGATGACTCATCATGTCAGCCGACATCCCATTAATTGCCACAACACAATCACCTACTCGAAGTTGACCACAACGACCTGCTGGACTGTTGGGTGTAAGAGAAACTGCAAAAATGGATTAAAAAATTTTTTAACGAAATTCAGAAAATTTCATACCAATGTAGCGATACTTATGTGAAACGATTGTACAACCAAAATCTGTCTCATTCTCCATTTTAATTAATTTTACATCGTATGGAACTGAATTTATTATTTCTTAATTATTAAAGTTGCATAATAGTAACCTCTAGCAGCATAAATTGCAGAAGCGGAGCCATTTCTACGTAACTGCCCAAAATTCTCCTCTGCAATAGGAGGAGGTGAACGATGTCTGAGTAAAGTTAGCTTAACCGCGCCAACAGTAGAAGCCTGAAAATGATTCAATTAGTATTTTTGATCAAAAAATTAACCTGTCTAATAAGTTCAACAGCTTGCTTATGTTGCATTGCCAAAGTCGTTTCCCCGTCGATTTCAATAATTTGGTCACCAACACGCATACGACCATCTAAATCCGCCGCTCCTCCAGGGATTACTGAACCAATTAGAAGAGGTTGATTCTGTGAAAAGAATTTATTTTAAAATCTTGTCAAGCTTATTCAAAATTTACATCAGCTCCTCCGTGTAAATGAAAACCAAAACCATTTGATTGACTTAATAAATTAACCACTACTCTTTCAGATTGCATTGCAAAATGACCATTCTATTTGAATTTTATTAGTAAAATGTAAAAAATCCAAATTATCTCACCGAATTCACAGCATTCCCAAATTCCATAGTTGACGAAGATGGACGGATTCGTTGTTGTTGTGGACGATTTTCCATTATAAATTGATTCATTGAAAGGTTGTTATTGGACGGAAGTTGTTGATGCTGCTGAATTGGTTGTTGTTGTTGAATTTGTTGATTTTTATTTGTCGACTAAAATTTTATAAAGAAATAATTTTTAAACTTAAAATTCAATCAAACCCTGGGTAATGTCATACAATTCCAATGATAGTCCATATTTGCATCAGCACCCGGATTTATTGGTTCCTGTTGAAAATACATTGAAGTCTGGCGTTGTTGCTGTAAATGTGGCTGCTGCTGACCGCCAAATGGAGTTTTTGAGCGTTGAGTAAAAAGAGGAACAAACTTAAAAAATAATTTTCTTCCAATCAATTTAAAAAAACCTTTTGGTGTTGCTGCTGTTGATTTCCACTATTTGGCGCAGACCAATTTGGGTGCATTTGCTGTAATTGTTCTGTTACTGAAGCAACATCACCACCACGATAACCATAGCGAAATCCTGCCGTTGGCGTTCGAGATCTTTAAAAAAACTAATTTAATTATAAAGCTAAAAAATTCAAAATTTAGAAAACCGTTGCTTCTGAGCCCTCCTCAGAATTCTCATTTTACAACGATAACCAATTGGGAAATTTTGTAGCATTTGTACAAGTTGTGGATGTGGAAGAGAACGAACATTTTGGCCATTAACCTAAAAAATATTTTTAAAAATCTAGAAATTCATTGAAAAATTAAACCTCAACAATAGTATCCCCCTCAAGCAAGTTTGGACATTGATCTGGATATGCAATATTTTTTATTCTTTGCCCTTAAATTAAAACCAATTCAAAAATTTAAAAATTAATTTTCTCACCTAAAGCATCATCATAAACAGTAAATCCAAAACCATTAGGACCCTTACATATTTCAATTTCAATATTTTCTCTCGAAGGCCTCAATATGTTTGAAGAGGAATTTGCCTTTTGTTGGTGTTGCGCGTAAACATTTTCCGTGAAAATCTTTAAAAAATAAGATTTAAAAAATAAAAAAAATAATCAATTTACTCGATTAGTCGGATCTAATTGTAATGGATATCCACGACAAACTTGAATACGGACAACTTCACCAATAGGAATTGAACGGAAAAGTTGGCAAGCATCGTCTTGACTAGCTCCTAGCATACACTAAAAAATGAAGAAAAATATAAAAAAAGAAAAATTTTCAAACGTGCTGATTAACATAGACAAGAACATCTCCAGATCGAAGAGTACCTTCAGCATATGCAGGACTTTCTGGAATGATTGTTTTGATCTAAAAAGGAAAAATGTAAAAATTTAGTTTAGTGGTCCCAAAAATAAAAAGTGTGCTCTTTCTATATTTTCGAGATTCACCAGTGGCAAGGGCGTAGCTAAGTGGGAAATCTAGCTTATTGGGTTACAAAATTCAAAAAATTTTCGACTGTGGCGCTCAAAAATTCAGAATCTTCTTATTTTCCCAGTAAAAACTATAAAATTGAAAAAATATTTAAAAAATTTACTTGAATAAATTCATCACGTATATGAGTCCCATCCTGACCAATTAGCGACAAACCTAATCCTTTTGAGCCTTTTTGTATGCGAACATTAATTATTTGACCAATTAATTCGGCAGGATTACGAGTGAAAATAGACTAAAAATTAAAAATTTTTAGCAAAAAATTTAAAAAACCCTCACAAAGTTTGGTGGCAAGATAAATCCAGGGTGCTGTTGTTGCATAGAACATCCATTGCTTTCTAAAAAAATATTTTTAATTTAAAAGTCGAGAAAATCAGTAATACTCACCTCTAGAAGGAGGTTCAACACCATTAGTACGTTTCATCCAAAATTGTTGTTGAGAAGAACCGTTTTTATTATTATTGCCGTACTAAAAATGATAATTTATTAGAGACCAGCCTAGGAGGGTCGATGTAGATTCGAGACTGATATCTTAAAAAATCTCGTCTCAAACCGAGATTTTTCTTCGAAATCTCGTTCGGGACTCCTATTTTTATTATATCCCTATTTTTGTTAAAAAATAAGGTAGAAGACCATAAATCAAGGAAAAATAGAACAGACAATTCTAGACTTATAAGCAAAGAAAATTTAAAAAATTGTTAATTCGTCTAAATTTAGTAAAAAAATTAGCTGAAAGAGAATAAAAAGAAAATTAAATTAACTTCAAAAGCAATTTTCAAAAAAAATTTTTTAATTGAGTGAATAAATTAAGAGCTCAAAGTTCAAAAATTACTCTAATTAAAATTTTTTAAATTCTTCGCATATTTTTTTAAATTTAAATTTCTTTCGTCTGATAACAAAAAACATCAAAACTTTCAATGTTAATTGCGCACCCTGGGCCGGACGCTTTTTTGCTGCATATTTTTTTGACTTGTGGACTCCGCGCGGAAATTTTTTTCATTTGCGTCCAACCCTGTTCTAAACTCAATTGATGCTTAAACGGGAAGTAAAAACATCTCATAACCCCTAAGAAAAAATGAATGGTGCCACAAATATTTTTAAAATAAATCGCGTAAAAAGTGTTTAATCCATTCATTGTTCTTTTTCAAAATGAGAACGAGATTTTTACAAAAAAGGAACTGAAAAATATTTTTTTGTAAAAAAATATTTTTTAGGCATTAATATAAAGAATTGTTTAGATCAATATAATTAAATAACAGAAATAACGAAGAAAATGAGATAAAAAAATAATTATTAGGTGTTTCTTTCCAAAAAAAAATAAAATCTAAGCAAGAAAAATGCGCAAGTTAGCGAGTAAAAAGTGAAGAATTTATTAGACCCCAAAATATATGAATATAAAAGATTAATAGGCAAAAATAGCTTCTAGCCTAATGAATTATGAACCTAAAAAATCGTAAAAAAATCTTTAGAAAGATGTTAAAGGATTACCTCCATTTTTAGGAGCCCCAGGTATTTCAAAAAAAATATAAACTCACCATATCTTTAATTTCCTCACAGGAAGCATTTGAAGTGCTAGCAGCATGCAAATACTGGACTGTTTCATAAGGCAATGGTTGTTTTGTAATTGAAGCAGAATTATTGTTAAAAGGGCCCAAAGTGGATGGACGTTCTGTGCTGTGTTGTTGTTGTAATTGTGGTCGATTTCCATGCCTATTTAATTTAAAATTTAATAAAAAATTTAAATTTATTTTAATTTTAGGCAAATTTCAAATGAGTTAGAGAACCGAAAAAAGACAAGCTGATCAAGTAATTCACTCCCATTAATATTTTTATGGGTTGTTGTTGGTACACAATTATTAAGTGCACCATTAGATTTTGATTTAAGGCAGCCACAACGTTGGCATAAATAATCACCGTGGAATTGGTTTTGAAGCATTTTAAGTTAAATTAAAAATCTGGGAATTTAATTTAAAAATTTTTTTGCAAAGTCAAAATCAGTAAAAATTTAAAAGAGTGAGATTAGCATGAAGGAGAGATTGCCATATAGAAAAAGTTTAAAAACGAATTAAAATCTAGTTCCTTCCAAAATTTACAAGTGATGAGTTAGTCCAAATTAGAAACTAAAAGCCAATGGACTCTTTTCACAATTGTCCCCAATAGCTTCATTTCCCCTTCCTCCCCCCTCCCCTTCCCCACATTTAGAAAGAAATTTAGCAATGAAAATTCCTTTTTCCTTATCCAAAAGTAGTGAAAGTGTGTAAAGTAGATAGTGTCAAGCAAAACAAGTCTTTTTTTTATTTAGTATACTAATTTGCTTTCAGTCTATTTCGGATGGATGGCCCAAAGGGAGGAAGTGAGGAAAAGCAAGGCTTTCAAAATCTGATTAAGCAACAAGGCAGTAATGGGTCCCCAAATTTATTTTGTTTAAATTTTATATTAAAAAGGGGATAAAAAAACTAGTGTTTTTTGAGAATAAAAAATCAATGGATAGTAAAATTAAGAAATTTTTTTAAAGTAGGGCAACCTTGAAATAGAAATTTAGCTATGAATTGCTCGTGATTTGTACAAAGTGCGAGTTTGAATTTAGGTACGAGCTTCGAAGCACTACTTATAATGCTTAAGAGAACTGAAAAATAAATAGGGAAGTGTTGGGATAGGATATTAAATAAGTACCCATTAAATGAAGCATTCAAGTTAAAAACAAGAAAAGTCAAACACCATCCATTTTAAAAATTATTTATGGAAAAATTAATTCATTAAGGAATGCCCTCCCACGTTTAATGTTAAAAGACACCCACTTCCTCCCTTTGGGCCAATATACCTATTCGATAAAATATAAATACGTAGGTTCATTTTTTGTCATTTTTAAGGATCAAAAACCATAAAATAAGAGTATTAAATTCGCTTGTATTCAAAAATATTAATTCATTATATGAACAAGAAAAGTACAAAAACTAGAAAGGAAGAGTTGGAGCTGGTCAAAAATCAAAATCTAATATGGAAATTCCCAAACCAACTAATTCCCAAAAACAAAACAAAGGAAGGAAAAAATTTAAAAAAATTAAAACCCACTCATAAAAAAATGTTCCATTAATGTCAACATTTGTTTCTTCAATATCGCATCCATAAAAATCAGCAGCAGTTAAAGTAGCGGGAGTTGTAGATATTGATTCCCGTGGATCGTCCCATGTTGTCGTGCCGGTGTTGTGACTAGAAAATTTAAAAAATTGTTAGGAGAAATAGGATGTGATATCTAGAGATGGGCCTGGATCGCCAGTAGAGATCGAGCTGGACCTGGATCAAGGCTGGGTTTTTCCTGTACCCAGAGTCCAGGCCCAGCCATTTTTTGGCCTTCCTGAGTTTTCTCTGGGTCTGGGTTCTTTTTGGACTACAGGACCAGGATCCGGCCCAGGTCAATAAATCAAACGCCAGAGTCCAGGAACAGGCCCTGGCTTTTCAAAAATCTCGATCTCCAGATCCAGACTTTGATTTTTCCTTGACTAAAGTGCAAAAATCTGGTTAAAATCCTCAATGAAACTAGAGTCAAGGTTTTAAACTTCCCTATTTCTAGTGTTATCTAATGAGCTTTTTTGTAATTTTGTATGGAGGCAAAAGTTCCTAGATGTAAAGAACTTGAGTTACTCTCATTTGTTTTTCCTTTAAGCTTATGCTAAAATACAGTAAAAATATTAAAAATATAAACTAACTCAATGAAAAACTTTTCGCCATTCTCAGTGTATGAGATTTCCCAATTTGGTGGCAATGGCCGTCCCGAAGAAGCAGATAATAATAAATCGCCATTATTTGTAGTATTGTTGTTAGAATTATTGCAGTGATTTATAAGAACCATTTTTACAAAGTTTTAAAAGGCGTTAATTAAAGTAGAAGAGATAAATAAGTAGAATAAGGCCTCATCTTAAATCAGATTAATTAATCAAATAAAAAACAATTAGAAGTTAATCCTTTTGTTCTCTTAAAAGAATAAAAGAGAATATCCGGTTACACTTTAACATTTAACTAATTTTTAATTGACAATAAGGATTAAGACAAAATACCTAATAGCGAAAAAAGATACAATTCGTCTAAAAATTTCAACATTTTAATTGACATTTTGATATATTTTCAGTCGTAGATATTTCGTAATAAAAATAAAGGCTACTTACAAAAGATAGAAGCGCCAAAAGATAGATACGGCAAAAATCGATCAAAAGATAGAAGCACCGCTTCTCTGGCTGTGTCTATCTTTTAACCGTTTTTAGCCGAATCTATCTTTAAGTGCATCTATCTTTTGATCTGACACCAAAGAAAATATTTTGCTCTATTTCTTGAGACTCTCCATCTCTGCAATTCTATTTCTTTGTCTTCCTGTTTTATCTTTGTTGAAATATTTCCTTAAGCGACAAATGCGATCATGACAAAATGCAAATTCAAAACGTCCAAAATTTTTATCTTCAAATTTTTACCACACACAGTATAGAGTGGCGAAGCGCAATATTTCCTCTATGTGACAAAATGAAAAAGACGCCATAAATTATTCCGTCTGACTGTCTCCGTGTGTTAAGTAGAGTGCATTATTTCCCGGGATCAATACAATTGTGAAAGATTCTTGGCTCCGGTACAAAATATGGAATCGTTAAAATATGGAATGGTTAAAATCGCGAATAGGCTAAAAAGGGGTTAAAATACCGAATCGTTAAAATATGGAATGGTTAAAATATCGAATCGGGTAAAAAAGGGTTAAAATATGGAATCGTTAAAATATGGAATGGTTAAAATGTCGACACGGCCAAAATGGGTCAAAATGTCGAATTCTTTTAAAAAAGGGTCAGATGAGTGCCATACATTGATTATTGATAATTTTATCAGCTTATCAACTTATTTTTGATAATTTGATGATAAGTCTCGTATGTCATAGTCCGGCGTAATCTTTTCTGCCTGAGTTCACTGAGTAAAATCGGACCGTATAAATCAAGCATAATCGACCGGATGGTCCGGCATGATCGTACGGATCCGGAAAACACAACAGGATCCTGATACGGAAAAATTAGAGTGGCGTCACTAGTTTTTAGTTAAGACCTAAATTTTGTACCTTACCGTATACGGTACGGAATACCGAAAAATACCGATCAGCTTTTAAATTTTATCGGTCGGCATTCCGTACCGTACTACCGACACGGAATACCGAAAAATACCGTCGGTATTACGGTAACGCCCGGATTTTAGGTTTTGGCGCCATTTTTTAAAAAAATTCGACATTTTGACCCATTTTGGCCGTGTCGACATTTTATTAATTCGATATTTTAACGATTCGGTATTTTAACCCCTTTTTAGCCTATTCGCGATTTTAACCATTCCATATTTTAACGATTCCACATTTTGACCCCTTTTTAGCCTATTCGCGATTTTAACCCATTTTTACCCGATTCGAGATTTTAACCCTTTTTTAGCCTATTCCATATTTTAACGATTCGATATTTTGTCCGGACACGAGATTCTTTGCTTCTTGCTAGTCGCCATTCTTTTTTTAGTCTCCTAGCGACTATAATAAAAAGGGAATGGGGGTTTTTGTCTAGTACTTGGTTATTAAGTTGTACAAATAAATGTATGTATGCTTGTTAAATACATTTACTAGCTTGCTTATCGGGTGGAAAAAACAAAAAAAAAAAGATTTTTTCTCGGTCATTTTTCTCATTAAGTGAATCAAAAAGCTAAAGGTGTTAGGTAAATATTACGATTTCCGTTAGTTCTCATGAATTTGCGTTACAAACGTTTTGGTTTGCGAAATTTCGTGTTTAGTATGAGTTCAGAAAACTTGAAAATTCGCGTTTTTGTTTGAATTTTTGAAATTTTTTGGGGAATTTGAAAAATTCTTAGGGGTTTTCAAAAGGTTTTCTGTTCTCGTTTCATTTTTTCCTACATGTATTTTTTAATGTTCCTTTCCTTGATTTTCTCTATGCCTTCTTACTCGTGATTTTTTTACAACTTTCTTATTAATTTTTGAACAAAATTTTCAGAAAATGGAAGCCATGGAAGTAGATAGCAAACCTAATGCTCCAGTAGTCACTTCGTCAGCAAATAATAGTAATTCACATTCTGCCAATTCAGCAGCAAGTATTAGTTCTAGTGCAACACAACCTCAAACTATAACAATGGGCGGTAACAGTCCTGGTGGAGAATTTATCAGCAGAGAATTTACCAAAGATCTTGACGAATGGATTGCGCAATTGTATGAATGTAAACAGCTGACTGAGATTCAAGTGAAGCTGTTGTGTGATAAGGTTTGGAATTTTATTTAGATTTGGGGGAATGTTGTGGCTTATATGTAGGTGTTTTTTCGTTTTTGGACCGATTTCGACAAGTAAGATCATTCGAAAGGTATCCGAATACTGATTGTGAGTCCTACTAGATCGGGAAGAAGTGGTTTTTCAATTTTCATGTGTCTAGCCCGGTCCCCCGAGTCGGCCGACTTCCTCCGCTAGATTAACTCAGATTTCGAAGCTCTGGACATTATTTGTTAAAATCGAAAACAAAAACCCACCTCTAAGTCACGCTACATGATTTGGGGTTTAATTGTTTTTTGACTGGTTGCCCTAATTTTAAGTATGTTTTCTCATACTTCAAGGAAACTCTCCTCTTGATAGAATTAAACGACTTTTTAAATTATCGTTTAATTAGAAAAATGAGGAAAAATAAAATCTATTCAGTAAATCTTCTTTTTTCATTTTCAATTGAAATAAGATTTTGCACCTGGGTTACAATTTTCGAACAAAAACATTTTTTAATTTTGTGACTAACTAAATTTTTTAGGCCCGCGAAATCCTCAAACACGAATCTAACGTTCAAGAAGTCAAATGCCCTGTTACAGTTTGTGGGGATGTTCACGGACAGTTTCACGACTTGATGGAATTGTTCAAAATGGGTGGAAAGTCTCCAGACACAAATTATTTGTTTATGGGTGATTATGTTGATAGAGGTTATTATTCTGTGGAGACTGTTTCGCTGCTTGTTTGTCTTAAGGTATTATTTTTATAAATTTAAGTTTGACTGAATGTCTTGGGGTCGTTTAAACAACTTATTGTTAGAACTTTCTCGTTCATTCCTCATCATTGGAATGTGAAAAACATGCAAAAAATTGGGAGTTTGATTTCCTTTCCTTTTTTCTTTCCAAGGGACTTAACCTGAGAAGGAAGAGGAAAGGGATCCTGAAATTCTTATGTTAGGATTTCCTATATTTTTTTTAATAAAATTGCCTAACTATTCAAAACAAATTTTATCAAAATTCTCTTTTGAATGAGTTTGGTTAAGTGGTTCTGCGTTAGTTCTATAGGTCCCGGGTTCGATCCATTCCCTTTCCTTCCTCCTATCTTGGCACTGTTGCAAGTAAATTTGCAATTGAGTGTATGCTAATTGGAGGTAAATTATTTCGAGTTATACCTTCGGTGTCTTTTCCAATTTATGGATTAGATCCTATCCTCTAAACTCGAAACAATTTTTAAATTTTCTTTTCATATTTAATTTTGAAATTTTTAAAGGTTCGTTATCGTGACCGAGTAACAATTCTTAGAGGAAATCACGAGTCTCGACAAATCACACAAGTTTATGGATTTTATGACGAATGTTTGCGTAAATATGGAAACTCAAAAGTATTTTTTAAAAGTTTTTCATTTTTTTTGTAAAATTTAATTTATAGGTTTGGAATTACTTCACTGACTTATTTGACTATTTTCCTCTTACTGCTTTGGTGGACGGTCAAATTTTTTGTCTTCATGGTGGTCTTTCGCCTAGCATCGACACACTTGATCATATTAGGTCTTTGGAACGCTTGCAGGAGGTGCCGCATGAAGGTTTGAATTATTCAATTTTTTGGTTCATAAGGTTCGATTTAGGTCCAATGTGCGATTTGCTTTGGTCTGACCCAGATGATCGTGGTGGTTGGGGGATATCTCCTCGTGGTGCTGGTTATACTTTTGGACAGGACATTTCTGAGACATTTAACCACGCAAATGGCATTACTTTGATCTCACGGGCACATCAACTTGTTATGGAGGTTAGCCAAAGAAAAAAATTAAAAGAATTTTTCTTTTTTCAAGGGCTACAACTGGTGCCATGATCGAAATGTTGTTACTGTTTTTTCTGCTCCCAACTACTGTTATCGTTGTGGAAATCAGGCAGCTATGGTCGAGCTTGATGATGAGCTCAAATACTCATTTTTGCAATTTGATCCGGCACCTCGTCGTGGAGAACCTCACGTGACTCGTCGGACACCAGACTATTTTCTTTGATGGATGAATGATTTTTATAAAATTAAATATAAAAAAATTAAATGGATGATGTAGAGAGATGGAAGGAGAATTTAAAATAAAATTTTAAGAGAAGAAACGAAGTCTGGTTTTTGTATTATTCTAATGGTTCGAGACCCCACTCCACTCTAATTTTAGAAATTTAAAAAAAGATTTTTAAAAAGTAATCCTAAAGTTATTTAAAAGATGTCAGGTTAGGCTATCACTGTAACTGCCCTTATATTCCTCAATTTTTTCGTTTCTTCCCATTTATTTTTTCAATTTGCTGCTTGCTTTTTTGCACAAAAATGTTCTTTTTTGTGTCTGAATAAATCGATAAATTTTACCTGATCTTTATCTTTTGGAAAAATTTTTTATATTTTTTTAATCTATAGGATTTCTATTATACATTAGACATTTGTATATATTTTAAGAATCTCCCATTAATCTAACTTGATTATTTTTGCCGATAAAAATGTCTTCTAAATTAGTAAAAGTGGTCAAAACTACAAATGTACCGGTAGCTGTTGATATTTACAGGTTATCTACTTTTTGAATTTTCTGCAAATTTTTTGATTTAGGTTGTTCACTCGTCTGTTGATGATGAGGTGTTTTAACTGGTGCTGCGTGTTACTGTTTTGGATTTGGATGGAGAGATGATCTCATGGGGCTATCCACCTGTCGAGGAGCTTATCTTGGTTCTTTTTAAAATTTAAAAAATGGGACTTACCCTCTAGGGGGGTTTTTTTGAAAATGTTTTATGATTTTCTCTACCTTTCATTTTGAATCTATTCTTATCACCTTAAAATTCTATTTTCACCCCTCCAGAAAACCTTTTAAAAATTATTTACTTTTACAAAAAGAATAGGTTTTTGACAATCTTTTATTTCACTTAACTAGTTGTATAAAATTACATGCCAAGTCGTTAACTCTCGAATTAAAAAAAGTAAAAGGAAAAAAGGTGTGAGGACGTCAACATTAAGAAAAAAAAAGAAGAAGCACTCATATTTAAATAAATACAACAATTTTTCCCCTCCCCTTTAACATTCCTTTTTATGGGCTCTTTTGCTTCCCTTTCATATAAAGCACCCATTTTTGTGTCTTCTTCCTTTTTTGCCTAATCTAAAAAGTATTTTATTTGCTGGGGATTTATTAAAGAATCACTATTATAGGGAAATTATCATAGAAGGCTTCTTTGCTTTTTGTTTTACTTTTTTGATTTATCTTTTCTTTTCCTATAGTGTTGTTGGTGCAAAACCGAACCGAAGAACCGAGGTTTTTTCGGGTCGGTTTTTTGGTTCCTGATATCCGAAGATTTTCCAAGAGCCGATAACTCTACTTCCTTATTTTTTCTCTTATTTATTTTCTCAAATTTTTTAAGTAAAATATTCTGTGATAAAGCAATAAATTATGGAAATCACTTATTGTTGTTGATGGGCTGCGCCCCAAGTGTGCACAATTGGAACGGGTTTGTTGGCTCACAGAATCCTGCTAATAAATTTCGGAGGTATTCGGCTTTCAAAAAATTTTTGAAATTTTTTAAAATTCATTCAGTCCATGTTGTGAATTCCTTCTGCACAATATTGTTCCAGGACGTCGAAGAGGAGAGAACGATGGATTGGCAACAACAGCAGCACAAGATAATGACGAGATTGACTTAAATCTGCACAGACTACTAAGGCTACAACCGCCAATTTCTATTGGTAAAATTTCTTTTTAATTGTTGGTTATTGGACTATTTTTGTTTAATTGTTGGTCTTTCATTTTGTATTTTGTTTATATTTGTGTTCTTTACAGAAATATTACAAAACGCTCAAAGACGAAGATTTTCAAAAATAAAGATTTTTATAATTAAAAAAACGAATATTTTAAGACAAAAAACCGTTTATATCTATTCGCCATCCCTTTATTCCCTTTTGACAATTTTTTTTATTTTTGAAAAGTCGAAACAAGCTGAAAATGTAGAGGTGTATAACGCATTGTATTAATTAAGTCCCGAGAGAGACGTTTACCGAGATTCGACTGTATCCATTTTTTATTTCAGATGTTGGCTCTGGAGTGGATCCATGTTGCGCTGGGGGAGATGAATCATTTCCTAAAGTCATTTTCATTTTTGGTTGGTTTTTTTGTTTACAAAAAGCATTATTTTCCTGTTATTATTTTCATTGTCTCAATTTTCCCCCTCATTATTTAAAACAAATTTGATGACGCAAAACACTCCCAATTGATATATAGAATCCCTTTTTTGCCTCATATGCTATCATATACTATATAAAGTATTAAAAAATAATCCCTGAAAATGTGTTGAGCGTTGCTTTATTATTTACCCAACAAGAAAGAGAAAAAAGCAATGCGCGGGAGGAATTGAATAAAATTAATTATTTTTTTTTTAGAAAAAGGGGAAAGGAAGTTTGAAAATACTTATTTAAATTTTTTATTTAAGGGGAGGGAAGTTAATTAAAAATGATTTTATCTGAGGTCGATAATTTACCGTATTTACTCAAACCCTTGTTTCAATCTCGCCGTAGGGGATAATTAATAGAGACGAAGGCGGACATATTTACCTCTATTGGATGGGTAATCAACAGGGAGAGGGTAATTATTCAAGTAAATACGGTAATTATCTTCCTGTTATTTCTAATCTTTTTCTATTTTTACGTTTACAAAAGTTCCGATTTTTCCTATACTTTTTTGCATATTATTATTTTTATCATCTTTACCCCGGATAGCCATTATTATCTTTAAAAAATTTTTTTTTGTATTTTTTCATCTAAAAATTAAAATTGTTCTTTGTATACGCAAGCAAATGTTTATAAGAAAATTTACGTAGTTGCTTTATATGTTCACATTAAAGTACTACAAATTCTATTTTGGCATTTTCTAATTTTTTGAACGTATTATTTTCTTTTAGGATTTGTGTATATTTAATCGTAATAAGAGGGATTAAAATATTTTTTGAGTCAGCTTTTTAATTATTTTTTTAATAGGGTAAATAAATTAAAATTAAGGGGGTCAACCCTGAAGGCCTTACAATGACCTTACAAGAACCTTGCAAGACTTTCAAATTTTGAAAGGGAATATCGAGGGATTTATCTTATCTCCATAGAGCTGGATACTTATCGCCCTTTTCCTCAATATTATTCCTTTTTAAAATATGTAGGTTTTCAGAGTCTATAGGTCTTCAGGGCTGGACTCAAATTAAGTTTGGAAATTAAAAATAATTTATTTTAGGTGGTCCAGGAAGCATGAAAGGTATCTTAACTCAAGAGCTTGCACAAGAGTTCGATTTTATCACTATTGGAATTGGTTAGAAAAAATTTTTCTTGAAAATAATATTTTTTTATAAAATTCAGAGGATGTAATCTTCTCTTATTTGCCTCAAAAAGAAGCTAATACTGTTCAAAATACTGTGGAAATAAACGAACTGCTGCGCGTAATTTTTTTAAATTAAAAGTAAAAATATAGTCTTTTTTCTAGCGAAATCCTGGCATAATTAATCTTCGTTGGGTCCTTCAAATGGTAGGAGCTAAAATAGCCACAGCTCACACAAATGTGCAGGTTCTTGGAAATATTTTTACAGCTTTATAATTTTAATTAATTCTTTAGAGATTTATTGTGGATATTGTTCCAGAATTGTCATTTATTCTAAAATCTGCAGCGTTTACAGCTCTGGATCATAGGGTAATTAATTTTTTGTATAAAAATTGAAATGAACGCTTTTTAAACTTTTTAATTACGCGCAACTTTTACCTATTCGCTTTACTGTACAATTTTATATAAAGGACGCTCTAAAAGTCGAAAACTTCTAAGCCTTTTATTTTTAATTTCGTGTCAGTGCCAAACAAGCAAAAAATTGGCAATAACTTATCGCCCCTGCTCTATACGATGATGCAAAAAACTGCGAAATTTTTGGTGACAATTCGTGAGGGTCCTTTGTGAATGATGGAATGATAATATAACTTTTGGAGTGGCATTCCGTGCATGCTTGGCCGAGTGGTTAAGGCGTCGGAATCTAGAATCCGACGGGGTTCAGCCCTACGTAGGTTCGAATCCTGCAGCATGCGATGGACTTTAGTTCATTTATTTTTTATTAAATTAAATATTTTTTTTAATTTTAAAGGATCAGTTAGGCGAATTTGATAAAAAGGTAAATATTTTAAAAATCTTTAATTTTGATAAATATACTCATTTTAGTACCATGTACTATTTGCATTGGAACTCTACATTTCGGCGGAATATCAATTACTTGGTTCGTTTAAAAAATTTTTTAAATCTATTTTTATAAATTCAGAAAGCGGCCCCTCAAGTTCCTTCTCCGCTTCCCCATCTACCTCAAAAAACAAAAAAGAAACCGATGAGGAAAGGGAACTGCGTCAAGAAGCAAGGCAATTACTGCGTGGTGGAGCGGTATGATTAAATAAAATTGTTACTGTATTTTGATTTTTTTAAAGGATGAAGCAGATAAGGGCCGATTGGAGGTTTAAAAAATCTTTTTGATTTTAACTCGATTAAAATTAATTTTTTTGAAGAAAAGGCTTGAGTCATTTCATGAATGGTTGGTATTTCTAAATAAATATTAAAAATAGTGCCAATTAAAAAAATTTCTTTTTAAGTGCCGAACCATTCCTTACTTGGTTCAGAAAGCACAAAAGGATTGTAAGGCTTGATTTAAAAGTAAATTTGTAAAAAAATAAAATAATTTTAAACATTTAAATCATAAAATAGGTGCCGTACAATGAAGATTTATTTCGCACTGTAAGGCAACTTTTTATTGATTTTGGTTTTGGAAGAAATAATGACTCAATTAGAGTGGTGCTCTTTTTACAAAGTTTGAAAAATTTTTTGGAATTTTGGCATTAATCTAAAAGTTTAGATGAAACCCAAGTAGATGCAATTGACACGGAATATTACCATATGCGCAAGATACGTTTAGGAGACATTTGCCATGACAAGGATGAAAGTTTGGTGAGTTTATACTTATTTTTATTTGAATTCTGGGGTTATTAAACGTTTTTTGCTTGTCTTTATAGACCTATTTTTTGGAATTCGGCATTATTTAAAAAAGAATAGAGAAAGTAAGTGAGTAAACCATTGGCTGCATGCTTGGCGAGTGGTTAAGGCGTCGGAAGGCAGAATCCGACCGGGTCAAGCCCGACGCAGGTTCGAATCCTGCAGCATGCAAATGAATTGTGGCCCTTGTTTTTAGATTTTTTGGGCAAAAAATTTGTCAATTTAAAATCTATAAGCCTTCTAATTTTTTTTCATTTAAAGACTAATCAAATCCGCGCTATCCGAAAATATATTTACCGAACTGCGCAAGTTGGTGAACACATTTTGGTGCTGCTTAAAGGACTAAATACTACTGATAGCAAGGTAGAAATGTCTTCGAATATTTTTAAATTTTATTTTTTAAAGCGGAACAAACAACGTATAAATTTCATAGAATACCGGACAACTTATTTGGACTATTACATTCGCAGTAATTCACGAGAAAGTCCTAGGCAACGGTTAAAAAACTTAATAAGCAAAATTTAGTTAAAAATTCTTAGCTGTAAAATGCCTTTTCGAACAATTACATCCACTCAAGGGGAAGTCTGCCTTTTCCCCGAAGCCATGTCTGCACGACTTTGCAAGAGAATTGGCAATATTTTTGGCGAGAAGCTTTCAATGACAGAAACATCCGAATCAGTTAGAGTTCGTTTATTTTTATTAAAATATTGGGAATGGGCACATTTTTCCTAGGAGTAAATAAGATAAATCCTATTCTAAATTTAACTTATCTGGGTGCATGTTTGGCCGAGTGGTTAAGGCGTCGGACTCCTGATCCGAATGGGTACAGCCCAACGTAGGTTCGAATCCTGCAGCATGCAAAGGTTTCGTAATTCCCATTTTTTATTTTTTAAATGTTACTTCGTAAATCCAGCTTATTTAAAAATTTATGTTGAGTTTATAATTCAACAAAATTTTAATTTTTTATTCAGTAGAATAAAAAAAGATTATACACACATATTTCAAAGATTTCTTTTGGGTGCATGTTTGGCCGAGTGGTTAAGGCGTCGGAATCTACAATCCGACCGGGTCAAGCCCGACGCAGGTTCGAATCCTGCAGCATGCAGAGGCTCATATTCCCAATTTTTTAGGTTTCTCGCGGGTTTTTTAAATTTTTTTAGCTTATTTAGGTATAATTTTTAAACTAATTTTCAATTTTTTACTAATAATAATTAAAAAATATAAATTAGGGCGACATTGACAGTCGTGCATCACAATTAAGCGTTAGTCCCTGTTACCAGCCAGCAGCAAGCAGCACTACAACACTTTTAAATCCCTCCGCTGCTGCAGTATCCCGTCCATCTCCTCGCCCACCTTATAGTGGAAGAATGGAAAATGGACGACATTGAATAAAAAAAATCAATGAGAGAAAAAAATTTTTTTATATGCTCATTCAGTTTTGTACACACAAAAAATATCTACACAACTGAGAATGAGTGCCTTTTTTTAATATTTTTCCCTCTATTTTTATCGTCTTCATCTCATTTTTTATTGTAAAATAATAATAATAAAACGCACACATCAAATAAAATCTCAATAATTGTATGAAAAATTCTAAAACATCGGTTATCATCGAATTTCTTTATCTCAAAAATTTTTTCCTACGTTTAGGTCTAGTTGGAAGTTTAAATTTGTTATTTTTAAGTTAATTGTTGGCATATTGTTTTTTATTTTTCTTTCTCTCTCAATTTTTTCCGTCTCTCCATATTTGACCAATTCCATATTTTGCCAGCAAGGCTAAAAACTCGCGTTTTGCCAACAAGGCCTTACTGACTAAACATGATTTTCTACCCTTATTGGCAAAATGTAAAATTGGTCAAATATGGAGGAGCCACTTTTTCAATTCTCTTCCATTTTTCTCTAATTTTTTGGTCCCTTCATTTATTTATTTGTTTCCACATTGCTTTTTTTTTTCGTCCACGTCGTTATTCCGCTTATTTTTTCTTCAATTTTATTAGTCGATTATATTAATCATAAAATAGGGGGGCGAAAGTCTACCGATAACATACAAACCATTTTAGAGAAAGCAAAGAATAAATATAAGCAACCAATTTTATTAATAAAATGCCACTTCGCCTTGATGTTAAACGGAAATTACTCGCTCGTTCTGATCGTGTCAAATCAATTGATTTACACCCAACTGAACCGTGGACATTAGTTTCTCTTTATAATGGGCATGTTCACATTTGGAATCATGAAAATCAGCAGTTGGTTAAATCGTTTGAGGTTTTGTTTGAATTTCTCTTTAAATGTGTTAATCTGCCCTTTAGGTTTGTGAGCTGCCTGTACGCGCGGCAAAGTTCATTTTTCGCAAAAATTGGATAGCGACTGGTTCAGATGATATGCAACTTCGCATTTTCAATTATAACACGTTGGAACGTGTGCATCAAATGGTGAGTAATTTCTAGGGCCCAGGGGAACTTTTTGCAGTCATGGACTTTCGTATTTGATTATAACTTTAGACTTGCTTCCGCTAATTAATTTTGGCTTTCCATTGTAATCTTCAATTTTAGGAAGCTCACTCGGACTATTTGCGATCGATAGCTGTGCATCCAACCCAGCCCTTCTTACTAACTAGTTCTGATGATATGCTTATTAAACTATGGGATTGGGATGATAAATGGAAGCTAAAACAGACATTTGAAGGTTTTATTTTTGTTTAATGTTCAATTGAGTGTTTGTATGAATTTGAGAAAACCCCAGGCTTCCTGCACAACTTCTTATACTTTGTTAATACTCCCGTTTCTTTCGTTCGGTCCTTATCTTGATTGTTTTTATCTGCCATGCTCTATTTTTTCGATTTCTCGTATTACTCGGGTTGGATGGCAATGATTAAAACATTTTATTCACACTGATTTTGGAGAACAAAATTTTTTTGTTTTCCGATGACTGTGGTCTAATCTTCTCTATGAGCCATCCTTCAATTACAAAGATCATGTTTCATCAGGATTATCTTTGATCATTTTTCATATTGGCTCTTTATTCATATTTAATTCTTATCCTCAGCTGTCCCAATATCTGTTCATTTTTTAAATTTCAGGCCACACTCATTATGTTATGCAATTAGTGATAAATCCAAAAGACAATAATACATTCGCCACAGCTTCACTCGACAAAACAATAAAAGTTTGGCAATTGGGAAGCCCTACTCCAAATTTTACTCTTGAAGGCCACGAGAAGGGGGTATGAGTATTTCAGCTGTATTGAATGACCAAAAATTTTTTCAGGTAAATTGTGTTGATTATTACCACAGTGGAGACAAGCCTTATTTAATTTCTGGAGCAGATGACAGATTGATCAAAATTTGGGATTATCAAAACAAAACTTGTGTTGCAACACTTGAAGGACATTCGCATAATGTTTCTGCTGTTTGTTTTCATCCAGAATTGCCTATAATTGTTACTGGGTCAGAAGATGCGACTGTACGAATTTGGCATGCAAATACAAATAGGTACTAATTTTGAATTTCAATAGTTGACAAGTCTGGCTAAGTGGCTTATGATTACAATTATAATATTGCTGTTCACGTTCAGAGAGCAATATAGTTATTGTCTTTGATGAAAATGTTCATCCTTGCTATGAGGCCACTTCATATTTTTACTAAAATCATCTTAAAATGTTTTTAATTTAAAGACTTGAAACAACACTAAATTATGGACTTGAACGTGTTTGGTGTATAACAGCACAAAAAGGATCAAATAAAATTGCTATTGGTTATGATGAAGGCTCGGTAACTATAAAATTGGGACGTGAGGAACCTGCTGTCTCCATGGATTCGACAGGAAAATTATTGTGGGCAAAACATACAGATGTTCAACAAGTTAATTTGAGAGCATCAGATGAACAAACTTTGGAGCAAGCACAAGGTTTTTATTTTATTAAAGTCAAAGGTGAATGTGGATGGTGTAAGGGTCACCTCCAAGCTTTTTAGGTGTTTTGGATTATTCCGTTTATCACAATTCCTCGATAGGTTATGTATTCATTTTAAAATTTTCTTCCACATACGTCTTTGGTTAAGTGGTTTGGTCTGGGTTTGTCGAAGTAAGGTTGTAAGTTCAATCCCTTTCATGTGCAATGATGAAATTTATCAGAGCCAATTCTTTGATGAGTTGTTAATCATGATATTTGTAACAATGATAGGTCTGAGCACATATTTTTCTTTGCTTTAATTATTGAAATTTTTTTGAAAAGATTAACGCTCCTGTCTTAAAATTTCATTAATTTAAAAATTCTCAGATGGAGAGCGACTTGCTCTTGCTGTCAAGGACATGGGATCAACAGAATTATACCCTCAAAAATTGCAGCATTCTCCAAATGGACGTTTTGTTGTTGTTTGTGGAGATGGTGAATATATAATTTATACGGCAACAGCTTTGCGTAACAAATCTTTTGGTTCAAGCCTTGATTTTGCATGGGCAAATGATTCAAATATGTATGCAGTGCAAGAAAGTTCGCAATTAATTAAGCTGTTTAAGAATTTCAAGGTTTCTATTTTATTTGTTTATGGGTGGGGGTTTGCTATTTTCGGAATTCTCTTCATGTTTTTTCACTACTTTTATTTTTACACTGTAGGAAGTCCTTCAAATTCGACCTGATACATCTATTGAAGGAATTGATGGTGGTCATTTATTGGCAGCACGTTCTGCTGGTTCACTTCTTTTTTATGATTGGGACACTGGACATGTTATTCGTCGTATTGAAATTGTTGCCAAAAAAGTTTTTTGGAGTGAAAATGGTGATATGGTTGCTATTGCAAGTGATGAACAACTTTATATTTTGCGTTATGATTCTGAGACTGTTTCACGCGTAAATATTAATGAAATTGGAGCTGATGGAGTTGAAGAAGCATTCGAAGTCATTGGTTTGATTTTAGTTCTCTTATTAATTTTTATTTAAAATTTAATTTAAAGGTGAACTAACGGAGGCTGTAAAAACTGGAATTTGGGTTGGTTACTGCTTCATATTTACAACAACTTTAAACCGACTTAGTTATTATGTTGGTGGTGAAGTTGTCACTATTGCACATACTGATCGTCCACTTTATTTGGTTACTTTAGTTTTTAAAAATTTTTTTAATATTTTTTTATTTAGCTTGGGTACTTGTCAAAAGAAAATCGTCTTTTTGCTTGTGACAAAGACCACAATATTGTCTCCTATAAAATTCTTCTGTCAGTTTTGGAATATCAAACTGCTGTGATGCGACGTGATTTTGATTCTGCTGATCGAATTCTAAAAACAATACCAGAAAATCAATGTACAAGAGTTGCTCAATTTTTGGAGAAACAAGTTTGCATTTTAAGAAATTTGTTTGGATTTTGAATAAGATTTGTAAGAATTTTTCTCGAAAAGTCGAGAGACTTGTCTGTGGTTAAGGGGTTTTGCTTTTGTCTCCCCCTATGAATGGATATCGGTTCGATTCCATGTGCATGCTATGATGAAATTTAAGCCTCTTGGTCTGTGTTATTGACGATAGATTGATAATAAATGCGGCACTGAGCATGCATAATTTTTGTTCAAAATTTTTTCTTGTTTTTAAAATTTTTATTTTTTTATTATATTTTTAGGGCTTCAAAAAACAAGCGCTTGCTGTTAGCAAGGACCCACAGGTTTGTAAATTTTTTAAAATTATTTTAATAATCCATTTTAATTTAAAGCATCGTTTTGAATTGGCTCTTTCACTTGGAGATTTAAATGTTGCCTATGAGTTGGCCCAACAATCGGATAGCGAAGATAAATGGAAACAACTTGCACATGCAGCAACTATTCGTTCAGAGTTACGACTGGCTGGTGAATGTCTGGCTAAAGCTCGTGATTTCGGAGGTCTTCTCTTGCTCGCTTCATGTTCTGGTTCTAATAAATTGGTATAACTAAATTTAAAATTTTTTCCGTTTAAAACAAGATTAAATTTTTAACAACATTTAATCCATTAAAAATCCTTATTTATTAGAGAGCCCTGTGTTCGCCGGGTCTGACTGTTATCTGCATGTTTATCATAATAATTAATTTCATGAGATCAGTCCAGATTCGTCGAGCGCTTGTTGCACTCATTCGACTTTTCTAATTTTAAAAATTTTCTTAAAATTATTTTATCTGAAATTTTCTTTAAATTTTTTTAGATGTCACAATTAGCTAAAGAATCTTACAACAATAATCAACACAATGTTTCATTCCTTTCTTCATATCTTCTCGGCGATTTACAACAATGTTTGGAAATTCTTATTGAAAATGGACGCATTCCTGAAGCTACTTTCTTTGCTCATACTTATGCTCCAAGTCAAGTACCTCGTTTAGTGTCACTTTGGAGAGATGCAGCGAGTCAATCATTGAGTGGAATAAGCAAAAGAGTAATTTTATGATTAGTTTGTTTAAAAAAAATTTTTTTATTCAGAATGTTGGAGAAAGTTTGGCTGATCCATTAAAATATGAAAATTTGTTCCCTGGTTATGATAAAGCACTTGAAGCAGAAAAACAAAGAGATGGTGGATGTCAAAATGGAGTGGTGGTGGTGCCAGAGCAACAAGACGATTTGAAGGATGTATTAGCTGAAAGTGAATTAAAATCTTTAAATGGAACAGTAACAGATCAAGAAGAAGAGGAACATGAGAATTCCTCTGGTGAACAACTTAGTGCAGAAGATGAAGAAGTAGAAGACAAAGAATCATAAAAATTATTTTAAGTATAAGCATTAATAAAAAATAAAAAAATGTGATTGTTAAAAAATAATAGACAAAAGAAAAATCATTTTTATATATTTATTTTTAAAAAATTCCATGTTTCACAAAAAAATTTTTTTTTGTTTTGTATAAAAATTTGAGTTATTGAGTAGCTTTTGGTGTTTTTGAATGTTTTTTCAGCTTGAACTATCTTTTAGTGTTGTTGGAGGTATTGAGGTTTTCCTTGTGTCTTCATATGTGACCAATCCATATTTTACCAACTCGGCCAAAAAACCACGTTTTGCCTATGAGGCCTTGTTGTCAAAACTTAGGTTTTTACCCTTATTGGTAAAATACGTTATTGGTCAAATATGTGAAAGCCGAATTTCTGTGTTAATAACGGGCCGCGTTTTCTCATTAATTAAAAATTTTTTTTCCTAGTTTTCAGTAAATTTAAACTTTAAAAATGAATATTCGTTCAGCAACATGTGACGATCTAATTAAAATGCAGCAGTGTAATTTGTTGTGTCTTCCTGAGAATTATCAATTAAAATACTACATGTATCACGTGGTTTGAAATTTTTATTTTTATTCTAATAATACGTCTAATTTTTTTAATTAAGCTTTCTTGGCCTCAACTTTCCTATGTTGCAGCCGATCACAAGGGTAATATTGTTGGCTATGTTCTCGCAAAAATGGAAGAGGAGGCAGACGAAGATCCTCATGGTCATGTTACTTCGTTAGCTGTTAAGCGTACATTCCGTCGTCTTGGAATCGCTCAAAAGCTGATGGATCAGGCGGCTCGCGCAATGATTGAAGTGTTGGTTTTTTGTATATTTCTTTGTATAATTTTTTAATTTAGCTATAATGCTCGCTATGTTTATTTGCACGTCAGACACACCAATCGAGCGGCTCTTAGTTTGTACAAGAATACTTTACGTTTTGAGATTTCCGATTTGGAGCCTAAATATTATGCGGATGGAGAGGATGCCTATTTAATGAGGCGATCTTTGGTTTCTAATTTTTACTTAAATTATAATTAGGGTTATTTTCTGTATAGGGTGTTTATCCTAATGTTGTTGGTGGCAGGTTAATTTTTAACTTTAGCGGTTTAGAGAAATATAAGAGCTTTTTAGCAGCCAAAGGGAAAAATTAATCGGTTACCAACAGCCCTATTTTACTCGAATTTTTTAGTAAAAAAAATTTTCAAGATTTGCATTAACTAATTTTCACACATTTTCTAGGTTCAATTTGCCAAAGAAAACAATATTGCTACAAATCTTACCGAAAAATCGTAATAATTCTTCAGTGTTCTATATAGCTATTTTGGTTAATTATCTTTGTTTACTTCATCTATTTTTATTAAATAAAATAGTTTTTTTTACTTTGTTTTATAAATTTTGGTTTTTTTTCCATTTATTTTATTTTTTTAAATTATTTTACTGTTTTCAAAGCTAAATTAACTGAATGCCTAATTCCTCAAAAAATTTTACTAACTCTCACATTTCAAATGGCAAAATTGATGTTATTGAAATGAAAAGAAGATCCAAACCTGAAGAAAATAATATTGATTGTATGGCTAGTAGCAGTTTTAAAAATGTTGAATTGACTGATGATACAGAAAATATTAGTATGTTTCATTTTTTAAAAGGTTTACTTTCTCGCGAGATATTTACCAGAGATGGGCTTTCGGTAATTCGGGGATGGGCTTTCGGGTGGTTTACACAGTGGATACACTTTTTAAAATACTTTGATAATTTTCACAAATCTTTTAAAGTAAATGATCAAGACAACAGCGATAACGACACCACTTTTGTTGGAAATGAATTTGTCGAATTGCCTCCCCTAACTGGGCGTGATCCTCATGGACATTCAAATGTGGCTAGGCCTGAGCCTGCTTTAGTACTTTTATTTCAGGTTTTCTTATAAATTTTTCCAACTCTAAATTATTTTTCTAGGTCCTTTTCCCTTTTATAATTGCTGGATTGGGGATGGTATTTGCTGGTTTAGTTTTTGATCAAGTACAACATTGGTCATTCTATAAGGTTAACTTTAAATCTGGATTAAAAAATATTTTTAAGGAAGTTCCCCAAGCATTAATTCTTGTCCCTGCATTGCTCGGCCTCAAAGGCAATTTAGAAATGACTTTGGCTAGTCGTCTTTCAACGCAATCAAATATTGGAAAATTGGATAGTTTACAAGAGGTTTTTTTAAATTTTATTTTTAAAAATGTTTAATCGTCACTTTTAAATCCAAAAACTTAAATTTCAGCTTTCAGGCATATTCTATCATCATTGCCAACATCGCTCTAATTCAAGCACAAGCCATTGTTGTGACAGTTAATATTTCTTTTAACTTTTTTATTTTATTCCATTTTTTTAGTTTTTGGCCACAGCTTCAGCAATGGCTCTCTCTTGGATTCCTCGTGGTCAACTTGATTGGGAACATGCAACACTTTTGGGCGCTTCTGCTGTTAGTACTGCATCTTTCGCTTCTTTGGTGCTTTCGGTATATTTCTATAAAAACATTTTTTTATTTTTGATAATTTCAAAGTTGGTTATGATTGCTGTGATAATGACGGCTAAACGCTGGGATATTAATCCTGATAATGTTGCTACACCAATTGCTGCATCTTTAGGTATTTTTATATTTTTACTTTATTCTTTCATATATAAGAATTAAATAATAAATTTTCTCCATGTGCCGCTATAGCTCAGCCGGTTAGAGCGTGGGTCTAATAAGCCCAAGGTCACAGGTTCGATCCCTGTTAGCGGCATTTATTTTTCTTTCGATTCCTTTAACGTTTTAAAGTTTTTTAACGTTTTAAATTTTATTTTTTGGAGCTACAAATTTTTCTATGTATTTTAAAATTCGTGTAAAGAAATTTCCTCTAAAATTTATGATTTTTAAAAATTTATTGTAGGTGATCTAACAACATTAACAATTCTGTCAATTTTTGGGAGCGTGTTTTTGAGTGCTCATCGAACACAGCATTGGCTAAATATGTTAATAATTAATTTTTAAATTCTTTTTATCTGTAAATTTAATTTTTCAGGTTCATAATTTTACTCTTCCTTTTTATTCTTCCAATTTGTATTGCTATAGCTAGTCGTGATTCATCAGCTCGTCAAGTACTTCGATATGGATGGTCACCAATTATATTTTCTATGTTAGTTTATTTTTCTTTTTTTAATATTTTGAGAAATTTATTTGTTAAAAATTATTTGAGAAATCTTTTTAAAAAATTCAAAAAAATCCTTTTAAGGATGATTAGTAGCAGTGGTGGTTTTGTATTGGAAAGAGCTGTCATGAACTTTCAACAAATGCCTCTCTATCAGCCTGTTATGAATGGTTTTCTTTTTAAAAAAATTTTTATTTTATAATTAAATTTGAAGGCGTTGGTGGAAATTTAGCAGCCGTTGCAGCTTCAAAACTTTCAACTTTTTATCATCAATGTTCAACAATTGGAACACTTCCATTTGATTGGACAATAAAAAGATTTTATTCATTTTCTCGTGCATTTTTTTCTTCTGATGAGGTTTTCTTTTATTTTTCTGGAATAATTTTAAAAATTTATATTTTAAGGATAGTCGCTCAGCTCGTGTTTTTCTTCTACTTTGCGTTCCTGGACATATTTTCTTTAATTGGGTAATTTCTTCATTACATGTACATACTGGACAATATGTTCAAGGATCGTTATTCACTGCTTTATATTTGAGTGCTGCATTGGCACAGGTGTGGTTTTATTTATTAAAATATTTTTGAATTTTTTTTAATTAATGGAAAGTGGTAAATTAGAGGGGATTTGTGTTCTTTCTGGGTATTTTTCTTTTTTTTGTTTTTTTAGTTTTTTAAATTTTTCTTCAATTTTTTTTTCTTTCTAATTTTTCGTCCTTATCTCAACATTTTCTTCTTCTTTTTTTATTTCCTTCTATCAAATTTAACACTTCCAACTCTTAACAAATCTTAAAAATTCTTCAATTAAGTCAAATAATTTAATAATCATTTTCCAACAGAAATTTTTGCATTCTTTTTGTATAGGCAAGCATTGGATATTGTCTAAATTTTCTTCAATTAAAAAAACTTTCTTACTCACCTTAAAACAGCTCTAATACTCTTTTTCAATTCAATTTCATTTTTATCTTGTAGTAATTCGTTTTCATTTTTTATCCTTTCTGTTGTTGAAATGGTATAATAACGATCCAAAGTATTAAGGAAAAGTTCTTTAATTTGTTCAAACTGAAGAAAAAATTTTTCTCTGATTTATTTAGAGATTGTGGTTTTAAAAATCTTCATCCTTAGCCGAGGAAAAATCAAGGAACTCTAAAAAATACCTTGATTCTGTCTTTGGACCCAGGAAAATCAAGGTCTGGATCCAGATCCAGCTCGATCTCCAAAGTTTTTTCTTCAAAATTTATTCAAAAATTTACCTCGTCATGCTCATATGGTGTTATTTGTAGCCATAAAGCACAAATAATAGACCCAATTAAATATTTTAATTCTTCGACTTTTTTCCTCTAAGAATTTTATTTTTTCTTTAAATTAATTTTTTCAAACCTTCTCTTCTATTATTTCCTCAGAATAATTATTTTTGGTATTGTTTATACTTCTCGAAACCATCACAATTTCAAATGCTTCCGCGCAATCAACACGTAATTCTTCTAATACAAAACCCCATAATTCATCCATTACATAAGGGGAATCATTCATTTGCTAATTTTTTAAACATTTTTTAAAATTTTTCTATTACCTGTTTAATAACAAAACTTATTCTTTCATGAAATCTTCTTGTCTGTTCTACCTATTTAAAATTATTTTTTCAAAATTAGGGTTGTTGGCCACCGGTTAATTCTTGGTCACCTTATTCTTCATTTGTTGAGCATGGGTAAAATTAACCGATCCCCAATAAACCTATTTGAATTTTATTTAAAAAATTATTTTTTACCTTTTCCCTGAAAACATCAACTAATAATATCATTTCTTCAATTCGAAGACGACCATCTGTTGCAATTAATAGTTGACAAAAAGTATCGACTGCTTGATTAAGCTGCCCTTTTTTATATTGTCTTTTGGCCGTTTTTATCAAAAATTCTCTTAAAAAGTCATCATCTAAAATTTAAAAAATGACGACAAGTTCCTCTTTATCATCGCACGCTGCAGGATTCGAACCTACGCGGGGCTTCCCCATTAGATCATAAATCCAACGCCTTAACCACTCGGCCAAGCGTGCTTACGGCACTTTTTATTGTTTGTTTTATATAGTCAGGCATTTTTACATCATTTTTACCTTCGACATTACATTGTTGCTGCTCGCGTTGTATTGTGTTTATTAATGCTTCAAATCCTCTCAAATAGTCAGTGCAATTCTGAATCAAATTAAAAATATTGTCTTGAGATTTTTGGGGCTTCTCTATTTTTTAAATTTTTAAGTCTCCTTTTAGTATTTTAAAATTTTACTTGAAAAATTAACTATCACAAGATTGCTACCTTAAATTTATCAGTTAATAAAGCACTTCTTAACCGGCATTCTTCAGTTATTGCTTGTAATTTTCTTCGTCTTCTAATGCTTGTTTGTTTCTCCTTTTCTGATAATTTTGTTTTCATTTTATCATTTTTTACTGAATTTTTTAACATTTCTATTCCCCATTTTGTTGCACAAATATTTATTTTTCTCTTAAAAATTTATTTAAAATCAACTAAAATTTTATTTTTTAACCCTTTGTTCTTCTTCCAATTTTTCTAATTTTGTTTTTAACAAATTTAATGCTTTATCCATCTCTTTCTGCATTTGTGCCAATTCTGAAAGTGTTGTAGTTGTTTTTTGATGTTTTTGAATATTAAAATATTTTTGATATTTTTCTTTTGTTGGGAAATTGATCATTCCATTAAATTCAGTAATATTTGGACTTATTATTATCTTAAAAATTTTTGAATTTTTGTAAACAACCAATTTTTTCTCTAAATAATAACTGGAGCTCGAACCCTTGTGGACCTAGACCTTTTTTAAGGGCCCGGTGGCCCAGGAAGTTTTGATAAAATCCGGGTTTCTGAGGTTTCAGCCGGAAAACCCCAGCCTGGATCATTGAAAACCCTAGCCCAAGCCTTTTCTGAAAAATCCGGATCCGTCTTGTATCCAATTTCGAATAAGTTCAGGCTCTAACACCCACCTCATTTTCCTGGCTTTTAAATTTATTTGCTTCTTCAATTTCAATATTTTCTTCATTTTGTTTATACTCATTCAATTCAATATCATCTATTAATTCTATTATACTTCCAGATTTATTATTCTTCCATTTTGTTGTTGCTGTATAAGATGCTCCAGCAACTGCTCTTTTTAAAATTATTAATTTATTCTTTTTTAAATTGAGTTGAGGGGAATAATTTTTATTTGAAGAATATTTTTGTTGATGTAATAAATGACGTAATTTGCTTGGTTTGGTGCCCATTCTAAATAAGAAATAGTTTGAATGGTTTGGGGATTTTTGTGAAATTTTTTGTGGATTTTTTGGAGATTTTTAAATTTTTTTTGTTTAATAGTTGCTTACTGGAGCTTTATTTAATTTTATTAGGCCATTTGAAATATTTTCTTTTTATTTAAAAAATTGAATTTTAATCATGTGATTTTCTCCTAATTCTGTTTCCTATTTTTTATTCATTTTATCTCCCAATTAAAAAACTTTTCCAAAGGCTATACTTAAAAATAAAAAAAGGCAAAAGCAGGTGCCTTTAAAATGAATTTTTGTTAAAAAAGAAAATTTATTTTAATAGAAAAAATAAATAAAAGAATTGGCATTTTTACGTGAACAGCAAAAAAAAATTATTATTTTTTTTATTTTATGTAAATTCTAAAGATTTGTTTATGTGGGGAAATTTCTTTATTAAAAACAAAAATTTGGAAAAATATTTTAGCAAAAATTCAAAAAGAAAAAATTTTTCTCGAGTAATAATTTAATTTTTATTTTCGAAGTTTAAAAATGCTAATTTTATTTTTAACGTTTATAATTTTTAAAATATTTTTAAGAATTTTTTTATTACCTATTTTTTCTAGAGATAGGCCTGGATTTGTATTCAGTCTTTGATTTTTCCTTGACACAAGGTCAAAAATCTAGTCATGGTCAAGATTTTTAAAAAATTTCCTATCTCTAATTTTTTCTATTTTTTATAATATTTTTTTCTCTTAAATCGATTTTTGAATTTTTTATCCCTTATTTGGAATTTTTTTCTATTTTTAAAGCAAAGATATTTAAATTATTTTTAAAATAAGTTTAGGAAAGCATTAAATATTAATGTTAGGGGTTTAGGATTAAATGCTTCTTTTCTACGCATTTAACAAGTGCCGAATCAACCGTGAAATTTATTTTTTTTGGTGTGCCGATAAAAATAAGGGAAATGGACCCTAAGAATTTGATGGGATTTTTTATATTTTAGGCAAAGTTTTTTTAAGTTTATGGTCTTAACATAATTTTTAGTTTTTTTACACTTCCACAAATTTTAACTCTTTTAATTTTATTCAAATTAAAATTCTATTCAAATTTTTATTTTTAGATAATGATTTTGTTGTATATCTGTCAATGGTTAGTGCCTTTAATGTGGATATGGAAACAAGTAAAAATTTTCTTTTAAAATTTTGTTTAAAAAAATTTTTTTCTTCCATAGAATCCAGATAATGCAGCAATTCCTTATTTAACAGCATTGGGTGATTTGTTAGGGACAGCTTTTCTTTATGCCGCTTTTTGTTTACTAAATGTGCTTAAACCAGAAGATTTAATTAATCATTCTTCACAGCAAAATCAACAGGAACACCAACAACAACATCAAAAAAGTGCTTTAGAATTAATGTCAATTCCGCCAATTTTTTCAAATAATTCTGTGATAACCTCAACAAATAATTCTATAGATTTTTAATTTTTTTTTTCAAATTCGGTGCCTATTGTTCAAAAAAATTTTTTTTGTTTTGAAAAAATTGCATAAAAATTTTACAATTCCTTATACTTTTTAATCTTCCAGACTAAAATAGGATGTTGTTATCGTGTCTAGCCAATATCAATTACCATACGCGTAAAATCAACCCTGACTCCTAGAATCGACCAATTATCGTTTCCCTTGGATCGACCAATTGTCAATTCGCTTGAATCGACCAATTGTCGCTTCCCTTTAATCGACCAATTGTCGTTTCCCTTGGATCGACCAATTGTCAATTTGTTTGAATCGACCAATTGTCGTTTCACTTAAATCGACCAATTGTCGTTTCCCTTGGATCGACCAATTGTCAATTTGTTTGAATCGACCAATTGTCGTTTCACTTAAATCGACCAATTGTCGTTTCCCTTGAATCGACCAATTGTCAATTCCCTTGAATCGACCAATTGTCGTTTCCCTTGAATCGACCAATTGTCAATTGCCTTGAATCGACCAAGTGTCAATTCCCTTGAATTGACCAATTGTCGATTCCCTTGAATCGACCAAGTGTTAATTTCCTTGAATTGACCAATTGTCGTTTCCCTTGAATCGACCAAGTGTTAATTTCCTTGAATTGACTAATTGTCGTTTCCCTTGAATCGACCAATTGTCAATTCACTTGAATCGACCAATTGTCAATTCACTTAAATCGACCATTTGTCAATTCCCTTGAATCGACCAATTGTCAATTCGCTTGAATCGACCAATTGTCAATTGCCTTGAATCGACCAAGTGTCAATTCCCTTGAATTGACCAATTGTAAATTCTCTTGAATTGACCTTTTTTTCTCTTTTTCTAAATATTTTTATTTACAGTAGTTGGTGTCTCTCAGAATCTGGCACTCAACCGACTTATACCGTTTATAAAGTCCGTTACATAATTATAAGAGCAAGCATTTTTTCGGTGTTACTCATAGTTCCAGTGTACCGATTGAGCCCTAATTTTTTCTATTAGTAAATATCCTATAAATATTAGGATTTTGAGAGTTTCAAAAATTTTCAATCAAATTTAAATTTTTTATGATTTTTTTTTCAAAATTTGGGGTGTTACATAATTATAAGAGCAAGATTTCAATCCTTATTTTCTAGGCTATATATGTTCCAAAAATTTTGTGAAAATTTTTGTGAATATTTCAATTGATAATGAATATAAAAGAAAAAGGAACGGAGCCTGTAAGTGCTTCCTTCATTGAGATCTCAAAATCCCGAAATCAACGGGAAACTGGGTTACAGTACTTCAAAAAATATTTTAACCCCTTTGGAGGTTGTACAAAATTTTTTTAAAGGCCCTCCAGAAAGCCCATAAAATTTGCTACAAATAACACTTTGTGCCATCCTGTAGAAAAATCTTACCATTGAGGAGCCATCAGTTAGAGGAGCAGATTAATAAATTCGCTCAAATTACCCCATAAATTGTCATTATTTTTAACAATTTAAATTTGACAGGTGAGTCCTCAATGATACGATTTTTCTCAAGGAAGGGACCAAGTATTTCTTGTAGCAAATTTTGTGCTCTTTCTGGAGGGCTAAAAAGAAAATTTTTATATAAGCTCTAAGGGTGTTAAAATATTTTTTGAAGTACTGTAACCCCGTTTCGGGGTTAAGAGATCGCAATGAAGAGAGCATTTACAGACTTCGTCCGAAATGGGACAAAGTGGTTTTTGTAGCAAATTTCGTGAACTTTCTGGTGGGCCTGAAAAAAATTTTTATACAACCCCTAAGGGGTTAAAATATTTTTTAATGTACTTTACCCCCGTTTCCCGTTCATTTATGGATTATCTCAATGAAGAAAGCAATTACAGACTTCGTTCTTTTTGCTTTTCTATTCGATATTGATCGAAATGTTTATATAAATTTTCACAAAATTTTTGGAACATATATAGCCTAGAAAATAAGGATTGAAATCTTGCTCTTATAATTATGTAACACCCCAAATTTTGAAAAAAAAATCATAAAAAATTTAAATTTGATTGAAAATTTTTGAAACTCTCAAAATCCTAATATTTATAGGATATTTACTAATAGAAAAAATTAGGGCTCAATCGGTACACTGGAACTATGAGTAACACCGAAAAAATGCTTGCTCTTATAATTATGTAACGGACTTTACTTTAATATTCTCTCCAACTAAATATTTTCTTTTTTGTTTTTCTCGAAACTTATTGATAAAGTGCCATTTATTTTAAATTACGGTTCCGGTACAAAACATCGAATCGGCAAAATCTCGCCTGTTAAAATCTCGACTGCTAAAAATCAGTTTAAAACCTCGACAGTTTAAAACATCGACAATGATAAAAATGTTTAATTCCATTTTTAAATTAATAAAATTTATTTATTAAAATGTATCGATTAAAATTTTGATAAAATGTAGTATTTGATTAAAGAAAAAAGAAAACCTTAGAGATAAGAAGCATTAAATGCTTACAAAAGGAAAAAAAGATATCTTAATATCTTCAAAATATCTCTCAATCCAGCAATACCCAGTAAAATATTGAAATTAAGAATTGTTTTTGGATGCAAAGAAATCTGTTTTTGGCATTTCCTCTTCCTTTTTTATTTTGTTAACTGTGTCCTCCCCCATTCATCCGTTTCCTTTTTTGTTTTTAAGCAAAAAACCCTTTTACTCCAACAGAAGAATAGCTTTACATTCATTCATTTTCCTGTAAAAACAAACACGAAATTGACAATTTTCCCAGCCAGAAATGTTCTCGAATGCATAGAAATTGTGTGTTTTTCCAGTTATTTTTACTTAAAAATGAAAATATTTTTTAAACAAAGAATTCTTTACATTTAAAAAAAATTTTTTACCACAAACTGAGAAATTGACTGAAGTATCCGGATACCTAATAGATTTTCAAAACAATAAATCGTTCAATATTTTACGGACTTTGCTTGCCAATTCTTGCTGGAAAAAAAATAATTTTTATTTTAAAGTTTCCTTGGGGAGGGTTTTAAATTTTAAATAGACACTAATGCTTTCCCTTCAGTTAATTAAGGGAAACAGTTAATTAAGGGAAGTCTTGCTAAATAAATTAAAATTTTCATTAACTTCCCCATAGTTTTATCTCTTTTTTAAACTCTTAAATTAGAAAAAATTTCTCTAGGGAACCAACCATTCTTTTTTTTAATAGAAAAAGTGGTAGAAACAAGTAAGAGTAATGGATTTTTTGTTTTAATTTAAAAGGGCACATGTTTTTGAGACATTATATTTTTTTCTAAAATTTGTTTTCCATAACCAAATTGTTTAAAAATAGTTGGCACCACCAGGAATCAAGCCGACCCCTAAAAAGAGTGAAAATCGTTAGCTATCCCACTAAGCCAAGAAGGCAGCCTTTTGGCCCCAAACAGCGGAATTCACAATTCAAACTTTTTTTTGGCCATATTATTTTTATTTATTTTATTTTTCTGATTTTTTCCCTCATTGTTAAAAACCGTTTTAAACGTATCTAAGGTCGTGGATCGCATTGCGAAATAATTGTCGATTGTTTATGTTCAAGGATTAGTAAAGTGAACACATGTGGTTAGAGTAGTTGAAGAATTGAGAAAAATATTATAAGATTAAATCAAATGAAAGAAAAGATAGTAAAACGAGGAAAGGAATTTAAGGAATTACCTTTCTAAAGTTGTCGAGGAAAAAATTTTTAAATCGAGGACTTGAGAAATAAATTAGAAAGACGAAAAATCTCAAAATTTTCAAAAAATAAGAGAAAGCCGGAAAGCCCCAAGTTTTAAAGAGTTAAAAAATATTTCGAAAAAATTCTCAAGTCTTGATTATAAACTTATCGATAATTTCTCGATTTATAATTTCCGAGGTTCCCAGAAAATAAATATTAAGGTGAAAGAGTTAGAAAGCAAACAGGAAAGAGTGTAAACAAGGAAAAGGAACGGCTGGTAGGAAAGGAGAAGGAGAACAAAATTATGAGAGAAGTTAAAAAAATTTGAGGGACGGGGAAAGAGCACTCAAATACATAAATTCCTTTACTCATTTTGAGAAATTATTTGAAATTATTCTCTACATTTTTTAAAAAAATTCTTTGCTCTTGCCATCCATAAAAATTTTTAAAAAATGCAAAGTCATCAAATTAATAATTTTTTCTCGTTTATCTTTTCCCTCCGAAAATATTTAGAGATAAAGGAATTTTGATAACAAAAACAATTTTTGATAAAAAATAAAACAAAGAGTGTTGTTAAGGAGGTTAAGGAAACACACAAAAACTTATTTTTGTCCTTATTTTAAATTTAAAATTTAAAAAATTTTTGAGTCAGTTGTTTAAAGTCATTTTTTAAATATCCGCCCCCATATATTAGCTTCTTTTTTCATGATTGATTTTCTAATTCATTATTTTCCAATTATTTTTTTCTATTCCTTCCCCTTTAAGCTTAAAAAAAAGATGACACTTAAATAACTAAAAAAATTAGAAGCTAATATTTTTTATAAAAAATTAAAACGGAAACTACTCCATGAAGGATGACGCATAACTAGAACAAAAAAGTTAGAACGCTTAGGGGGAGGAGAATAGGAAAAAGAGTATAAAATAAAAGTAAAAAAAGAAGATCCATTTTCAATTATAATTTAATTTTTATTTTAATCCGCTATTTGTCCCTAAATCTCTTTAATTCTTTATTTAAAAATCAATTTTTATGAAAATTTTATAGACCTAAACCTAGAGCCCAGATTGAGATGAGATTCCGAACAAAAATCTTGGTTATCGAGATCAATATCATTCTTAATTACGCTCAATCCCCATATTACCCTTAATCCCTTCAGATCCTTCTTAACCTATCAAGAATTCTTATGATAAATTATATATTTTTAAATATCGAAAAGGCTCGAAAAAATTTTATCGAGATAACGATCTCGATTTCCGTATGATCCTCCCGTCCGGGCTCTAATCTAAATCTTGTCCCCTTCTTAATTTTTTAAATTTATTCAAAATCCTTTTCAAATTGTTTAAAAATGGATCATTTTTTTATCTAAAAATATAGAAAAATATAGAAAGTGTCAGCTGTTGATCAGAAAAGGAATGGTAAATAATTGGAAGAAAATAAGGAACACACCCACACAAATAACTAAATGTCTCCTAAAACTTTTACTCATTTTTTCATGCCAAATCCTTTTATTTACTCTTTATTTTGAAATAAACAATCAACGACCCTTTTTTTTAATTTTTAAAAGTTAATTAACTGTTTCAGGAAAAGCTATTTTATTAAATATTTAATTAATTAACCCACCCTTACAACCAACATGAGCACATTCAACCAAAGTTCAAGCTACAATCGGTTAGAGCGAATTCTTAAAAAGAATAAATTTAGGGTCGTTCATGATCGGGTAATTTTTGCCTGCGGCGGCTCCTTATTCTCACTGTTTAAGGCCGCCAAAGGAAAAAAATTAACAGGTCGTGAATAACCCTAGAATAAACCAGTTAAATTTTAAAAAAAAATTTTCCAAAAATTTTCTAGTACTTTTGAACGAAAAGTCGTTGAGGAAACAGTCCCCCGACTACTCTCCTCCTCTCCTCTTCATACAATAAAATCAACAATGTCTAGCTTTGGAAGTCCCGGAGATTTAGGTTTGGGGAGTACTTCCTTTGTTCAGGTATTTTTAAATTTTCTAAGAAAAAACTAAAAAATTAACCTTTTTAAAGCCACACAATTATCAATTTGGAACAGCAACTTCCGGCTCCTTCCAATCATCTGACGATTATCTTTCTGTTAGCATGGATGTCAGCGCTTTTGCTCCAGAGGACTTGAAGGTTTCTTCTTTAATACTTAAAATTAAAAGCATAAAAAACCTCTTTAAAAGGTGTCAATTGTTGGAAATCAATTAGTCGTGGAAGGCAAACATGGAGAAAAATCAGACGCCCTTGGAAGCATGTAAAAAAATGTTTAAAAACCAAAAAACCTCAAAAACTTTCAGTGAGCGCCACTTTATCCGCAAATTTACATTGCCAAGGAATGCCCATCCAGACCTCGTTCAGAGCAATTTGACAGCTGATGGTCATCTCACTGTAACTGCTAGTGCTCCAAAAATTAAAGTAAGAAAATCTTAAAAATTTTGAAAAATTTCAAAAAAAATTTTCAAAGGAAACCTCACCAGGCCGCACAATTCCAATCAAAATTGTCAACACAAACACAACTGGATCATCATTCGGACAACAACCATCAACTTGTAAGAATTAAAGGCATAAATCATTTTTAAAATTAAAAAACTTTAAGCACAGCAAAATGGAACTTCTCCAACTGCCCAATGAGAAAATTAAAAATTGTCCAAATCTACAAAAAAATTTTTTGAATTAAAAAGATAGCAAAAGTACAAAACACCAATTTGTTCGAAAATTTAAAATGCTTATTATTCGTTTTTAAAATTTTATGATCACAAATAGAGTTGTCGATTCAGGAAACCCGAAGAACCGTTCGAAGATTTTCCAAGAATCGACAACCCTAATCATACATGCAAAAATATTTGTTTAAAAAATTTAGAAATATATTTAACAATATTTAAAAATATATTTTGTCAAAATTGAAGATAAGATTTATTTTAAAAATTTTTTATTCAAACAAATGTGAAGTAGAATCTCTCTCATACTCACTGAAAAATAAGGATTTCTTAATGCGGAAATCAACTTGTTTGAAAAATAATTGACGGAATATTTAAGAGAATTATTAAAACAAGAAAGAGAGATTCGTCCGAAAATAATTTAACCCGAAAAAATAACAAAAAAAACCTGGGATATGATTGGGGAAAATGTTTAAAAAACAATGGGAAAATAAATAATTATTCAAAATTCGACAACTAAACCTCATTCAGAATTCTCCCGATTTTGTTCATTTTGAATTAGTTCACAATTTGTGGATGCTTTTTTGTTAGCCTAAAATTGCAGAATTTATAAAATTAATAATTAAAGTTCGAACTTTTCAATTTGCCTGGCCCGTATCCGGGTTTAACTCCGAAAAATGGAATTTATCTAAATACCCGGACTCAGGACTACTGGGCCCAAAAGTCGGTTCCAAGCCTACCGCGTGCTTCAAACTCTACAATTAAAAAGAATACCCTTCCACAACAATATCAGAAAACTCTTTGCATACTCCCTCATACGAAACTTAAAAATTGAATATTTCATTTACCTCGCCTCGCAATTGTCTCAAAAGCTTAACATCCTTCTGCATCAATGTAACCCTTCCAGTATGCAACGCGCATAAATTAGCACCCTCAAACATATCAACCAAGTAATGTTCAGCAGCCTCCTTAAAAAGACGAATTTGATAAAATTTTATTATTAAATTATAAAATTTCAAACTTGAATAGCTACCAGAGCTAAACCCTTCCATTTAAGAACTCTTCCGTCGGTTATTTTGTTCGAAACATCCCTGACGAGACGAATAAAGGCAGCCCGTGGGATAATTAAATTAACAGAATTTTGATATTTTCTGATTTCTTTTAAAGTTAATGACCCTGAAATTTTTTTAAAATTATTTTAATAAATTAAAAAAATATTTCTTCACCTCCCTCCCCAGGGGCTTTAATTTTATTTTGCTGACTTCTAAGAACTTCCAGATTTTTTGCCGGGAACACACGTTTTTTCGCTACTTGTCGAACAAATTGTTTATTTGTTGTACTCAGATTAACATGAATACCGCCACTAGTTACATTACTTGGCCCAGCGATGGATTTTGTGGCAAAATTTTTTGTTAAAATTAATTGTTGTGGTTGTGCCATTTTTTTGAAAAATTAAAGAAAATTTTTATTCTGAAAGCCTATTGAAAATAATTTTTTAAAATTAAAATTAAAAAATATTTTTACATATTCAAATGTAATTAAATAAAATACAAAGAATTTTTTTTATAAATTTATTCAACTAAAAAAAGGAAGAAATTAAAATTTAACTTTTCGGCATTTTAAGTAATACTGTTTTTTATGCCTGAAAAAAATATACCCCTAAAATTAAAATTAAGAAATAAATGTATACAAAGGCAGGAAATTGAGTTAAAATTTATTTTAACAATCAAAAAAATTTCCATAAAAAATATCAAAGTTTTGGTCATACGACACTTGCAGATATGACATTTGCAGACCCGACATTTGCAGACGACTTTTGCAGATCGACATTTGCAGATACCGACACTTGCAGATATGACACTTGCAGATCAGACATTTGCAGACCCGACTTTTGCAGATATTAATTTTTGAAAAAAAATTTTAAAAAAATTTAAAAATCTTAAAAAATCAAATATAAGACCCATAACAATTCGTCTTGACGAGCTGAGTCGAACGGCACCACTCTTTTTTCCGGAGAATCTCTTTTTTCCGGAGGTTCAAAATGTTCAACGTAGACCTATGGAGCGTCGGCGAGGCGCTTGTGCAAAACCCCGCGCTTTGCGCGGGGTTTTGCGGCACGCGCCTTGCGGGGAGTCAACGGTCGCTGGGCTCTGGGCTCGTAACATGATCCTATTTCTATCATCGATGAGATGGGCATCCCAGGATTCCTCCGCAGCAGCAAACACTCCACCGTGTATAGGTAAGGTATAGAAGAGAGCAAATGGGTCTAATCTGCAAAAGTCGGGTCTGCAAATGTCTGATCTGCAATTGTCATATCTGCAAGTGTCGGTATCTGCAAATGTCATATCTGCAAGTGTCGTGACACGAAAGTTTTCAATAATTTCCTGCGCATAAATAGGTAAAATAAAATTTTAAAATCACCTAGAAGACAAAAGAATGAGAGAGGAGTCTTAAAAGAGAAAATCATGTAAGACAATGAAGACAAATCAAAAATAATTTTTTGTCAAAAAATATTTAAGCACACGTTGATAATTTTGAATAATTTTGTTGCACACATGTAATTTTTGGATAAAAATTAAAGGCAAAGGAAAACATATAGAGAAAAAATTAGAAATCTTAGAGGAAAATTTTTAAACCTAAAATTTGCATTGCCCCCAAAAATAGAAGAAAAAATATATAGAAAAATAGAAAGCTTTTAAACCGAATAATATATTTTTAAAATAAAGCATAGAATTTTAATTTCAAAAATTAAAAGAACAAAATATATTGCAAAAAAGAGAGAAAATATTTCAAAAAAAGAAAATAAGTGATCGAAAAAATATCTACGTGATTTAAAAAAATATTTAAAATTATTTGAAGAACCGATCACTAATAAATAAAATTAATTTTTTTTCTTAAATTTAGGCTGAAATGTCATACAAATTGTGGACAGAAAGCCAAAAAAATTTTTTCAAAAAAATTCAAATTGAAAATCAAATTAATTTAGAGTCCAAAATGAATGATCTGTATGATCATTAACAGCTTTTATAATATAAAAAATAAAGCTTTTCTAACTTTATTGACCACGTACAATGTCAAACTTATCTATGGTTGGAGCAGTATCATTAGATAAAATTACAGGTGGAGAAGAACAAATTCCAGATTTTGGAGGCTTATAGAAAAATTGCCCACCGCTTAAACGACGCTTCAATTCGCCCCAAAGTAGACGTCGTTCCTTGCCTAGATTGTTTAGCATTGTGCCATTTTCGAGCGCGCGACGAGACAAATATGGGAGAACATCCTCAACTGGTCCCCATGGAATATATCTGCATTTTTTTAAATTTTAGATAAAAATTATAGTTATTGTCTTTTTACTTGTAGACACTATATCCTGCTTGTCCAAGTGAAAATGAAGCCTAAAAATTTTTAAAAATATTTATAAATTTTTTGACAGTTTACTATTTCTCAAAAAATTTTTTAATTCTCGCCAAAGCTTTAAATCTTTTTCAATTCCTTTCCCTCTATACGCTACGTGTAAATTTTTTTATTTCACTCAATACTCAGTCAGTCAAAAATCCAAAAGCCAAATCCAAGTCCCACCTTTAAAGACCAACAACAAAAAAACAAAATCGATTCACAGACAACCACCCTCTTTTTTAAATAGAAAAATGTAAACAACAAACACTCTCTTACTTAGACTTGCTTTTACTGCCAGTATATTAAACAATAAAATAAGCTTTTTTACTAAAATATTTCATTCGGTCAGGCTACAATCTCACTTCTATATCTCGCCATTATTCCATTTTTTACAATTCTTTTATAAATATTTTTCCACATTTTTTTGTTTTTTGGTTTCATTTTTCAATTTATTTTTCAACTTTTTCAATTCCATCTTTCAGTAACTGATAAAAAAAACAAACAAAAAAAACAAATAAGTCTTGCGTTTGTTTTGACGGTCAAAAAATATTTAAATAAACGCATCATGTCAAATAAAAAAGGACAAGCATATTATTTAAGCGCTATTTTAGGTAATTTTTTTATTTTTAAATCCGAATTACGTAAGCATTGCAAATACATGCACTTTTATTTATTATTATGTCGCACTTTTAAAAATTACGAAAATAAACATGCATCATTCCAAAATAAATAAATTTAATTAAAAAATTTTTAACAACTATTTTTTGTTTTAAATTCATATACGCAATAGTTTTCATATACGCAATTTTAATTTAAGTAAGCTTTCTCCTAACTTGTTCATGCAAAAAACTTTCCAAAATTTTTTATCTAAAAATTTTGCTAATTTTACGTTTTAGATGACTCACAACCATAAATACACCCCAAGGGATTATAAAAACGTTAAGCACCTTAACAAACAATGAATCACCTTAAAAAACTTTAGAAAAGTAAATGAACTCCTCCACAAAAGGAAACCCCACCTTCAAATTTAACAACAAAGTCTCCATATCATCCTTCAAAACTTTTACTTAATGCAATCAATTAAAACTTAATTTTCTAAATGAAATCTCACACAAATCTAATTTACTTAATTCATTCAATTATAAAATTTGCACAAACATTTAATGATTTTTGACGCAATTAGTAGCTAAAAAAGGTAAAAAAAGAGGGACTCGAGATTTTCATAATTTTTTCTGCGAATGACACAAGACACATTATGATATTTATTTTTAGCAGCTGGAAATAATATGCGACTGGAGAGTTTTGCCCCTTCCCTATATTTTAATTTATTTTATAGTCATATTTCTATATTCTGATGCAAAAAAAAGAATGCTAAAAATATCTTAGAAAATATAAAAATAAAATATAGAAATGCCATTTGCAAACAATAAAATAAAAAAAAAATACAGAAACAAATTAGAACAGAAAAACTAAAAAATACCCACAATTACAAGCATTTTTTATAAAATTATTCATTAATATTTCCAAGTTTCCATATCTCAATAAACTATTTTTTAATTGAAACAAACTTAAATTACGTAAGCAAGTTCAAAAAAATTCTATATAACCTCAAACACCTCGTTTTCAATAAAATGTCACCACTCTATTTTTTAATTAAAGTCACTCTATTAATAAAAGAACAAGCATCCTTTAAAAAAGAGCTTCCTTACATTCAAGACAATTCATCACACATCACCAAACCCCCCCCCCCTCCCGTACTTTATCTTATCCACAAATTTAAGAACAATTTGCATGCATTTTATTCGAGTCTAAATATCTTATCAATCCCCTTGGGAATGAGCATCTCTCTATATAAAATATACTTATTATTATGCATTTTTAATTTAATATTTTTCCCTATCCAATTTATTGTTGAAAATATTAAAATATTTATAAATTATTTTTTATCCGCGCTTTAATTTTAAATAACACCAAGCATCTTTTTGCCAAGTTTTCCCACAATAACACGCAAAACAATTCTTAATGGAATTTGTTAAATAAAAATTCCGAAAAAATACTCAAAAAAAAACAATCTTCCAAAACATTTTCAAACAAAATACTCACAAAATAATTAATTTAAACCCCATACAATTCATTTCCACTCCAATTTTTTCAGATTTTAATATTTAATCCCCTAATAATGAGAACACTATTACATAACGCAGAAAAAACAGTTGAATGTAAAAATTCACAAGTAATTAATTTACACGAATATAAACGAGTACTTAGACAGAGGAGAATAATGGCTGCAGCTACAGTTGGAACAATGGTTCAATAAATTAATCAAAAAATCCAAAGAAAAAATTTTTTAAAGCTTGGCATAATAATTTATATTATTGCAATTCTCTCCCCAAATTGGGCAACAATTGATTTTACTAATAAAAGACAAGAACATGTTAATGTACAATTGGGTGTTTGGGGTGAATATCGTTCAGTAAATACTTCGAAAAGAGGTTAGTAAAGTTGTAGAAATTTTAAAAATATTTAAAAATATTTAAGTTGAGTGGATCTCACACTTCCCCGAACCAGCTTCAGACAGATTTTCAAGATTAGCGGGTGTCTATTTAAAACGTAAGTTAAAACGCCATAATATGAATGTCTAATTATAATCTACAGATTATTATCGAGTACAAGCAGCATTTTCTATTATCGCAATTGCTATGATGGCATTTGCAAATGGAATGGCATTATATACATTCAGGTGTATTTTTCCTCTCATATTTAACACAGAAAATTTTTAGTCACCACAGATACATGTTTAAAAGGGTGGTTGGCCTATTATTCTTAATTATTGGTACGTTTTAATGATTAAAAATCTTATTAAACCCCCAAAAAAATTTTTTAAGCAATGTGCATAGTCGTAACAATTGAAGTACTTATTAACTCAGTTGATGAATGGAATCTTGAGGTAAAAATTCCAAAAAAAAGGAAAACTAAAAATGAATTTCTATTAAAATAGGTGGCCGAACGTTCTCATCTACCAGGAAATTGGGATTACTCATCAGGACAAGAGATTGAAATACCGGTAAAATAAAAAAATATAACAGAAAATAAAAACAAAAATATACATACCAATAAAAATTAGAAAAGATAAAAATGATCATCAAAAAGCCCCGAAAATACAAAAAGTCCAAAAAATAGAAACCCCAAAAAAGTCTCAAAAAATACAAAAAATTAACATTAATCCACAAAACAAATCATCACAAAAATTAAAATCTCGAAAACATTCAAAAAACACTCGCATTCTCATATATTTAGGTTTATATGGCATGGACAGTTGTTGCGTTATATTTACTTGGAATGTTTGCATGTAACTCTTTTAAATCCTCAAAAACACAAAAAAATTTTTAGTTTTACATGCTTCACATAAACAAAAAGGAAATCGCGCAGCTACAGAAGAATTTGAAATTGAAGATAGACCTATACATATTGGAAGAACATAATTTATTTTTTAAACATACTGATTCACCTCTATTTTCCCCTAAATTTTGTGCCTCGTTTTCTTTACATTTTTCTAAAACTTTTTTTCTTTCACCATTTATAAATTACACCATTCTTAAAATATTTCAATATTTTTCTTATGTTTTGCACGTAAAAAACCAAAGTAAACAATTAAAAACTAAAACGCACACACATCTAAACAAAAAGGGATACTTAGTTTAAGCATAATTCACCTCCATTCTTCCCAAAAACAAATTCAACTCTATTTCTCCCACCTCTAATTTCTAATAACCTCATAATTCACCCACATTTTCCTCTAAAAAACAGAACACAAGCACAATTACACAAACTTGCTCAGATTGAAACAACAAAAAAACACCCTCTTCATGACAAAAAACTCCTCAAAACTTTGAAAGAAAAAAATGAAAACACAAAACATCATTTTACTCATTCACCGCAAAAATATATTAAAAAACTAAAACCCACCACATCGCACATTCCATACAGCTGCCCAAAACAGATGACTCGTTCACCTTTAGAAAAAAATACATTAACACACGACAGTTTAAATTATCAAAAACTCACTTGGTGCAATCTTCCACTTTTTAGATAGCTCCACCGCATAACGAATACTATCCAAATTGTGGCTGGCAACCATTACTGGAAAAATAATTTTTAAAATGTAGCCATAGAAAAATTCGATTTCTAGTGAAATTAAAATTCAAAGGTCAAACGATTAAAGCTATTTCCCCTTTTAAACTATTTGACACTGAGGAAAGGAAAGAAAAAAATGTCAACTAAAATTTTTCTCTAATTCCCGGTGACTTTCTGGATCCATAAGAAAAATAATTAAAAATACACAAGAAATAAGAGGATTGGGAAAGGTTCTTTTCCAAAAGAAAGATTAAAAAAGAAAATTTTAAACCTGAAGCACTACTCCTACCACGTTCAAGCCATTCATCCACAATTGCAGCCAAACATTTATGGTACATCTAAAAAATTAAATATAATGCAGATTTACTTTAAAGTAAACCTCTGATGTAGCTTCACAAGTTGGATTAATAGGATCCTCATATCCAACTGTTGCTGCTCTTAACCTTTCTTGTTCCATATAAGCACCTCTAACCTTTAAATAAAAATTTTATTAAAATAAACAAATTTAAAATCCATACCAATTTGCAACTAAAATGAAAATTTTCTCGTTTCGCCAAATTCAGGTCAATAAGCAAATCTGAGAGACAAGAACGTAAATAAGCTTGGTATGTGTTTAGAACTTGTCCACGTTCACGATTATGTCTAAAATATAAAACAACACATGTTAAACAACCAAAAAAGTTATTGAACAAAAATAGATGCCAAAGTTATGGCGCAGTGTCGTTAGGGCGCGAGTGAAAAACTTCCAAAAACGTTTAACATTTGCTTGACAACAGCTGAGGAAAGTGTTTAACAACAGGGAAAAATTCTATGATGAGGGATGTTGTTCCAAGAACAGGAGGAGTAACGTTATTCAGCTCTTACGACCCCCGCGCCCTAACGTCCGTACTTTCAGATGCTTTATGATATTTCATAAGACTAAAATAATATTTTTAAACAAACCGTCGCATCAATGCATTTGTTAAACGTGAAATAGCAGGTTGAAAATAAGTTTGTTCTGCATCAACCATTATACGTATCCCACGCTCAAATGCATGGTCCGCAACTTTGTTCAGTCGCCCCATCATATTCGCACATTCCCTCATTTCTGTTTTGCTCAAATTTTGGATAAGCGGCTCCAAACGACCAGTTTTTATGTTTAAAATCTTAAAAAGGAAACCAGTTTAATAAAAACAAATTCCTCAAAAAAACCTGAAACATTTTATCAAGTTGTTTAACAGCTCCACGTTCTTCCAAATCCAACAACTGCCCCCATTCAAAAAAGTCAACAATTCCATTATCATCAAAATCTACTTGCTTGAACCATTCACGAACTGCTACACTGTCTGTTTTAACTCCAAATTCCTTAAAAAAATTTTTTTGATCAAAAGATACCAAAAAATACATTCAATTTTTCCAGTAACTGAGCTTCAGTAATTTGCGAAAGAAACAAATTTTCCCAACTCGAGCCAGTAATGACTTTGAAGAGGTTCTGCATCTGAGCAATTGCTTCACTCAAGCGAATGAAAAGACGAGGACGACCAAGGGCTGTCAACTATAAATATTAAAAAAAGATTTTCCAAAAACTGAAAAATGTCCAAAATGTCAAAATGTAAATCAACCCAAACTTAAGCACGGGAAGAAAGTCTCCCTGCAAGTTTACTTTCTATCTCCCCTTAACACAGAGTGGTCAGACGTTCTCCTTCCCTGAATTTGACTTAATTTTCCTTGTGGCTTGGTTAGCGTTGGGTCGGCACCTCTCAAGGTCCGATCTTTAATTGCATAATGCGAACAATCAAAACATTTTCAATCCAAATTTAATTATTAATTACCTTAATTGCAATAAATCCTTGTCCCTGAGTCGCTTGTGATGTTGCATCAATACAACGACAAAACATTTCTGCATTTCTGTCACATTCACTTTCACCAGAATAGAAATAAGTTCGAGCACTAACAACAAGTTCTCGACGATCACCAAATTCTTTGTAAACGCTAAATTGTTTGTGTGTTTCTTCAGGTTGAACGTTTGGATCGTGTACTTGTTCTGCTAGCAATTCCAAAGCCTAATAATTTAAAATTGAATGACTAAATTTGAGGGTCGAATGAGGGAGAGGATTCAATTCGGGCCGAACCCCATTCCAAAATTAAAAAATAGTTCAAGCAGGTATCCCCTTGTGAGTGGATGCATGCCTTGTTGGATGTCATTAATGCCCTAAAAATAAAATTTGAACCTCAGGAATTTTAGTTTCCTCCTCTTCTTTAATTCCTTCAACAGCTTTTTCTTGAGCCTCTGCCGAGCTAATGTCTGCTTCAACGCTAAATTTCCAGAATTACTTTACCATATAGAATCGTTTAAAAAACCTGTAATCCAAAATTGATTTTATACCAAAACTTTGAAGCTTTGAAACCGTTGAAGAAACTTCATCTAGAGCTTCTCCTGCCACAAAATGACCATAAAATGTTGATTTTAATAGGCGTTTAAACAGTTCTTGTCCAAGTACTTTTCGAAGTACTCGAAGAATGCGTTGATTATTTCTATAAATAAAAAAAATAATTGAAAAGAAAATCAAGAAAAACTGACTGCACTAGCCAGTCGATTTGACAACAGCGAAAGACAAGAAGGGCACGGGCAAGATCAAGATTGGATTTACTCTGAAACGATAAATTAAATAGGTGCTTTATGACGAGAAAAATTAGTCAAGTCATAGCCACGAATTTGCGACTATTGTATAACAATCTAGCCAAATAAGAGAATTAAAAATCGACGCCTTATTGTAGGCTTGCAGGTAAACCCAAGAGCGTAGCGAGGGATGAATTTCAAGGGGAGGGTGCTAAAATGACGTTTCTGGTGTCTACTTTGGCGTTCCGCAAACAAATTGTACTTATGACAGTCAAGAAGCCAGAGTCCCTCCTTTCAACCCCTCCCTGGACTTCGGACCCCGCCACAACAGAAAATATTATTCAAATAATCAATATAAGCAAACCTTGAAAGCTTCCTTTGCATTTTCAAACGATAAATCAATCCTTTTGTAGCAGTTTTCGACTTCTCGTTGTTGAGCTTCCTCTTTGGCACTCTAAAAATTTATATTTTTCTGAAAATGTCTTTTACTCTTTTTTTTAAATTTTTGTTTAAAAAATCTTTTTTTTTCTTTGAAAAATTGAAAACATACGAACTTCTCCTTTTTTCAATTATTTTCTAAAAAAGTGAAACCTAATTGACGTTTAATTACAAAAATTTTACCAATTCTTTTTTATTGTCCTCCAATGAAGAAAAACATCTTTTTTCCGAATTTTTGTTTTGAAATTGTATTTGTTCAAGTCCTCTTCGATTTGTAAAATTAATTGATGATGAAGACAATGTAGACAAAAGAGCATGTTGTTGATTAGATCGTTGTGAATGTAAAAGTAATAATGGAAAAGCTCTTCGGTGAGAAAGGACGCGTTGAACATGATGATGATTTGGCATTTAAAAAAATTATTTTTTTAACTGAAAAATAAAAAAAATTGGAGTAATTTCTGAACCCAAAACGGGCAAAATTTAAAAAAAAATTAAAAAATAGAAATAAACAAAATATTTTAAAAATACAAGCTCAGTGAACCACAAAAACCTCAAAGTTCATTTTATTATCAAAATAACAACAAAAATATTATCAACAATTTTTATAATCGGAAAATAATTTTTTAAATCTTGTCCAAACGAATTGTAAACAAAACTAGAGGTGAATTAATGGCCAATTATTTTTTCTAGTTTTACAACGCAAATCGATTCGCGTGCAGAAAAAGTTCTAGAAAATAGGGGTAAAATGCTGAAAATTATATAAAAGTGTGAAGATGAATTGTTGGTATTAGCAAACTTTAAAAAATAAAATAAAAACGAGGGGTCGTTTTCAGAAAAATTCTGAATGAGGACAAAAGGGTCCAAGTCTCGAGTACTGAAAAGTCAGTCTCGAGGACGAGTTCGAGACCCCAGGCACAAAAGAATCCGAGTTCCCAGTATAAAAGAGTCCGAGGTTTGCCAACCCCTACCACAAACCTGACTTCTAAAACACTCAGAGTTACATCGTGCGACCGGATCATTCCTTGTTATTTTTTCTAAAAATTAATTAAGATAATTAATTATGATTTAAAAACATAAAAATACAAGACAAGAATTTAATTCAAATTTTATTAAAAAAGGATAAAAAGGCTCAAAATGTTTTTAAAAGATGAACTAAAAAATCAACTGATTAAATTAAAATTTCTAAAAATATTAAAAAAGTTAAATGCCATTAGAAGTTGAATATAAATTGAGAATATATAAATTTAAAAATTAAAACAAAAAAAGCTCAAAGTTTGTGAAACTCTTTGATAATTTTACTGTTATCATTTTTTCCTACGCCTCCATTTGATTTGTTTGTTTCAGAATTGTTATTATTATTGTTGTTGTGCCACCGATATGTTCCTGTAAAAACAAAGCCGTGTTCTTTCAAAAGTTGATCACTGCTTGCTGGACCACGACTTTAAAAAATATTGGAAATTTAATAGAGAAGAAAGCTTTAGGGGAAATTTCTCATAATGGGCCGTCAAAGATTATATTTTTGGGCCCGTACAATAATTTCAAGTTGCCAAGGATTAGATAATCAACTACTAGTACCATAAATCTATCCTAGAAGCCAATTATTTAAACCTAAATTTAGCTACGGATCCTAGGAAGTCTCAAAAACTCACTCATGACACTCAAGAAACCCTTTGATTAACTTTAAAATTGACTAACCTTCCATGAACATAAGGTTCTGGTCTAACTCGCTCATTTTCAATTTGCCTCAAAAGCGGAGAAAATATACGCCATGCTTGTTCTAATTCATCAGCTCTAACAAAACTATATTGCCGACCACTAAATAAATCAAAAAAGAGGCGTTCATATGCATCTGGAAAACGCATTCCCTAGAAAATTGTTATAAGCTAAATTTTTAAACAAAAAAGAAACCTTATAGCGCGAATTAAATGTTAAATCAAGCTCCGTTTCTTCAGTTTCTATTATTTGACGTGCAGAGAAACCTGGCCTTTTGGTGTTTACCTTAAATATTTTTAAATTTTTTAGAGTCCACTATTGAAGACCTAGACCCCGAAGCCCTACAACTTTTGAAAGGGCGTATCGAGGGGTTTGGATATCTGGCGTGATTGTAGGAGATAGAGGGTACTGATCTCCATAGAGCTGTTTATTTATCCCCCTTAATCCTTTGATATTTCCTTTAAGAAGTTGTCTTAAGGGTGTAGGTTTTCAGAGTTGACCAGTTATTTATTTTAAAAATATTAAAAAAAACCTTCATATAAACAGCTTCATTTGGTTGTACACGGATAACTAATTCATTCCGTTTCAATGAGTCATCAGGGAAAATGTTACCAGAGACGTCACGATATTGAATACGTACTTCCGCTTTTCGTTCATTTAAAGCTTAATTTTATTAAAATGAAAAAATAACGTCATTCTTTTCCTACGTACTACAAAATGCCTCTCACAATTAATCATAAACAACAAACCTTTTCCACATCGCAAAAAGAAAGGAACGCCTTCCCATCGTTCATTTTTAACCCATAAAACGGCTGTTGCAAACGTAGGCGTTACAGAATTATTTGGGACTGATTCATCATCCAAATATCCAAGACGAGCATCCGCCTCTTTAATGATTAAATTTTATCTTATAAACATTTACAAAAAAACCTTTAGCTTGACTGTCACCAACATATTGCCCTAGAACAACTTCTGACAACTTTACTGGATTTATCAATTTAAGAACTTCAACTTTTTTATTTCGAATATCATCTGCGCTCATGCTCACCGGTTTTTCTTTAAAAAATTTAAATTTTACAAAACTATAATATTGTACCCATTGCAACAATCGTCAAAATCTGCATTAAGTGATTTTGCATAACATCACGAATAATTCCACTCTTGTCAAAATAACCACCACGTCCCTGAGTTCCAAAATCTTCCTTGAAAGAAATTGTTACAGAAGCAATATGATGCCGATTCCATGATGGACAGAAAAATTCATTGCCGAACCTTTAAAGCAATAAACTAATAAATGATAGAAAAAATTTAAAAACCTCAAAACCATAAGATTCTGGACCATTTCCTTGCCCAAATAGTGGTCTAAAAATACAAAATAGTTTACAACAATAAGCAAAACAAACCAATCCGATAAAGTTGATCTTCAGTAAAAAGTTTCGCCAAATGTTCTGACAAAACTGCAGAAGATGTATCATCATATCCAAATGGTTTTTCAATAATTATGCGAGTCCATGCCTAAAATAAAAATTTTATACTGAAAAAATTTAACACATACTTCAGAGTTGTTATCACTCATACAATGACGCCGAATGTGTTCTGTGACTGTTTGAAAGACTTCTGGAGGTAAGGCCAAGTAAAAGAGTCTGTTAGCAGGTTCTGAAAAAATTTTATATTAAAAACAAAATTATTTTGATTTTTAGAAAATTGTGCCATCAATTATACGCTTGAAACATAAACTGATGTCAAAAGCGATCTTGAAAAATGGCTGATTGATTTAGAGCAAATAATTTGAAATTCTTCATTTGTGGAAGAATCCCAACTCAATTTGCTCCTACATACATACGACTCCCTCATTAAAAGAAAATCCGGCACCCTACAAAATTCCAACGGATTCGAACTCATGAGATAACAGCAAAGCTGTAAAAACCTCAACCCACTTAAACAAACATCCTCCATCAATTACTGTTTAAAAAAGCTTTTAAAAAACTAACCTTTTATAGCCCTTCACAAACCAAAAAAATAAGTTTGGCTCGAACCAAGAACCTAATTGTAGGATATAACCCACTTAACCACAACTCATCTAATTAATAAAACCACTAACCAACTACTCCATATTTTAAAAACTTTTAAAACCAACTTTTGAAAGTATTCTCCATCTCAGTTATAGCTTTGTGTAAAGCTATTAAACCATCATCAGTATTGTACTGGCCCTTAAAAATATGCGAGTAAAAATTTTAAAAAAAACCTTCAAACCGAAATGTAAGAACAATGCCGAACAAAATTAGCAAATGTTTCTTTTTCTTCAACCCGAACATTGCAGTAAGATTCAAAATGCTTAACCAATTCAGCCACAGATAAATGAGAACGTGCATAGCCGATAATATGTGTATTTTTGGGCAAAAGTCCATCTCTAAAAAGCCACCAAAGAGTTGGATAAATTTTCTTTAAATTTTTGAGATAAATTTGCCAATAAATTACGGTGCAGTTCAACTGAGTTCAGGCACTATAACTCAAAAAGGAAAAAAACTATCCCTTTATAAATTATGAAGTCTAGAATTCAGTTGAGCTGCATGCAATTAATCATGCAAAACTTTTTTACCTTTTTTGCCAAATCTCCCTAGAAATTAAAATTTTTCTTTTTAAATTAAAAAATGACTCACACTAGCGCCAAAAACAACAAAAACATGAGGCAATTCAAAATGAACTGATCCATATTTTTCCAAATTTTCTTTGATGAATTTGATTGTATCGGGTAGAAGAGGTTCTGATTCTGTTGTTGTTGAATAAAAATATCTGCATTTATTATTAATTTTATTCATTAATGAAGTAGGTAGAGGCATAAAAATTAAAAAAAATTTTTTTTATTAAAAAAATAATAAAACGAAGGGAGATTGAACTTGCAAAAATTAGGTATATTTTTCAAACAAGTTAGTGAAAATAAAAATTAATAACGGAGTAAGAGCCAAGGAATTCACAAAAGGTCGACAATCAATTAAACATTTTTTCTCACTAGTATACATATTTACAAAGTTTTACCCCCACAAAATACAATTTGTTTTTAACTTCTAGACAAAATAAAGGCATACAAAGCACTAATTATCAAAGAATGGGAACTTTAACATCCTAAAATATTATAAGGGTTTTCTAAACATTTAACAATATCAGCCCATATGTATTTATTTAAAAATTGATAATCATTCGTTTTTTTCTAGTGGGAAAAATTATTGAGAAAAGTGAAAACTAAAGTACGTGAGCAATAAGTAAATGGACATTTTTCAAGAAAATTTTTTTCTTAAAAAATTTTTTTGATTTGATTAACTTCCAATTAATCTCTCAAGCAAAATTCTAAAAAATTTTTTAAAAACAAGTTTTCAAATTTTTTTCTTACAGACATTCTTTATAAACCAATTAATATCCCCCTCCTCCCCCATCAGTCAAGTATTCTCCATCAGTCAATGCCAAAACGGCCCCAACCCCCCCTAGTCAATAAAAATTAAGTAAACACCTGAATCTCGTGCTTTAATTTTTGTTTGTTTCTTTCCTTACGCTCACAAATAAATGACTCTTCACACTCTTGCGCACATTGGGAATTTGTTAAAAAAGTACTTGTTCATTTGTGTTTGATCGTTACATTGTTTTTGAAAAAACCCTGTTCTTCACTCAAAAAAATAATTAGGAAACAAATATTTGTTAAAAAAAATAAATCAGAGATTATTGCAAATAATAGACAATTTTTAAAAAATTTTAAAAAAGTGCACAAGAAAATTAGATTTATGAATTTAATTTAGAAACAAACTAAAAAAACAGTACTCTCAAAATAACAAAAAAAAATTCTGAAAATCTCTAAAAGGATCCAACTCAGAAGGTCAAGTCCTATTGGGCAGATAAAGGTGACTCGGGATAAAGAATTTGATGTCCTGATCCCTTTTGCCTTATCTGACAGTTGCACAAGAGAACTTTCTTCTCCATTCCCTTAATCCCTCTTAAACCCATCAAATCCTAATTTGGATTTGACCTTCTCTAAGTTGATCCCCTCTTAAAAAACAAAATTCTTGCAAATTTTTTTAAAAAAATTGAGAGTTCTGAATTTACGAAACAAAAAATATTTTTAAAAGTCCATCATCAATCCCTTTAAAATCACAAAAATATCGTCATCAGCGTTTTGTATAGAAAAAATAAATAGAGAAATGGCAAAAATAGAGAAAAATAAATATAACAAAAAAGATAAAACAATTTTGGATTGCTTTCTGAGAGTTTTTTTAAAAAAAATTTAATGATGATTTTGAACCTTAATTATGTCTGTTTCTGCCATTTTATAAATGACATCATTAAATTTTTTCTTGGACTATGAGAAGATCGATTTGTAAAATCATAAACAAAATTAGAAGGAAGAAATACAAAAATATTAAAGAAAAATTGAAATCTTAAAAAAGGAGTCGGGGAAGAGTTTAACCAAAAAAACGATAATTTAAAAAATTCCCACACAAAAATACCCAGAAAATGGCCTGTAATCGAATAATGCAGGAGAAACCAAAAAAATAATTCAGAAGTAAATTCGTCTTAAACTTTGTTGCAGGCCTTAGGAATGGATGGAAATATGCAAAAAAATCATTCAACCTTGTTTAACTTTTTAGAGCTCTTCGTGTTTTTCCTCATCCGATTCAGGCTTTTCCTCTTCCTTCTTTGCTTCCTCATCCTTTACTTCCTCAGGCTTTTCATCTTTTTCTTCACTCTTTTCATCAGTCACACCCTCCTCTTCAGTAGTAGTCTCTTCATCTTCCTTCTTTTCATCTTCATCCTTCTTTTCATCAACTTCATCCTCAATAATTTCCATTTCATCTTCAACCTCTGCAGTTGCGCTCAAGTCGAGTGATTTACGCAAAATCTTAAAATAAACCAGGTAAATCACAAAATGCTAAAAATAAAATCAAACTCACTCCTTCAATACGTTCAGCAAATCCAACTTGGTCAGAAAGTGAATATCCAGAACGAAGAGTTGCTGTCTCAAACAATAAATGTGCGGTAGATTTCGCAACACTTTAAAAAAGGTTTAATTAAAATTTCAGTAAGTTAGAGCGGTAAATTATCAACAAAATATTAAAAAATACTCACGGATCCTCTGGGTCATCCTGTACACGTCTACAAATAAAAAAAATCATATTCGAAAATATGAAAGAAACTCAAACCTGAGCAATTCCTTAATAACAGGATGGCGAGGATTGATCTCAAATGTCTTTTTCATCATTGCATAAAATTCTTGAGAAGGGTCTTTAGATTTAGCATAAGCTTGTGACTTCATGATACGTTCCATATTGCCAGACCATCCCCATTGAGAGGCGACCTTTAAAAAGAAAATTTCAAAAATTTAATCCGACCAAAATCATACCAAAGCAGACGGAGATCTTGTCAAACGTTGAGAGATAACAGCCTTTTCAATCTGAATGGATAAAAAATGAAAAATATTTCAAAACTTTTTATCTTACCAGATCCTTGAGACCATTATCCTTGAGCCAATCAATGAGCACTTTAAATTGTTCACCAAGTTGTTTAAATACTTCTTCAGATTTCTTTCCTTCATCAAGTTTAAGACCTTCTTTAGCAACATTTTGGAATTTTTTCCCTTCATATTCAGGTAAGGCTTGAATGCAATATTCATCAACAGGCTCTGTCAGATACAAAACTTCAAATCCTTTTTTCAATAAACGTTCAACAAAAGGAGAATTTTCAAGTTCTTGGCGAGAAGTTCCTGCCACATAATAAATTGCTGGCTGATTTTCTTTCATTCTTTCCAAATATTCTTGTAATGTTACTTGCTTCTTGTCATCTGCAGAACTTTGGAAACGAAGTAATTTGGCAAGACGAGTTCTATTTGATGGATCCTCCATAATACCCAATTTAATGTTTGTTGAATATTCCTTAAAATTATTTTTCATATTTTATTTGTAAAATTAAAAAAACCTTCCAAAAAGCATCAAATTTTTCAGCAGGCAATTTTTTCAACATATCAAGTACTTTACGGACCAATTTCTTTTTTATTACTTTGAGCAATTTATTTTGTTGAAGCATTTCACGAGAGACGTTTAAAGGCAAATCATCGCTATCTACAATACCACGAATGAAGGACAAATATTTTGGCAACATATCTTTAAAGTCATCAGTGATGAAAACTCGACGAACGTAGAGCTACAAATTAAAAATATTTTTCTGTTTTAAATTAAAAGAAAAAAAACCGGTAATAGTCGGTTTCGTACCCCGCACTTTTTTTTCCTTTCTAAAAGTATTAAAAAATGGTCAGTCAGTCTTGGATTATAAAACTCGTCGAGCTGTGTCGAATGACACCAAAATTAACCCCTGGTCTTAACTTTGGGCCGAGATACAGACCCCCGAAATTTGAAAAATAATAGGGTGTACCAAGCTCTTTTTTCGGGCTAAAAATTAGATTAAACAAATAATAGCTCATTCGAAAGAGCTTTGTCGAGCTGATTCGAATGACATCAAAATCAACATAATTGAACAAGATTTACAAAGTTATGACATAAAGACAAAGTTTTGACATAAGTATTGTAGTCGTGAGACGCTTTTGCAACACCTTACTCTTTCGAAAGGTTTTTGTCTGTATCTCGGCCCAAAGTTAAGACCAGGGGTTGATTTTGGTGTCATTCGACACAGCTCGACGAGTTCTATAATCTAAGACTGACTGACCATTTTTTAATACTTTTAGAAAGGAAAAAAAGTGCGGGGTACGAAACCGACTATTACCAAAAAACCTTAATATTCTCTTCAGTTTTTCCATAATTTTGGAATGCATCATTTGCCAAAGTTTTTGGAACATATAAAATAGATTTAAAGCTAACTTCACCTTCAGCCGAGAAATGTACGTGAGACTTGAATTTAAAAATTTTATAAAAATATAAACTTAAAAACCACTAACCAAGTGTTCATCATAATCCTTTGTAATTGATTTGTAAAAGTCCTTATACTCTTGTTCTTCAACTTCGTTAGGTTTACGCATCCAAATGGGCTTCATTGCGTTCATTTTCTCCCAATCCCAAACTGTACGCTCAACACTCTTAGTTTTTGGCTTTTCTTCTTCCTTCTTTTCATCTTCCTTAGCTTTATCCTTGTCCTCCTCAGTCTCGTCCTCTTTCTTCTCTTCAGCTTTATCCTCATCTTTCTTCTTTTCCTCTTTAGATTTTTCCTCCGCTGCTTTATCCTCATCTTTCTTTTCTTCTTCGATTGGTTCTTCAACTGTTTCTGTACGACTCTGCCACAAAAGAATGTCAAAGTTGATAAATTGTGAATATTTGTGAATCAATTTCTTGAGAGTATCAGGCTCTAAGAAATCATAAGCCTCCTCCTTCAAGTGCAAAGAGACTTGGGTGCCGCGTTGAAGCGTCGGACCGCGAGGATCATCAGCAATAGTAAACTGCTGCGAGTCTGAAAAGCAGGAAGAATTTTTAAATAAAATAATTCAAATACCTGATTCCCAAATGTATTGCTTTGCATCATCATTGTGTTTGGTTGTTACAACAACACGATCAGCAACCAAAAATGCAGAGTAAAACCCAACTCCAAATTGGCCAATCAAATCCTAAAAATAAAAAATGTAACAAATTAAAAGTAAAAACTACCTGTTGCTGTTCACTAGATGTTGACGAATCGAGCAATTTAGAGACAAACTCGGAAGTACCAGAATGAGCGATCGTTCCAAGATTGTTAATCAGATCCTGCTTGGTCATACCAATTCCACTGTCAGTTATGTGAAGAATATGGTTTTCCTTGTCAGCCTAAATAATTTATTTAAGAACTGCTTACAATAGAATTAAAAACCTTAATGCGGATGTTCAGTTCGTGGAGATCTTTGGATGCATCTGGATCCGTCAAAGAGATAAGCCTAATCTTGTCGAGTGCATCAGAAGCGTTCGAGATCAATTCACGCAAAAAGATCTCCTTGTTCCTGTACAGAGAGTTAATGATCAGTTTCATCATACGATTGACCTAAAATTGATTAACTAAAAATTCAAGGGATAAAAAACCTCTGCTTGGAACTGGTGTTTCTCGGCACTCTCTCTGATCTTTTTGAACTCATCCACTGAAAGGCCATCAAGTTGAATAGCCTCTTCTTCACGCTGGACAGTCTGTTCGTCAGTTGCTCCCTTGTTGACCGGTGTTTTTGGCACTTCAATTTTTGGTTCGATATCATCAAGAATGTCGTCTGCCACACGTTCGGATCGAGAAAAGTTGGGAAGAACGACTAAAATATTTAATTAAAAAGATTTTAGTAAAATAAAAACCTGCGAGAGCCAATAAAGTCACAAACCACACCAGAAGAACCCCTCTAGAGATTCGAGTCATTGTGAATGGAGAGAGATACCAGACACAGAAATTGATTTTTATTTAAAAAAATAAAAACTAAAATTTAAATTTTATAAGAAAATTGCTATAAAAAATTTTAAAAATTAATAAATTTATTGTTAATCCCCGTCTAAAGACTTAGAAAATAAAATATGGATAAATTAGAATAACCCTTTTTTATTTACTGAATTTTGTAGAGATGACCAGCCAAATCGATTAAATAAAGTTAGCGGCGAATCAGGTCATCACACACGCTAATTTATGAGAAAATAATTAGCATATCGGTCAGAAGTAGAGAGAAATAATGAATGAGAGACACGCGTAAAGACACGTCGCGCAATTGCTACTAAAATTTTCAAAATGTCGAAAGAGATAAAATTGCAAAATAACTAAATGTTAAAGATGCCAATGGAGCCAAATCCTTCGAGGATAAAGAATTTAGCTCTACTTCAATAAATAAACGAGTTAACATTTTTGATGTTCGTAAAATCACAATCATCCGCTGGATCACAAAAAAGGAAATTCACCAGAAAATTTTGATTCAGAACCATTTTTGACCTTTTGGTATTTTGACATCTCCCCTTAAAAGTTAGACACGTAGATAAAATCAAATTTTGTTTTGCAACGAAAACCCTGAAAATTTCGAACAGCAATTTTGGCTACTACGCCTTCTTAATTTGATTATGCCTGCACTTTTAAGGCCTTTAATTTAGACATTTAGTGTTTTTATTATTCTAATAAGGTGAAGCTTAAATTATTGCTGAAATCTTTTTCTTAAAATTTCCCCAATAATTTCTAATTTTTAAGAGATTTTAACACAAAGTATTTGCTGATCTCATTAAACCTTAAACAACTACATGCCGGAAACAAAAGTTTCTGAGCCTTCTGCGAGTTCAACGCCTGATGGAACTGCTGCAAATAATGCTACTGTTGTATATACATTTGAAGAACAGGTTTTTAAATTTTAACATTCAAGGAACATTCTTTTAAGGTAATGGCATATTCGTCACTCTATGCAATGGCTATTATTTGTATTATTTGGGGTACCATCAGGTCATTAGCTTTTGTCAAAAATTTAATTGAGAAGAAGGAACTTATTGAAACATCGATAACTACGCGGGAAGCAAAACGATTTCCTTTGACTGCTAGTGCTGTTCTTTTTACCCTTTATCTAATTTTCAAGTTAATTTTTAATTAAACTTGGTACTTGTGGGTTATCCCAAACCAGTTTAGCTGATATAAGAAATATATAAGGTATAAGAAAACTGGTTCGGGATAACCCTCAAATACATTTTCGTTTTGGTACTTTTAAATATCTGAATTATTTAGAACGAATGATGGAGGCATTGGATTTTTGCTTGATAAAGTTCGACCCTATATGTCCTTAGCTGTCTATGAGCGATTGGAATGGGCGCAAAATTTTGTTCAGAGCAAACTTTCTCGTAACACTATACCTATTATTAAAAAATTTTCTATAGTTCTTACCGCAACAAATTCAACGCTAACTGGGGCAGCAGCATCGGCAACAAATTCAACTGTTAATGGAACTATCTTCAGTGGAATTCTGCAAAAAGTGGCTTCTATTCACCCTGTAGCTGGGACTTTGGTGGATAAATTACCTGAGATGAACAAACAAAATTTAATTTATTTTCTTTTGTTGTTGCTTTGTTGGGAAGGTTTTTTCCTTCTTTTAAATTAATTTTATAACTTATAAACTGACAGGCTGCATTGCTTTGGCCACCATTTTGAAACCATTTTTCTCAGCTTTTCTTTCAAGACTTCCAATCGGAGACCGCTGGCCAAGACGCAATGTTCCATGGGTTTTGGTGCTTAAACGAGGCAAACAACCAATGAAGGAAGGAAAAGTTGAAATGGCTGGTAAAAAAGAAGTGGTCAGTTTTTAAAGATTAATGTTAAGACGGTCTAATCAAAAATTTAACAGGACTATTTCCTTTTCTCGGAATGGGATACACATTTATCTATTGCTGTACTCTGTTGCTCAGCTGTGGGTATTTCACATTTGTATCGCCGCCATTGGATAACCAACAATCTTTTGGGTGTTGCTTTTTCCATTTTTGGCATCGAAAATCTTCATTTGGCTAGTTTTAAGGTTTCCACTTTAAATTTTACTCGTTAAATTTTCTATTAAAATTAAGGCTGGAACTATCCTTCTTGCTGGATTATTCATTTATGACGTATTTTGGGTATTTGCAACTGATGTGGTCAGTTTTTGGATTTAACTTTTGAAAAATTTTAATTACCTCCTTAAAGATGACAACCGTTGCCAAAGGTATTGATGCACCAATTTTGTTAATGTTCCCGCAAGATTTACTTCGTAATGGATGGCTGAATGCAAGTAAACATGGCATGCTTGGTAAAAAATTCTTTAATTTTTTTTTTCTAAAATTATAACCTTTAGGACTTGGCGACATCGTAATCCCAGGAATCTTTGTTGCACTCCTCTATCGTTTTGACCACCATATTGGCTCCAAACAGAAAGGAGGCGGTCAAAAGAAGCGCTATTATTGCTGGGTGACTATATTTGCCTATGCTTTTGGATTATTTGTAACGATGGGTGTTATGCATTACTTCAAGGTTCTTTCATATTAAACTTCTTAATTTTCTAAAATATTTTTTACAGGCAGCACAACCCGCGTTGCTTTATTTGGTACCCTCTTGTTTACTATTACCCCTTGGATTTGCTGCATTGCGAGGTGAATTTAGCGATTTGTGGAACTATTCGGAAGAACATTTAGTAGAGAAGGATGAATCTGATAAGAGCAGTAAAGACGAAGGAAGTGATAAAAAGAAGAAAAAAGCAGCTAATGAGACGGCAAACGCAACATCAGCAGCAGTTGGTGGTGGTAAAGCGCAAAAACAAGAGAATAAAAAGTCTAAATGATGTTATAATTGATAGACATTTTTTGGTTGATATTTATATACTCCACAGCTTTTATGGTTGTTGCATAAGAATTTTTATTTATATACCCTCCCCCCTTTTGACCTAACTTTTTGGCCCCCTTTTTTCAAAAGTTTTTAATCGAGATTAAAAACTAAAAATTGTTTGTTGTTATATTATTTCCCAAATCATTTATTTCCTTTTCATAAACCTATTTAGCATCAATGGGCCACACTATCAAAATATTTTCTTTGTATTAAATGTTATTTTTCTGCCAAATTTTCCTTAAATTTTCTTTGCTTGTATTGCATTGGTTACAAAGTTATTTTTTTTTATTGTTGAGTGTTTAAATTGGGCTCTAAAGCCTACATTTTTTACACAGGATCAACCCAAAAGTCCCAAAAGGTCAACTCCAAATATTTGAGCGGATAGTGTTTGTGCGCATTAATAAAAATTTGCGGGTATTACATGGGAATATCGATGGATTTTGACGGTTAAAGATGGATTTACGGGGATTAAGGGACAAGACGGAAATTCTCACGTGCATTTGATCAATAGAGTTGACCTTTTGGAGTGTCCCAATTTACACAAACATAGTAAAACTAAAAAACACCGCTTATATTATATTATTTTTTTGGCATGAATATTATTATTAAAAATAAAAGAAATAAAACGAGAACTTTTTAGAGAATAATAATAAACGAAATGAGCAAATTATGTATGATAAAAATAAAAGCTTCCTGAAGGAAATAATATAATTTTCATTCTCTTTTAACTCGTATTTTTCTAACCTGACTTCTTACTGAGATTTCGATAACCAACAAATACAAGACCAAGCAACGCGCACGTACCAACACCAAGAAAAAATAATTCCATCAGCGGAGATGGTTTGCGACTGTACATTAATTCCTTTACTGGGGACGGTTGACGGTAAATAATCACTTCGCTTTCGGAGGAATTTGGAACTTGAAGCTATAAAACAATATTTAAGTCATTTTAAAACCTTTAAAAATAAACCTCAACATTAGTGTCACTCTCCGAGGCGAGATTGACATTGGAGATAGTCTCATTTAATGTGGATGGTTGCGTGCTAAATGTAAGCACTTCGCTTTCGGAAGAATTCGGAACTTGAAGCTATAAAACAATATTTGAAATCATTTTAAAATCTTTGAAAATAAACCTCAACATTAGTGTCACTCTCCGAGGCGAGATTGTGCTTATTTTCCAAAATAACATCAGTATTACCCTCCGAGGCGAGATTGACATTGGAGATAGTCTCATTTAATGTGGATGGTTGCGTGCTAAATGTAAGCACTTCGCTTTCGAAAGAATTCGGAACTTGAAGCTATAAAACAATATTTGAAATCATTTTAAAATCTTTGAAAATAAACCTCAACATTAGTGTCACTCTCCGAGGCGAGATTGTGCTTATTTTCCAAAATAACATCAGTATTACCCTCCGAGGCGTGATTGACATTAAAGATAGTCTCATTTAATGTGGATGGTTGCGTGCTAAATGTAAGCACTTTGTTTTCGGAGGGAGGAATCTTTAAAATGCTCTGTTTAAAATTTTATAAAACAAACCTCGTTAACATTAAAACTTTTCCTCTCCAAAGTAAAAGTACAAACGCCCTCAAGACTATTCAAAAGACTTACAGCCTCACGATGTTTCTTATTTTCCAAAATAATATCATTAACCTAATGAAAAAAATTTACTATAATTATGAAAAAAATAAAATTAACCGCAATGATCCGATCTCCTTCACAAATTAAATCAAGCAACTCATCCCTTCGAACACGCGAGACGAAGATACCTGTATTTCCTTTAACATAAGGGGCATCAGTTCCACCACCAATGTTAATGCCAAACCCTGAATGAATTATTAGCATCAAAAGCAAAAGATTAAGGTAAACCAAGGTTTAGGGATGCATTTTTTCTCCTTCAAGCTTTTTCCTTATTGTGCACAAAATGGTCGGACTTTCTCCTATTTCCCTGTGGCATATTCAATGAGACAAAAAGATTAATTTTAAACAGTCCGTGCGTGAGTGACCTAGTTTCGGAGCTTCAGTAATTAAAGTCTGACCATTCTGTACAAAATAAGGAAAAAACTTGGAGAAGAAAAAAGGAAATGCTAATCATTGGTTCACCCTGGATTACTCTAAATATTAAAAACCTTGTTTTGGATCCTTGAAAATTTCGCACTTCCGGATTTCACCATCACCATTTGCTAATTGCTCACACATTGAGGATTTAATTGGAGAAGTAAAGACAAAAGAATGACCATTTGTCCACATTTTAATAACTTTGCTTTTAATATTATATTAATACTGATAATGAAAAATAATTTAAACTCCAACTGAAATAGATATAAAATAGAAAAAAATACTGATTAGAAAATAGAAAACTCTTTAAATAAATTGTCAAAATCAAACAAGTTAGATACATTTACAAATAAAAAATAAATACTTTAGGTGTTCGAAAAATCACAAAATAACCAAATTAAATAAAATTAAGTAAAAAATAACTTAAGTAAAACCAATTGAATGTCCACTCTTCTTAAATTGAGACCTCTCAACCTTCACTTCATCATCCAGAAGTCTGTATATATAGGCAATGATAACATCAGTTTGAACATCCAATACAATAAATGAGGGGATGACTTTGCTGCAAAAATGGGTTGATAAAAACAAATGTTAAAAGAAAAAATACTCTTTGATTAATGAAAATGCGCCCGTCACTGATCCTGGATTTATATAGAATATGCCATCTGTTAAAATTTTTTAATAAAAATTGTCAAAGATTTGGTAATCTTCTAGCTTACTGATCCATAGAAAAATGAGCAGAAAGTGCACTTTCGATATTTTCGAGGTCTGGGCCAATAAGTAATCCAGTGTAATGAAGCCACGATTACTTTGAGGCCCCGGGCTCGAAATGAACAAATTCTAGGCTAATATTCTGAACCGTCATGTCGCACACCCGATCGCCTATTGGAAAGAAGTTCGAAGAACATCCTCTGCAATAATTTCTTATATGGACCAGCAAACTAAAAAATTACCCGGGATCTAATGTCAAATTAAAAAAAGAACAAACCTTTATCAAAAACAGCACATTCTGAGAATAAAAAAATATACAAGGGTATCTAAAAATTTATTTACCATGAGTATGACCAGAAATAAGAACATCAACACCCATTTGTTGAGCAGCCAATTCCATAGCCTTTAAAAATACCGTATTTATTCTAATTGAATGGCACCTCCATTTGAATGGCACCTCCAATTGAATGACAAATTTTTGAATGAATGAAAAATAGAATGGCAGCCTCTATTTGAATGGCACCTCTAATAGAATGGCCATTTTAACTATTAACTACCCAACTCTTATTTTTTTTCCCTTTATTAACGAGTAGTTTAATACTCCTTTTTATATGAATAATTCCGATATTTTTGAGCAAGTCTAGGGTCAAAAAAGTGGTGTTTGAGAGGGATATTAAAGGATCTGAGAGGATAATGGGGGATATAGTGAAATTAAAAATATTTGGCGAAGATATCGAGGGACTAAAATAAAATAATTATGGGGTGATATCTAGTAGAGATGACAGAGACAGAAAATTTTTCAAGATCAAGACTTGACCCCATGACTCGAGTCAAGACTTGTCTCTGAGTCACAACACTAATAATTAACAATTATCAAGACAATTTTTCGTCCATAGAACAAATTTTTTGGTGATTCGTCTTGTCAGTCGTATGATCGAGAGTGATTAGGAAGGATTGAGGGAGATGTGAATGGTTTTGGAGGGAATATTTCCTTAATTATGTACCTATTAATTATGTATCTGCTATTTTTTAAGTAAAAGTCAATGTAGATGCTTGAAAGTAATCCTTCCTCAAATCCCTCAGAACTAAAAAATCCAGATCCCTATATCCCGCCAAATCACAACATCCTCCTCAAGATTAAAATAAAATAATTATGGGGATAACACGAATCCATCAATATCCCTCAAATGTCTCTTGATCCCTCTATATCACACCCAAATTCAACGATTTAATAATCAATCAGGACCCAACTGTGCAGGAAATTTTGATTGTATTGCCCCGAGCTTAATCAAAATTTGACTCTTTAGCCCCGAGATAAAAAAATTTTGAATCATATAGTGATACGTAGAGAAAATTCACTACTAAAATACTAAACTATCGAATTTTCCACAAAAAAAGGTTGGTAGAATTGCCCATTTTCCTAATCCTCGTCCCAATATAAACAATCCCAATCTCAATTTCTGACCTATGAAAAATAGAATGGCAGCCTCTATTTGAATGGCACCTCCAATTGAATGACAATTTTTTGGGGTATTGAAAAATAGAATGGCTGCCATTCAATTAGAATAAATACGGTAATTACATATTTAATAAAATCAATAAACCTTTAAATCACCCCACGGAATAAATTGGTGGCCGTGGACGAGTCCAATCCTGAAATGACCAACAGGGATTACTTTCATATCAGGATAAGAAGTATCCTCATCAAAGTCGCCACGAACACAATGGACTAGAAAATTCAATTTAGAAAGTAAATAAATTATAAAATACCATCACAAGTTAATGTTTTTAAATAATTCATCGTTTCTTGAGTGCAAACATTTCCAGTGCACCTAAAGTTTAAAGCATAAAAATATTCAAAAAAATTCTTATACAGAATGTGTTGCATTTTATTCGGCACAAGCAGTTTACGAAACTTTTGAGGCAAATTGTGAGCACGATAAGGTATGAAAAAGTCACCAATCACAAGTACCAACTTAGAAAAATCAGAAAATTAAATAATTAAACGAATCTTACCATATTATTTCGTCCAAAGCCACCAACAAATTAATAAAAAAATTTTATTTAATGCTTCAACAAACGAAAATTAAAAAAGAAACATAAATTTGCAAAAAAAATTTGAAAAAATTTATTTAGATATTTTGAAATTTGACATTTCAAATTTTCCTTATTGGCAAGAAAAATCAAATTGGATTCGTTGAAATGTCAAAGTACCAAAACGCAAAAAAATTAAGCAAATCTTGAATTATTCGAATTTCAACGGACTAATTTAATTAAATCAGTCCAAACTTCAAAACATTTATATGTAGCTATTTTATGAAATTTAAACTATATTAATTTATAAACAAATCTAGCTGTGGAGTTACTAATTCATCTTTTAAATTTATCAAAAATCTTTGGGGTGACTCTTGACTATTTTCCCCATTTAAAATTGATGAACAACACTGAGTCCATGGAGGGGAAGATGTGGCTTTATCCTTATTCTTTCCATCTACATAATTTGCATTAACTATATTATTCGATCGGTTTGCATGCCCTCGTCTTTAAAAATTGCAAAAAATATTTCTAAGCTCAAAAAAACCTGCGAGCATTCATAAAAAAATTGGAAACGGTTGTCAAGTCAAATCCAAGTTGTTGAGAAACAAGTATCTGTAATTCTCTTGATGGTCGTTTATGCTCGTTGAAAACTGCCTTTAACTTGAATTTGTTCAAATTTTGTGACAAACACTAACCTGTAAAGTTTTTCTTTGCTCTTCGGTAAAAACAAATCGCTGTCTTTTTCGTTGCCGTTGTCCGTTTTTCTGCGAATGAATTCCATTTTCCTCAATTTGGGTCCTTTCGGGATCATTTGTTGCTTCTTGTCGTTCTGGTTCTTCTATTAGAGGTTCATCTATCCTTCTTTTACAGGCTTAAATTATTTTTAAATCAAAACTATTGACTCTGAAACCTGCTAAACGAAGTGCCGACATTCGTTGTAACTCTGGTTCTTGAAGCCATTCAGCCATCCGACGAAATGTTTCGCGACCACTTTTTAGTTTTGACCAAGGTTTTGGGTTACGCAACAAATCGGAAAGAGTTCCTTGAGAACTTTAAAAAATTTTAAAAATTCTATTAAAAAATAAAAAAAAACCGGCAAAGTACTCGTTGTGCAAAAATGGCTTGTGGAATAGAATATTTTTTCAATTCCTGGCTAATGTGCTGTGCTAATTTCAATGTGTCAATTTCTCCATTGTCTGTTTCCAAAGATGTTGAATTATCCATTGATTGTCTATCATAAATTTGATCCTCCGGTTTTTTACAGCTCGTTAGGAAATGAAAGTTGAATTCTTCTTCTTTTTGTTCTTGCTCACAATTATCCAAAATATTATTTTCAACTTCTAAAGAAAACCCTTCATTGCAAAGTAGCTGTTGTTGTTGTCTAGCAACAAAGAGATCATTGTTGTTTTTATCATCAGCAACTTCAAAATCGTCTCCAGTTTGTTGGAAGAATAAGGATACATTTACATTTGAAAAATCGTTGTTTGGTGTATTTACAATGTTTGGTATATGTACAACGGTTGGCGGCGATTTTTCCTCATCCTTAAACCTTTCATTAAATAATCCATTTGTGATTTGTTGATGTGCCAAAGAGGTATTATTGCTTTGAAAAAAGTTGGTAGTTTGAAAAGGCATCTGTTGCGGTATTGCTACTTGAAAGGTTGTTGGACTAATTGATGAAGAAATTATATTGCCGTTATCGTACTCATATCTAAACAAGAATATAAATTAAAAGAAATTGACAACCACCAACTTTATAGTATTAACTGGACAACCACAACTTGAATTAATTGTTTGTGGATTTGATGCTTCTGACAAGGAGTTGAATGTTGAAGAATTATTATTAGTATAATTAATAGCAGCGTAATTATTTGCACTGTTTGTATCTTAAAATTTGAAATTATTTTTTAAGAGGACCGAAAGTTATTTTAAAAAGATGTACATTTTAAACCAAGGTAATAATAACAAAACCTGAACAATTATAACCTTATTCTAGACCCTTCTTGAATAATGAGAAATTTTGAATCTAGTGACGAAAATTTTTGTTTTTCTTACCCATCAAAATCACTTGATGTTGGTTGAAAGGAAAGTAGTCATTTGGAGATGGAAGTCCTGAAGAGGTACCAAGTGACGTACAAGAGGTTGTTGAACTTAAAGACAGATCAACTGATGATTGGAATTGATCAGAATGATTGAAATGTTGATAATGTAAATGTGTTAGATTATTTGAACCAAATCCAAAATTTTGATCAAAAAATGAATAATTCTTTAAAAAATTATAAATTAAAAAAATTCTTTAAAAATATACCAAAAATTCTTTTTGTTGGTCATCAAAAGAAGAAAATTGGCGATTGTAGAACATTTCGTCTTCTTCCTCAAAAGATATCTCTTTTTTGTCCTTTCTAATTTTTGAAAATGGAACAGTACGAACAAAACGACGTTTTGAATGGCAACGGTTTTTGTTGGATTTTACTTTAAAAAAATAAAAATTTAAACTTTTTTAAACAAAAAAATGTTGAAAAATGACAGAAAATTTTCTTTTAGTTTAAATAAAATTTTTTTATTTATCTAAATTAATTTAACCCCAAAAACTGTGGATAACCTAGCAATGCCTCAAAATTTCTTTCATTTTAAGGCATAAACGGCTATGGCATTTTTTGCCTTTAAAACAACTGAAATCCAAACAAGTTTAGTTAATTTAATTGTTCTTTGTTTAATCTGGCAATTACAGACAATTTTTTCTTATTTTTGATGTTTAAAAGAAACCCATTTTTTCATTTTAAATCTTGTCCCAAATGTAAAATTAGGTTAAAGAGTAAAGTCAACCAGATTTTTAATTTCATTTCTAAAGAGAAGGGATAAGCAGGGATGACAAAAATCCAAAATTATTTAAAATCCTTATAAACCCGCTAAATTTTAAATTTAAAAAATAAAACTTTTAAAATTAAGTTACCCGATATTTTATCCAATTGATGATCATCTTCAATTTCTTTAGAACAAATGAAAGGGTCATCGTCCTCATTATCACTATTGTATGAAACAATAAAAGAACCAGAATCGGAGAACTAAAAAATATTTTAATTTTATAATTTAAATACCCCTTACATTTTCAAAAGAATCCAGAAAATACATTGTCCGCTTGATTTTTGGAAGCATTTTTGAAAGCAGCTTTTTGGCAGTTCAAACGATGCACTTTTAGCTGACAACCTTCTTCTTTTTAGAAGTGTTGGTTATTTATTTTCCCATTTTCTTCTTCCTAGAATTGATAAGATGATGACCATTTCTTCTAAAAATTAAAGGGTAAGTTAAAATTTAAAAATTAAAGACAATAAAAGTGGTGAGGAATAAAACAATGAAGAAATCTTATGAAATGGCGCCCATATCCAGATTTTATAAAGTCTAGGTCTGTATTATTTTTAAAGAATGTTAAAAAATTGTTAAAAAATATACACGAACGGACTTAACTTCCAATTCAATTTTTAAAATAAAAAATATATAACTGGCATTATTTCATGTCTAGGTCATTGCTGCCGCAAAAAAATATATAAGGAGCAAGCAGCGCATATATTTTTTAAGAGGGTGAGTAAAGCGGCATAAAAAGGGAAAAAGCAGAGTTGGCCAGAAGAAATTCTTGTATATATTAGAAAAATGGCAACAACACAAACACAACTGCTTTAGTTTATTGTTAAGTGTCTTTTGTAAAAAATAAAGGACGTGATGGATGTTTTCCAGACATTATTTATAACGAGTTTTTTTTGTTTAAAATTCATATTTTTATGTTAATTTCCAAGGATTCAAAACAAAATATTCTTTTTAAATTATTAAAAACAAATTTAAAAATTAAAGAAATAATTTTTAAAATAAATAGAGGACACATTGGGACAGACATATCGGGATATTTCAATGTATGAGCAGCTAACCTACTGATTTCGGGACCTACGGGTACTGGGTCTTGGATAGTACATTGTCTTATTGAGAAAAGGAGTTCCAACGAAATACGCAAGAGGTTAATTTTTGTCATCCCAATCCAGATTTTTCCCCATCTCGATATATCCACACCAACTTTGGCCCAAATGTAATTTCCTGTTTCCCAACAGAAACCCTAATTCTAAACGCGCGTTTACAGAAATATTGTTTCCTATTTCATTGTTATAAGAAAACAAAAAATATAAATAATACCATAAACTAATGACGTCTGCAAGCAGGAAGCGGGGCACAAATAGACAAAAACCACATCAACTTCTTGGCCCTCTTATTATATCAGAAACGGCCCCAGAGGGAAGAACCAAAAGACAAATTGATGGATAGTTGTATAAAACAATGCCTTTCCTTCTTGTGAGTTATAAAATTATGGTGCACCATCACTGCAATGCCAAAAATATTGAAATGCATTTGAAGGCTAAAAGGATTAAAAATAATTTCCTTCTTTAATAGACACTTTTGAAGAAAAAATTCTAACAAAAAAATAAAAAATGAACCTTTAGATTCCTAACGTTATAAATCACGAGAAAATTTTGATTTTAATATTTTAAAATTCCTAAAATTAAAAAAAAAGGAGATTAAAAAGTTTAAAAATATTAAATGAAAACAAACAACTCAAAAAACATTTCTTTTTTTGTTTCAATTTTATTTTTTATTCAAATAAAAATCTAAATAAATGAAAAATATAAAAGAATAAATGGTGGTTGTTCGCGTTAGCAAAAAAAAACTAGAGATCGAAATTCTTCAAAAAAACATTCAATCTCCAGTAAGAAAAAAATATTGCATTTTTAAAGAATAAAAATTGAAGGAAAAAATTTTCAAAATAAAGAAGAATAAAGGTTTGTAAAAATAAAAAAAGGTTAGTATAGTCAACAAAAACAATAAAAAAAAGTTGTAAAATATAAGAAAGTTTAGAAGCATGAAAGACAGAACGAGCATCAAATCTCTTAAAGATTTCAAGGAAATTCCAAAAATAAAAAAACACCTAAAAAGTCTGGCCATGCTTGTTCGTATAATAAAAAAATTTCTTATATAAATAAAGATGCGACAAATTTATCGAGCAATTTGTTTAAATATAAGTCGCTTCAAACCAGAAATCAAGACTGAAAAACTTAAAATTGCGCGCCCAAGTTGCCGCACCAGGTAAAAATAGTAAAGAAAAGTTTAAGGATAAGATCATAAAATATGAAAAAAAAAGTGAAAAATTTATATCAATTTTCTTAATCATTTCCCTCAGGGGACAACTGCTTCAAAACCTTTAAACTGTTTAAATGCCGGTGAAGAAGCTGATGGCGAACAAGGAGGCCCAGGAACAACAACAACATTTCCTCCATTTAAAGATGCTGTAGTTGAAATATTTTGTTGTTGTGTAGAAAGTGTTGGCGGTAAATTAATTCCCATTGCTGACGAAGAAAAATGAGAAGCAAAAAGTTCGCGCTCCCAACAAGTTAATGCCTTCAAATTTTTTTACAAAAATGACCATTTATTTAGAAAAAAACCTCCATGAAATGAAAATTTGGTGCAATTGTCCCATTTTGTTTGAATAAACGATCAAAAGCTTCTTCAAGTGTACAACGTTGCGAATACATTAGATATGCAAGGCACACAGTGACAGAACGACTGTAAGAGCGAAAAATTTTAAAAAATCGAATATGTATAAAATAACCTGATACCAGCCCAGCAGTGAACAAGAATGCCTGCTTTTTGAGAACGCGCATGTTCGATAAATGAGATCGCTTCTGAAATAAGAAATAGAAACTTTAAAATTTTTTAACATAATTGGTCTGCCCCCAATGAATTTGAAATTAAATTCGCAACTTTATAAGACAGAAAGCTTAAAATACCTGGGAAAAACTGAGCCAAATTATGGGAGCAATTGTCATCAACAGGAATTCTCATATATGTAATATTGGGCCCATCATTCCCTTTATTTAATTGTCCATCATTGTTGTCGCACTCAAAATAGTTTGGCAAATCGGATGTCACATTGATCACATAGCGAATGTCACATCTTAAAGGAAAAAAGATTCTTAAAAATTTCATAATCCAAAACACTACTTTTCAAGTGTTTGTCGATTTTTGGCTGTGTCAACATTTCCAAGGTAGAGAAATGGAAGAATGTGAACAGGAAACAGTGTTGATTGCCCTCGACGGTTGTGCTGTTAATTTTAAAATAATTCAAGAATTTTAAATTAGTTACAACCTGAAATTGCCGTTTCCCCCAAGGGGATAAGTTCGAAATTGAATTCTCAACCTTGTTGTTATTTGCACCATCGGAATTTACCACATTCTTACAATTAGAGATGGAGACCAAGTCGAGTTGGAGGCACTAAAAATTAAAAAGGCGAATAATAAGTGAACAGAACTTAATTTAAAAACCTTTGCAAGTTGTGTTTTGCTACGCCGCTTAATTTGAATTTGATTGGACTTTTGTTGTCGAACTGAATCCAAAACATTTTCATTTCCATTAAGATCAATTGAAGATGAAGAGGAAGTTGCAGCAGAAAACGAAGCAGAAGAAGATGATGAACAGGAAGACGAAGATGGCCGGATAGCACTTCCCATTTCATTCTCTTCATTCTTAGCCTTAGTTACAGCCAAAGATTGCATTGTAAGTTCCAAATCAGCCTCAGATTGACGTCGACAAGCAGCACTGCTATTGCTTAAATTGCTTGTGGTTGTGTAGCCACCGCTGCTTGTATAACCACTGCTGCAACTACTTGATGTTGTAGTGCTGACAACTCGACTTTTTGAAGAATGAATAGATTCGTGATGTTGCATAATTTAAATTTTGTTGTTTATTTTTTAAAGTAAAAAAACAAATTTGATGTAGTAAAAAATAAGAAGGTAAAAATTGATTGAGTAATAAAAAGTTGTACAAAAAGCTTCAAGAATCTAAAAATAAGAAATAAATCTCGAGATTTAGAAAAAATAAAAATGTTTGCAAAAATTTTTAAAATGCGTTTTTTGCAATTTTAAAATGTCGAATTTTTAAAATGCCAATTTTACAAATAGGTCAAACGGACAAAAACCCATTCTCACACTGCGCAATACCGGAATTTGAGGATGTAAATTTAAAAAATAAAATTAAGACTTGAAAATTTAAAATCTTTGCTTTTAACTTGAATAAAGAGGAAGTAACGAAAGAAAATTACATAAATTAATTAAAGTTTTTTTGTTGTTATTGTTACAGATGACGTAACACAAAATCGTCTCAGCAGAACGCACTCAAATTTAAACAAAATCAGGTGATTATTCGTTTAATACTATCTTTGCTCTACGTATTTTTTAAATTAAAGTACGAAGGTAGTTCAGACTTATGGAAACCCAAAAATTAAAAAAATATCGATTTTTTAATTGAAAAATGGAAAATCATGGTTCATATCAGGGGTCGGTCGGAAATGGCGAAGGTTTCGGAAATCGGAACTGTCGGAAATCGAAAGTGGCTAAAAAGTCGGAAATAGGAAATCAACGTAATTTTCGGAAATCGGAATTCCGACCGACCTCTGGCTCAGAGTTAATTACACCAAGACGAAAAAAATAATAAAAAAGCGTATAGGTATATCAATAATTGCAATGAAATTTTTAATTAACAAATAAGAGGAGAGAAGGTACTTCCGGTTGCTTGGTTTTTGTAATAAAATATGAGACGCTCATTTCGCGACCATTTTTTCAATTCAATACTAAGTTGCTATAAATTATATAACTAAATTTTGTTCCTCCTCTTCTATAATTAGTAGAAAAATATTTTTAAAAAATGTAATAACAGAATCGGAATATAAAAATTAAAAAAAGTAAAATTGCTCCAAAAGTTGCCATATTTTACATGAAAAATTTAAAAAATGAATAACAAAAAATAATATTTTACATAAAATATTTTAACTGAATTTATACTAACAATAAGTAAATAGTAATGTAGTTCCGCTCCCTCCCCAAATTTTCTCACCGTTCCCTCTGTTAAATGAAGAGTGACAAATTTATGGTGGCCCCCAACACATTTCCGGAAACTGTGAGAAATCGCTGATTTGATATTTTTGCTGCAAAAATATGTTTCCCATCCTCATTCATTTTTTGTAAAAATTATTTAGGGTTTTTGCCCATCTCGGATTGGTCTCTTTTTTTAATTTTTAAATGATTAAACAACGTGAAAAGGCATATGATCTTTAGAAGCAAATGAAGCAACTGTTTAAAAATTAAATAGGAAATAAATAAAGCAATTTAGACTTTACTCTAAAAATATTGTTCTTTGCTAAATTTTGAGAATAAAAATTGACAAATCAAAAGATGACTGATTGATGTATTTTTATAAGATTAAAGAAATAATTATAGAAACAATAAAAATAGAAAAATCTTTAACATAATTAAGACAATGAGTATTGTCATTAAAAGAGGTTCTTCCCCGACAAGGAGGGTAGTTTTCAAAAAACTCTAAAATTCCCCGACTTTCAGGGACGAGGTACAACCCTAATGATTAAAACTAGGTACTACCGACGGTATTTTTAGGCAAACGTACGGTGAAACTTAAAATTCTATCAGTATATATTTATCCGTAACACGGTAAGAGACAAAATTTCGGGATTTAATTAAAACTAAAAGCGGCCTGAAGGGTTTTCAAGCTTTTTATTTTAAAGCTACGATTTTATTTTTGATGAGTTAATTATAATTAATCCTTTCTAAGCGTCATTTCATTTTTAAATTGTATTTCTTATAATCACCCACACCTTAACATCATTTGTGTATGCTTTCCTCTTAAAAATAATAATTTGGCAAATTCTATGAATTGCTAAAAATGAGATTTTTTGTGCTAATTAAAACTAAAAATGAGAGAAGAGAAAAAGGCGTTAATTAATGAATATACAACATTGAAAATCTATTGAATTTTTAAATAAAAAACCTTGGTGCATTTGTACATTTATTTTTGCGTTTATTTTTAAGAAGAAAAAATTGAAATAAAATTTCCGATAAAAAATTTAATAAATTAATTTAAAAAAATATAATTTGCAAAAAATATTGAAGAGTAAAGGTAAAAAGGGATCAAAAATTGAAGATTTGATTTTGCGGTATAAAGTGAATGACGTTTAGCGGTGAAAATTTATAAAAAAACAACTCATAAAATATTAAATCAAAGATAAATTTTTTCGGCGCCATTTTCTATAAAAAATACAAAACGTCTCAGCAAATAGCGAGAGTTTTACCGATAAATTAAAACAAAGGGGAAATCGGTAAAGGAAATGTAATAAATTAATTTTTTTTAATGTTGTCGCAACTGATATGGTTTAGAAATGCTCAAAGAAAATTTTTGTGAGAGATAGGGTGAATGGGAAACGGAAGTTATGCGGATGCATGAAGAGGATCCATTATGGAATAAAAAACAAAAAATAAAACGGGCGCATTCAAATGGAATAAAAATTTTTTTCCGTTTAATAATTCGTTAAAAAATTTTGTCAAAAATTCAAAAAATACAAATTTTAAATTTGAATAAACAAGTCTGCCCACAAAATCGTCCTTTTCATAGGATTTTTATTACATTGAAAGGTGAATGAATGGGAAGAGAAAGGCGGAAGTTGAATGTTTATCAAAGCATATATTTAAAGGGATAAAGGGCACGAGATAAAAAGATGAATGAATAGCGATTAAAGTAAAGCACTCTATATTGCCATTCAATGTTACAAATAATGGCTTTGTTGACAAAATGAAAAGGGCTATATATCCAACCGGAAATTAGAAACAATGAAAAATTGAAATAAAATTTCTATTTATTTAGCTTAAAAAGGACAGTTCCCCTATAAAAACTGAGACTCTAAAAGGGCAATCTGTCAATAAATAAACAAGAAAATAAGGCTGATCGACATCTAATATAGATTCTTATTTCCGCTTTAGCTTTGCTGTTGTGACAGACAGTGATAACAGGAAGGAAAATAAAATAAAAATACACATGAATAATCATAATAAAGCATGTGAAATTAATTTTTAAAAAATCATAATCCGTTTTTCTAAAATGTTCCGGTCGGAAGTTTTGGTAAAAAATAAATTTAGACAATTGAATGTCAAAAATAATAAATCTTTTTAAATTATCGTTGTTTTTTCAAGCCGGAACTCGTAAAAAAACCAAATTTATCTCTTTCAGTATCAGCTGTCGTCTATGTGTTCGCGTGTTTATATTGAAGTACATTTGTCTACAACAAAATTTTCTCTTTCCCACAATTGCCTAAAAGTTGAGTGAAAGGGAAGGGGTCAATTTCCGGTAGGTTGGCAAAAAATGAAATAAAAAATAATGTAAGAAACAAAGCACAGCAATAAAAAGAAAGTCAGGGAACGGCAATAAATTTTTATGTCTTGTTTACACAAAAATGAACAGACATTTATACATATAACACCTGTTATATTTTGCTATTTAATATTCAGCTAGAATTAATAGTAATTAAGAAATTCTTTAAAATTAAGAAATTAGAGAAAAAATTAGGTGGGGAACAGGCCAAGGCACCGCAAAGGCAATGTACCGCCAAGGTTCAATGTACCGTCAAGGTTCGAATTATTAACAAAAAAAAACAAAAAAATTCCATAGTGTGTTTTGTATATGCTTTTGCCCCTCATTGCTTCGTTTATATTGAGGGAGGGAATTAAGAAAAAGGAGACCGGAAATGCGAATTGGGAAAGGAATTGTGAAGGTTATTTATATAAATGTGAGTGGTATAAGGCCCGTGGAGAATATGAGGGGAATGAAGGAGGAAATGGACAGAGTAGAATGAATGATGGATGGATGAGTTTACTTCCGACAATATTTAGTACTTTTAATGCTTTTTTGCAATTCTAAGCTATGAAATTGCAGGCAAAGCCCACTGATCAAATATCTACTATATAAAATAATGTTGAGAGAATGAAGTAATTTTCTGATTAAAGTTTTTTAAAATTAAAGGATTATAGATTTAAAAAAAATTGAGAAAATAGGGGGAAGCCTTCTTAACAAAGTTTAATTAAGATAAGGTATAAAAATTTAAAAAATGGATCTTCCAGTGTCAGAAATTATTTTGGAAACAAACACAATTAATTCTGCTGCTATTGTCCGGAAATATTTATCTGCACGCCCTTTCATTTACTTACAGCATGGGGACATAAATACACATCCGCTTTTTCGTTTAGTTTGTGGGTGGGAGTGGAGGGCAAGTGAATGCATTAAGATAACCGGAAGCGTAAAAAAAACAATAGCTATTCAACCATAAATGGGAAAAGTAGAGAGAAGGATTTTGTTTTATTGCTATCAGTCAAATGTACGCGAATAAAAAATTATTTTTTGGGGTCAATAATGAAAAAATAAACAGAATTTAAAATTAACATTTCCGGTAAGCTTTAAAAGAAAAATACAAAACATTTCTACTAACCCCGTCGTTCCGCTCGACATGCCCGGCTTCCTCCGCAGCGGCAAAAACTTTTTTCCGCGAAGAGAGACTTATTTGAAGAGCTCGGTGAACAGAGTCGAATGACACCAAAATCAGCTCGATTGGATGATTATGAACAAAGTTATAGTTGCTCACGACGAAAACATGGCGCCGAAAAAAACTGGCGCCGAAACAGTTTTTTAGATTTTATTTTTAGCGTTCTGTTTACGCCAAATCCGGGTGCAGCCCAAGTAGGCGCGCGGCCAAGTAGGCACAGGGCCATAACTTGCTTCAAAATTTCCAAATCTGCCCAAATTTAGTATTAAACGATTTCTCTCAACGAGCTAAAGAGAATGGACCAAAATTATTAAGGTCCAGAAAATTTCCAGGTAGTTATGGCTTTGCGCCTACTTGGCCGCGCGCCTACTTGGGCGAGTCCCGCCAAATGGGTAGGGGACGATTCAGTATCGCCGATTCAGTATCGCCAATTCAGTATCGCCGATTCAGTATTGGCCGATTCAGTATTTGGCTTTTTTGGCCATAACTTTTTGCTCGATCAATATTGTGGGAATTATTATATATGATTTGATAGGCCTCGGTGTGCTGCATCTTTTTCATAATTGGACTGACCTGATCTTATCACTCTACAAAAAGTTATCACTGATAAACGACGTCACAGGCATAAAGAATCGGTTTTCACGCTGTAACCTTTTTTGTGATCATCAGATCAGATCGGGCCAATTATGAAAAAGATGTCGAATCTTGAGACCTTTCGAATGATATGAGAATTATTCAAATCGGTCGAATATCAGGAAAGTTATGGCCATATACTGAATCGGCCAATACTGAATCGGCGATACTGAATCGGCTATACTGAATCGGCGATACTGAATCGTCCTTAACCGCGCCAAATCCATTTCGAAATATTTTTCCTTTGCTTCTTTCTAACCTTATGTTTCTTCCTTTTATTCTCTTTCTTTTATCTTTTAATTCATTTTGAGTCTCACTTATTTCCAAAGTTTTATATTTTCAAAGTTTTTATATCCTTGTCAACATATTTTTCGGTTTTTTTAGTTTTATGTTAAAAACGTCATATAATTTAATGTTTTCTACTATTGAATTTATTAAACGCCATAACCGCAAAAGAATTAGTTCGGATGAAAAATTTAATTTAGTGGATTTTTATCTTTTACTTGAACAGACAATTGCTAAAATGAAAAGGATTGTTGGAGGAAAAATTTTTGGTGTGCCGAGATGAGAAAAGGTTTGAAATTTTTTTTAATTTTAAAAGAGGTCTGTAGTAACTTTAGGGCTAGCATCCACACCTTTCTGTTTGCCCTTTTCACTTTATTAAGAATTAAAATTTCCACTGTTATTCCCTAATAAAAACAACGTCTGTTAGTCACTTTAAGAGAAAATATTTCTTTTCTTCCTGTTTAATCTCAGCGGCGGTCGTCTCTTTTTCGGTTTGCAATCAGCAACAATCAAAAGCAACATATAAACTGTAGCGCAAGTCCGCACCCCTTCACTGCTACTTTTAACGTCTAGAACCCACAGGCCTAATTTGTTTGCTTCGTCGAAAAAAATTAACCATACAATAACAGGCTCTCTCCAAACATTCGATTGCTCCACTCATTAAATCCATTTGACTTTCTTTTCACTATTCCTTCGCGCAATGAGCAGCACTATTCACCACACATATAAACTTTTATTGTGTGGCCTATTTATAATTATAAATTATTATCACCTCATAGCCCCTGTTTAAAAATCCAAATATATCCGATCAGTCATAAGTAAAGAAATATTTTAATCAACCACAATCGCACAAATATCAACTTCTTTCAACCTCCTGCATTATGTGGGAAACTGGTCCTTTCATTTCCCGATTGAGAAATAATAAACATATTCATGCTTTTAGTTCATAATATTTGCTCCAATTAATCTGTAAAAAATCTATTATATTTCTAAGGTTTCAGTTTAGTTCCAAACCAGGATTTAATCGATATTTACCTAGTTTTAAGACAAAGATCTTTGCCAATTTTATTAATTATATTAAATCGTTTCCCCTTGATTTTAGGTGATGTACAGAACAGGTTTTGCAACAAATGGTTTCCCCGTCCAATACAATGCCGGCTCCAATGAGGGAATTGCAGGGGACTATCGTCAACAGAATCGACAGCGTGCTATTATTAATTTGAAACCGGAATCAAGTAATATATTTTCGCGACAACAAAACTATGGGATAAGAAACAACAACCAACAACAAAACACGGCTACTAATCAGCTGAAGCAGAGGTTAGATTTTGGATTTAAACATGTCTTCAATAGACATTTTTAATCTCTGAGTAGGGTTGGCGATTTCACCAAGTTATTCGGTTAACCGAACCGAAATTTTAGGTTCGGTTAACTTTGAAGCCGATAACGCTACTCTAGAGTGATAACTGCACAAATCTAGTCTCATTTTTAATTGTAATTTCTGCAATATGGCATTAGAATCTCCTTTTATTTGCTTTCTTTGTTTTTGTAAAATTAAACGACACTAATCCGTTTAAAAAGAAATTTCCTATGTATTTTTACCGCTCATCCTCTTCATATCCTTTTATTATTCACTCAGATTTTTCTCTTTTCTACTTTTTATTCATTTCATTGCCTTTTGCTTTGATCACTGTTTTTCGTGCGCGAGTGCGCATAAATGCGCCAACAATGTTTATTTGTTGTGCTCTCCGGCGAAGATGCTATTCGCTAAAATCAATAAATCGAACAAAGAATAGAATATGCGGGAGAAACGGGGAGATGTGGACATATTTTTAAGATTTTTGAAAGTTTAGTGTCCACATGAACTTCTTATTAGTTTACATATTAGCTAAATATCTAATTGATGTGTGGTTTATGATGTTTCCAAGAAAAACAATTTCTCCCTAAACAAAATTTGTTTTAAAAGTTTAAATTAAAACAATAGAAAAAATATTTCTTAAAGTTTTTCCTTTTATTGTTTATTTTTTGAGTCCCTTTATATTATGTATAGATGCCACCTCTCTTTGTACAACGTAAAAAATCGTACAAAAGTTGAATTTGTTGTTTTGGCCCTGTTTTTGGTTCTTTCTATTTTTTATTTCATTCTTTTACTAATTCCCTCCAACCAAAACGAAACAATCAAATCTCTTCTTTCTCTTCACAATGCATTTGTTCGACCGAAAAATTGTGTTGTGTTCTCCTTCCTTTATTAATCCGCATGTCTGTAAGTAAAAACATAATCCTACACTTTTTGATGTGAGTATAGGAACCATTACAAATAATATTTACAAAACATAACCTTATTACAGAATTTCTGCCTTTATTTAAAAATTAAATCAATTTAACTTTCCTATCAAAATCGTGTTTTAGGGGAGAGTTGTTTATTAATTCGTTAACCACACTTTGGCGCGCACTGACACTCAACCAGCTTCCCTCTCACTGACCACAACCCCCAAAAAAGTTGCTGATTTCTAATGACTAGCGCCTCACTTGGTTGCGCCGAATTATTTTGCTCGTTATTAATTTCTTAAAAATTCTTGTTTCCGATATTGATGTTTAATTCGATGATTACTCCGTACAACTAGCTTATCAGTTTCGCTAGAAATATTTAACACATTTCACGAATTAATGTAAATACAATTATATTTTTCTTTTTCCACCCTATTTCCTTTCATTTGTAAATTACTTCTTTTTTTGTTTAACGGTTTTAATTGAAAAATTTAATTTTTTGATTAAAATCCCCTTTATTTTTAGTAACCTCTACGGCTCTAGCCCTGTTTTGAATCTTAATTCTCTTCCTTTCAAACTGGCCACCACTGGCACGCAGCATTACGCAACGAACGATCCAACACCGAATACTTTAGGAAATCGAAAGCATTATCATAGTAGTGTCGATGTTGCTGGAAATAACTTTTATAATAACAACTTGAGGCAAAATGGTCATTTCAATTCCACAAACACGGCAGAACAGAACAGCAAAAACACTCCATCGTCTTACTAGTATAGATGTGTTTTATTTATTTAATTTTTGTTTTTTAGTTACTCAACAACAAATAACGCTAATAATACTCCACGGACACAGCGTGAACATTTCCATACAACAACCACAACATTAAAGAGCAGCAACAAAGAACTACCAAATCAACAACAAAAAAATTCCATGGATTATAGGGTTTTTCTTATTTTTTAATTATTTCGTTGGTAACGCCATTTAAATAGCAGAACGGTCCCAATTCACTTTTGCCACCTGCTTCCAGCAATGGTGCCTTCACACGGCGTCATACGGCCGCAGGACCTCATGAATTCTCTACCCCGCAACAACCAATTACTCAACATATTCCTGCTTACGGTGTGGAACATTTGGCTTCATTTGCAGTCGGAAAACTTTTTGGATTGATTACTCCTACGGTTTTTAACATTTCTTTAGCTTTCTTAAGTTTTAATATTTTCAGGATGGTATTCGAAAGTTGAAGCAAATGGAAAGAAACAGCGCAATTTGGTAGTTTTCATTCTTTCTCACTAAATTTCGTTTTTTAGTCCTGTTCCTATGCTTTTTACATTGCACCCAGATCGCGTAGCTGTTTTAGAAGAAAATGGGGTACAATTTAATTGAATATGTTTTAATCTCTTAAACTTTCAGGCACTAGTTGAAGAATTTCCTCTCAATTTGGTGACTGACCCTTCAGCACATATTAGTACAGATACAAGTGATCTTTTCAATAACGTTCTTCTCTTTGTTGTACGTGAGCATGATGTGCCAAACAGAAGTGGAGGGGTTGTACCAACAGAAATGCATATCTTTCAGGTAATTTTTGAGTTGTTTTAATATTTTCAATTCGAAATTATTTTAATAGTGTATTGGTGTTTCTGCCCAAGAAGTGGCAGGAGATTTACATCATTACACGCGTGGTCATTTTCACAAAGTGAGACCTGGACGGCGCGGTGGCGCCGCCAACTCAGCTTTTGTCGCTTCTCGTTATGCGCCTTATCATGCATCCGGGCAGATTGAAAGGGGAAATGGTTATCCCAATGGTAGCCATCTAAATCGTGATGATTTATCAGGAGAGTCAGACAGTACAGAATTTTTTGAAATGGACGTGGTATCTAATTTCTTTTAAAAATACTTCATTTAATCACAGAACACATTAAATCGATGCTTTGATGACATTGAACGTTTTGTTGTTCGAATTCAATCTGCAGCAATTGCACAGCGGGAATTAGAATTACAACAACGGAGTAATAGTAAAAAGAAGGGAAGAAAAAAATCTGGTTTTTAAAAATTAAAAAATTAATAAAAATACAATTTATTTAAAGATATCAAACTTGCACAACAAAACAGTATTTTACAACTTCGAGCTCAGATTCCTTCTTATGGGGAGTTTACAGAGATTTTTCGAAAATTTAAATTATGCTTCAATCTTTTGGTAAGTAAATTATTTTTGGAATTTTTACTAATTTAAATCAACAGGCTAAATTGAAAAATCACATTCATGAGCCAAGTGCGCCTGAACTTTTACATTTTCTTTTTACTCCGTTGACTGTAATTTTGGATGCTTGTCAATGGGGACTTGGGCAACAAGTTGCTCAACAAGTTTATAGTCCTTTACTTTCCTTGGAGACATGTGAATTGCTTCGAAACTATTTATTTCCGAAGGAGATGGATGTGTGGAATGCCTTAGGGAAGGCTTGGAATACTGCGCCGTAACACATTTAATGAAAAATGGCATTTTTAATTATTTTCTTACAGTGAAGATTGGGTTGGTCAGTTGCCTCCACCCTATCGTCCATTGTTTCTCGATGGGTTTGCTCCATACGGACATCCAGAACAAACAGGAGGACTTGAACATTCAAACTGGGACAACTTGAGTAATGGCTCGCCAGCAACTAGTTATCCTCAACATCATTTGCGGTACTCTTTAATATTTAATTTGTTGAGCATTCGTTTTTAGTTACGGTGGGTCCGTTCCAGCACCAATCCATCGAGGTGTATCTGCACCAGTTCCATCTAGAGAATTTCATTCCTCCGTTGCAAATGGCGGAGGAGGTTATTTTTCTCCTCCGAGCACAAGAAGTAATGACAATAATGCTTCATTGGCCAATCTTGCTGCAAAACTTGACAGTGTAAGAGTTAATGATGAGGTTTGAGATTTTTGAGGGGAATCTAATGAGTAATATATTGGAATTTTGTTTGCTAATTAATTATTATTCCTTCTAGATTGAATTAGCTCGTATAAATTTGGAGAAAGAACGTCTTGAATTTGAAAGACGGAAGGTTCTGGATAAGGAACGTCAGCTTCTAGAACAAGAACAACGGCTTCGTGATGAAGCTGAACGACTGGATGAAGAGGTGATATTAATTGCAGAATTTCTAAAGATTTAAATTTTCGACTTGTAGAGGCGTAATTTGCACCGAGAAAGTGAGAAACGCTCAATTGCCGAATCCGATAGACCTGATTTTTATAGAGGGTATTAATAATTTTGATATATATTTTTGAAAATATTTTTATTCGAAAGAATCCCGTCTATGCATGCAAGCCCTCGTTTGGATCGCCATTCAGGCTCTATTCAAATACTTCCCAGTGAAAATAATCGTCAACATACTCTGGCCCCAGCAACTCCTCCATCCAATCTTTCTGGAAATACAACATTTGATGGAAGTAGTAATATTAATATAAGTAGTGGCAGTCCACGACTTTCAAATTCTAATTCTATGCAGGTGATATCTGAAGCATTATTTTATTTCGAAGCACTACATTAAATTTTAGTTGTTGGAGCAAAATTCTCCTCGACAAAAGGCTTTCCTTGATGAATTATCAAGACGGGGAAGTAAAGTTGTTCAAGTTACTTATGATAGAAATGCATGCAATTCTAAAGTAGTTTTGCTATCCTTAATTATTTTTTAACTTTTTTTTAGGAATTAACTGTATCTAGAGGTGAATATTTGGAGGTAGTTCTTCATGATATTCGATTTTAAAAATTTTAATTTTATTTCAAGGTCCTCAACGACTCTCGTAACTGGTGGGAATGTAGAAATGTCCACAGTCGTTCTGGATTTGTGCCTCATACAATTCTTTCTTTGCTTGCATTCGAGGACTGGGATCAGCAAAGTGATGAAATTGATGATTCCTTGAATGCGGTAGATTAATAAGAAGAAATCAGACATTTTATAAAATAATATCTTTTACAGCGGATTGTTGTTGACAATAATCGATCTACTAACAATCAACATCTACAACATAAACAAAGAACGCAACGCTTCTCAACACCTGGTTCAGCAGCTACAGGTCCTTCACATTCTTCTTCATCTAACTCTAGTACTCCAGACTTAATTCGCCAGCGGACAGGTCCTAAAGGGGAGTTTCGTTACTTTTAAAAATAATTTACAAGGGTAATGAACTTGCCCTTTGTTTTTTGTTGCCATCAAATAATTGTTTTTAATATTTTATTTTATATTAATCTTCATACATAGTTTTCCATTGTTTAGTTCTTGCTTTTTCTTCTACCCTTATTAAAGATGTATATTAAACGTTTCTTGATTCGGACCTCGCTTACAAGATTATTTGCGCATTTTAGCTCGTTTTCTTATATCTCCCAATTTTCTTATGTTTTTTGTCCTTTTTTCAACACGTATTTTAAAATATTAGAAGCAATTAAGTAATTGTTTTTTGTTAAATTTATTATTTTGTCAATCTTTCTTTTGTTTCCCAATTGCTCATTTTCTAAAATTCTGCATTATTTTTAACTTATTTTTCTAGCCTTCCTCTGAATGTTGTGTCTTGTTTTTTTTCAAATTGCTTCATTTATCCACAAATTACATATCTATTTGTAAATAAACTTGGTCTTGAATGCCCCCTATCTTTAATCGTGTTAACCCTAATATTTTCTAAATATATTCGCATTGTATTTGTTCTAATCGTTATAGTAAAATTAAATTTTTAAAATTTATTGTTGACAGCTAACTTAACCTAAGCGTTATTTCTTTAAATTTCGGCTAAAATTTTAGTTTTAAATTTGGACGAGAATAAATTGGCCGTTTCCTGTACCAAACAACCTAAAATTCTTAAAATTCCAGTTGAAGTGCGCATGGAACAAAGTTAAAAATTTTTTAACTTACCTAAATGATCTTACTTTGCAGGACATGTTCCACAAATCCTCGAATCAATGCGTCGGAAGGGTTTTCTATTTTCTCGAGGGATTCCGGGACTCAACACCACGTTAGTTGCTTCTTATATACCTGATGCTGGATTTGCTGAACCAATGGAAAGACCTCCGGATTCTTGCGTTCAGAATGTTCCTGAGGGTGTTCAATCTATCCGAAGTTATCTTTGAATTTTATGGATATTTATCCTACGGGGACTTAATTATCTTTATTCAATTACATATCTCATTAAAATTTGTATGTTTACATTTATCTAGATAAATGTTATTTTAATTTTTTGATATTTATGGTCATGTGTGATCAACTACTAATCGATCTACCACATTATTTTATCCGCAATTTTTCGTTTGCAATCTCGAATTTTATTAAATTTTAAATCTGTTATCTTTCCCTCTCTCACACACTCAAAACTCTCGTTGAACAATTCTTTTTTCTCTCTTAAATTTTCATGTATTAGCGCGCAGGTGAAACCGAAAATCAAAAAGTGGTCGTCGCTCCCTCTCATGCGCTCATTTTTTAATTCCATAGGGAGCCGGACACCATTCTTTCATTCAATTTCACTAACTGCCATTCCATCCTAAAAAAATTTCTATTAAAATGTCCGCAATTATTTCCACAAAATTTCTTCAACTCTTCATTCAACACAAAATTTTAATCAGTGTAATTAATTACTTTGACTAGCTTCTCTCTCCTTTCACCCCCCAAAACGCGATTAAATTTTACGTATAACGCGTTTTTGTCTTTTCATTCTTTCGATTGTTATTTAAGTTTTCACTTCTTTATAATGCACAACAATTGCTGAAATATTGCAACAATTAAAAATGTTGAAAAATGCATGAATAATTCTCAATTTTATATTTTAAAATTCTCAAATGTTTTTTTTATTTAACTTCCCAAAATGTGAAAATTTTGAGAAAAATTATACCATCTTAAAAAACTAATAAAGTTATTAAACTAATAAAGTTATTACATACTTCCAATTTACATAATAATTCTTTCATTTTCTTTGATCAATCAGTTTTTTTAACAAAAGCTTTTCTTAAGTTTTTTTATTGCCTCCTTTCACTCCTTATATGAAAACCGGTGATGACTAGGATATGACCCCCAAAAATACATAGATTGTCACTATTTTCCCTACTCATTTTCACTCCGACAAATTCTTCATTCTCTGCTGTCATCACACCACTTCACACAAAACTATTTTCATCGCTTCCCCGCGATATGAATGTGTACAAAAGAATTTATTGGTTTACAAATTTTGGCATCAAACAAAGTTTTTTTAGCGATGGGGAATTAAGCGCGTTTTTATGTTGAGTTTTTCTGTTTGCTTATAAAAACAAATCATTCGTCTAAAATTGTCATTTGTATTTATGCAAAACCAAAATGCATTTATTGTAAAAATTTTACCAAAAAATGTACTTTTTTATACTTCTTATTCCTTCATTTTGTGTATCATTAAATTATGATTGAGCAGAGGTATGAGCAATGAAATAATAGTCATTCCTCATCTCTGCGCAGTAATCCGATATCTACCACTTGCTCAACTTAAATTTTTTGTCATGGACTTTGAATTAAAATTCTATTTTTTAACGATGAGTTAACATTAAATTTTGATTGCTTTTTTCTCTCTAATTTTATCCCACATAATCATTTTTCTTGTTTACTTTTTCTAAAATTCTCCACCCCGCGCGCGCGATCCTCGAAATTTTCGGATGCTTCTCAAATCCGTTCATTTGTTTAAAAAGCCTTAACTAAGCAAACATAATAGTGCCCCTTTTTAACTAGAATATTTCGTTATTTTTATCTTAAAATAATCTTAAGGTTATAAAAAACGTTTCAGTTATTATTTGAGAATTTTCTCATTTTAAAAATATAAGGATTAAAATAATTAACGCTATTTTCACATTCAGATATTTTTTCTCCTAGTTTTTTTATGTTCCAGGTAACCTTTACTTACTGCGCAAATTTATTTATATTCTTTTCACATTGAGGTTGTGTCTAAATAAAAATGTAAACATTTAATTTTAAGCGGTCGATATTGCGCTTATTTTAAATTATTTTGTAGTATTTACCTTGTTTTTTTTGATAATTTCACGTCTTTCAATTTCCGCGCATAAAAAATAGTTTTATTATTTTTCCAAATCCATTGGGAATTATTAATCCAATGTGAATAATAATGGATTTTCTGCTTAACTACTAATATTCCCCTTTTGTTATTGTTTAATTTAGTGCGCGACATTTTTAATATTTCAAACCTCATTTTTTAATTGTGCGTATTCAATATAGTGTGTACGGACAAAAACGATTGAAAAGGGGGAACATATTTAATAATCGAAAAAAGGCAACGGAAATAACAATTTTTAATGGGCAAAATATTAAATAATATCGGGAGGATTTACGTAAAATATCTCATGTACTATTAAAAATGTGTACTAATATAAAGATATTTTAAAGAGAAGTATAATAAATGTATCAAGACTGATTGATACGATGAAAAAATAATAATAGGGGTTTTTATTTAATGAACTTGTCCTCCAAGTTTTTATAAGCCATTTACCTAACTTCGATTTTAATCATTTCATTATTAATAGTAAATACGATATTATAATTGATATTGATACTTATTTTTGCTGCTCATCTAAAACGGTGCTAAAATGGGTTCACTTTATCGGAGCGAGGAGATGCGCTTTTGTCAAGTAGGCTTTTTTTGATTTCAAAATCTTTAGCATAACTAGCGGTTTTTATTAATAATTACCCTAGGTATTTTTAGGCACTAAAAATTTGACTAAAATTCTTAATTAGATGATTGTGGAAAGGGATGCTGCTTTTGCCTGCGTTGCAGAACTCGGCAAAAAGCCATATGTTCAATTTAAAGATGTGAGATTTCATTATTTGAAACTTTAATTTATAACAAAACTAATTTTAGTTAAACGCGGAAGTCAATTCTTTTCAAAGAATGTTTGCCAAGGATATACGTCGCTTTGACGAAATGGAACGAAAATTGAGTGAGATTTTAAATAATTTTAAGTTAATTAAAGCCCAAATAATTGTAATAGGGTTTTTGGAGGCGCAAATTCGAAAAGACAATAACACAATACTTGGAAGTGTTGAAAGTCGAGACCCAATTGAGGTCATGCCGCATCATGAGATTAATCAACTTGAGGTTGTGTTGCATTCAATTATATATAGCAGTTATCTTTTTTAAGCAAACATTAGTTGATTTGGAACGCGATGTAATTCACATGAATAACAGTGACCAACAATTGAAGAGAAATTATTTGGAGCTTAAAGAATGGCAGCATGTATTAGAGAAGGCGGACCAATTCTTTGAAGGGGTTTGCCGAATTTCTAGCCTTGCGAAAATACCCAATTACTTTTAATAGGGAATTAGTGATGCCGCAGTGCATGAGATCGAACAGCAAAGTGCTGCTGCTGAAAGCGAAGCTGGTATTGCTCTGCACTCTGCTGAGAAGGAACCTACTGGGTAAATGATTTGAACCTACTGGGTAAATAATGAATGATCTTATTTTTAGTTATGTAGTTGGGGTCATTCTAACAGAAAAAGTTAATGCATTTGAGCGAATTCTTTGGAGAGTATGGTATATTAATTCATGATATAATGTTTTAACGAGGAATTGCAGTCGACGTACGGCTTTTGTTCGTCACATTGAAATTGAAGAGCATCTGGAGCATCCAGAAACGGTGCTTTTATTGTGGTTTTGTTGTTACATTCTATTTTTCTATAGGGCGAGCCAATTAAAGAATCTGTATTCATCATCTTTTATAACGGAGAACGACTTCGATCAATCATAGATAAGGTCCCAAATTTATTTCTTGAAAGGGACTGTCGTTTACTTGAACTGATAATTTGATATATTTTTTGGTTCATTATTACTGCAAATGACAGGGTCGAGTTATGACTCAAAGTTGAAGTCTGGAGTACAAAGCCAGATTCATTTTTTAATTCATTTTTGAATTTATTCATTTTTTGAAAATATGGTGTCTTAGTTTTATCAATTTCCTTTATTATAGGTTTGCGAAGGATTTAAAGCTAGGCAGTACAATCAATGCCCACGAACAAGTGATATTCTATCATTCCTGATAAAGTTTCCGATCATATAATTTTAGGTCCCGACCGAAAGACTGCACTACAACAAGTTCAAGCGAGTCTTAACGACATGCAAATGGTCATTTTTCTATAAAATTTTTTCGATAATTTTTCGATTTTAGGTTATGTCTCAAACAAGAGAGCATCGAATGAAAGTTTTGAATGCGGTAGCAGCGAATCATCGTAACTGGCTTAAACAAGTGCTTCTTTTTAAATAATTAATTTAATATTATTCAGATAATTTTCTAACAATAAGATTAATTGGATTTCATTGACAGGTTAGAGTCCACAAATCAATTTATTCCACTCTTAACAACTTTACTTTTGATGGAATTGGCAAATTTTTTGTCGCAGAATGTTGGGTTCCGCTTGATGATGTGCAAGCCGTTCGTGAAGCATTGGAAACTGGAGTGGTAAGATTATTTTTATCAATAATTTGCTAGAAATATGTACATTGTGTTATCGTTTTAATTCCAAAATTTAAACAGAGTAAGCATGGAAGTACTGTGAAACCTGTATTAAATGTTGTGCATACTAGTGAAATGTTAGACACTTGAAATTATAAATCACCTCAAAAATTATAAATTAAAGGCCACCTACTTATAACCGTACAAACAAATTTACTGCAGTCTTCCAAGGAATTGTTGATTCTTATGGAGTTGCTTCCTATTTGGAATTGAACCCAGCTCCTTATACTATAATTACATTTCCATTCATCTTCTCATGCATGGTTTATCCTCATTAATTGTATAAAAATACAATTTTTGAATTCAAGTTCGGTGATTTGGGACACGGAATTTTGATGTTTCTTTGTGGTTTGTATTTGGTTGTTAGAGAGCGCAATCTAGAGGCTAGGCAAATAAAAGATGAGGTAGAAATTTTGGTGAAAACTTCAAAATAAGATTTAAAACTTTTTTCAAGATTTTCAACATGTTCTTTGGCGGGCGATATATTATTTTGGTATGAATTTGATTTTTATATCCTTGTGATCAGTAAGCAATTCCAGTTGATGGGTCTTTTCTCAATGCATGCTGGTCTCGTCTACAACGATGCTTTTGCAAAATCATTTTCTATTTTTGGAAGTGCCTGGAAAAATCCTTATCCGTATGTTCATATTCCATCAATTTCTATTTCACATAAGAGTCGTTTTTGCGTTTTTTAGTTCAGAGCAAATTGGAAAATGGCTGAACCATTCAGAACATGGGAAGGAGATGTTGGTAGAGTTGCCCTCAGAATTTGCTTTTATGAAACAATCAGGCCCTTATGCGGTATAAACTTAAATTTTTTTATGTTTACGGTCAAATTCAATTTGTGAAAAATCAATAATTCAGTCAGAAAAATTTCAGTTCGGCCTAGATCCCATTTGGAACTTGGCTGAAAATAAACTTAACTTTGCGAATTCAATGAAAATGAAACTTAGGTAATTTTTAAATTTATTTTCATTAATTTATTAATTTAGTGTCATCCTTGGAATTGCTCAAATGACATTCGGTGTATGTCTTTCGTATCAAAACTACAAGTGAGTCATTAAAATATTTCTTTAATAAATCCTTTTATCCTTCTCTCAGATACTTCAATTCATCGGTATCTACTTCATACAATTTATTAAATTCGAACTAATTTATAGATTGAAATCTTCACGGTATTTATTCCTCAGATGATATTTATGGGTAGTATCTTCATATATCTTTGCCTACAAATTGTGCTAAAGTGGTTGTTATTTTGGGTTAAACCTGAGACGATTTTTGGTAGATAAAAACAAACGAGATTAATTTTGTAAAAATATCAGGTCGCCAATATCCGGGTTCGCATTGCGCACCTTCTTTATTGGTAAAAATCTGACTTAACTTTTATATTTTAATTTAGTCTTTTAGATTGGTTTGATCAACATGTAATTTCATTAATTTTTCTTCGTTTATCTTATCTTTGACATAGGTTTATGTTTAAAGAACGAGCAGCTGGTTTTACAGAAAATGGACATGAACTACCCAGTTGTTTTCTTAACCAGTGGTATCCGGGCCAGGCAATTTTACTACATTAAAAATAACTAAAAGTTGAGACTTTTCTTTTCAGTCATTTCTTGAAGCAATACTTGTTATCATTGCTGTTCTTTGTATACCTATAATGTTATTTGGCAAACCGATACATATTTTGATGCATCAACGAAGGGCAAAACGTGCTGTTTCTGATAACATGGTCTATCTACATGAGCTTAAATTTTTGTTTTAAATCAAATTTGATTTCCAGAGTGTAAGAATCAACATGCAAAAGGATGAGACAGAACTTGTGAAAAATGGTAGAAAGCCGTCAAAGACAGCCAATGGGGATCATTCAGGCGAAAATGAACCATCGCATGGAGGTATAGCCTCACATCATGATGAGGCAAGTTTGAGATAAGAATACGAAAAAAATTATCTTTTTGTAGTCTTTTGGAGACATTATGGTCCATCAAGCAATTCACACAATTGAGGTAAAGTTTTTTAACCATCAAAAAGTTCATTCCGATTAGTATGTACTTGGCTGTGTCTCCCATACTGCTTCTTATCTTAGACTATGGGCTTTGTCGCTTGCACACGCACAGCTCTCGGAAGTTCTTTGGGACATGGTACGTTATCAAGCTCACTCTAAACTTTGATAATTCTGTTTTCCAAATCTTATTTAGGTGTTGGAGAACGCCTTTGCATTTAACGACATCAAAGGTTACATCGCACTTTACGCAATATTTTTTGCATTTGGGGTACTCACCTTCTCCATACTTGTGCTTATGGAGGGGCTTTCTGCTTTTTTACATGCCTTACGTCTACACTGGTTAGTGCTTTTGATTCGATTTATTTTAAAATTATTTTCAGGGTTGAATTTCAAAGCAAATTTTACCTTGGACAAGGCTATATATTTGCGCCTTTCTTTTTTAAAGATATTCTACAAAGGGCATCAGTTGCTGAAATGGCCTAAAACTTAAAAGAATTCTAATCAGTCACTTTCAAAATCAACCCTTTCAATGCAAATATAAATGTTTTTAATTATTGGAGGGATCTCCAAGTCTATTTAGATTTTTATTTCATTAGTACTCATATGTTCACTCATTTACTAAATTCAAATAGGTTTTCACTTAATCCGACAGAATAAACTCGGTGTTTAAAACTATTTTATGTTTGAGAATTGTAATAAATCATTTAAAATAGATGAATATATATTGAAATTTAAAAGAACAAAACAATAAGAATAACGAATAGAACGTCTAAGTGGAATATCTGCATTGAAGGAGGAAATTTAAAGAAAAAAAATTTTTTTTTAATTTTTCGACAAAAAATTACGATGTAGTTTTCGACGATGAACAACCCCGAACAGGCCTGCTTATTTTAGTATAGAAAACGTTTGAGTCCTATCGAGTAGAACAAACTGATTATTCGAAAATTCTTGATAAACCTTAAATCTGTTCATCTTTTAAAAGTGAGTGTCCTCGTTTATCCTGTTTTATTTTTTTTTTTTTGATAAAATATTCCACCTATCAACAGCTTTCGGATTAGTATTTGTTGGCTAAATTTTAATAAAGTATAGTCTGGTACTCAACCGGTATAGTTAAGTATTTTTCTCTGCTCTACTCGTTCTCACTCGAAGAGCAATACAATTCGGCGCGCGCAGTTCAGCGTGCATGATTCATTTTTTTTCGCACACGTTTTTGGCCCATATTTTGATATTTTTGGACCATTAATTTTTCAGAAGGAAAAAACACGACGCCAAATAGTGCTGCGTCGAATCGAGTGCCCAAATGTATCGACTTAACCCCATCACGAAAAAATTTTTTTCTGATTTCACAAATTTTAGCTTTTGATCTACTTACATGTTGGTCTAAATAAATTAAATTAAAACAAGCTATCTGTATAATGTCTTCTGTTTCATTAGCCACACCATCAAGATGCGACAATGTCGAAAAGGTCCATAAAGAAAAAACTGGTTCCAAAGTACGAATACGAGCTCTTTTGGGTCGTCTTTTCAATAATGGCTCTGATAGTGATTGTGCACAGAACGGAATTGCAAATCAACATAGTGCAAATGAAATATCAGGGCCATACAACACAGTTCACAGGATACATGTAAGTTTTGTAATGTAAATGTTGCTGCATCACTAATTATGTATTTTAGGTTGGTTATGATGGACAAAAGTTTACTGGATTGCCACAATCTTGGTTGGAAATGCTGCAGCGAGACATAACGTTTGATTTTAGTTTATTTATTCAAAATCTAAGGATTTTTGGGATACTTTCCTAAGCTTCATTTTTTAAGAGAAATAGATCAAAAACGTAATCCAACTGCTGTTGTAGCTGCTCTAAAGACTTATGCCCAACTGTTCAAACAAAATGACTGTGACAGATTTATGATAACTCAAAAGTCTGTTTATGCTGATGATGATTTTGTCGTCTATGGCACAAGCGGGCAAGAAATTTCTCGTACTTCTGCTACTCTAACTCCTAGTACAAATTCCAGCGGATCACATGGTAATTTAAACGACTGGGACAATTTTGTTTAATAATCTAAACAAAATTTTATAGAGATGGACAAACCCTCAACATTTGATATTATTCATAGAAGCAATTCCGAATCTTCATTCAGCTCAGATGATGTTCAACAGGATACAACCAACAAAATTAAAGATTCGGATGAAAAGCTGTATCTGTTTAACCGAGGTTTATCATTTTTGTTTATTTTTCGTAAATTTGTCCAAATTCATGAAATGCTGTTTCGAAATTCTAAAATTTAGATGAAACGGCTTGTTGTGACAATAAACTTTTGGTCGAATCAAAGATAATTATCGCTTCCAATTCTATCACTTTGGATGAACATTTCACTGGAAAAGATGAGAGCACTGGATTAAATGGTATGCATTTTGTCTATTCATCTTTTCTTCCGTCGTCTATTTAAAAATGATTAGAGCTGTCAGATTTCCTTAATTTCGATCTGTTTCGTTATGGAATCCTAAACGAATGGTGTACCGCTTTTTATTATTGCATGGACTTTTTTTTCTTATCGCACCTATTGCCAAGACGTATGATTGTTCTTTCCCCATCTCCTTTTCGATTCAATCATTAAAATCGTTGTGTAATCCCTTTTGATTCTATTCGCGTAAAGATTGGATAGAAAGGTGTAGATTGAAATTCGGGAAGAAATAAAGCCTGTCCTCTAATTTTTTACAGTGCAAGGATATAAGGGGGCGTAAACGAGATTATAATTTTCTCTATTGATTCTATTAAAAATTTTCAGGGGCAGTTCCTCCATTAGCTCCACCACGCAAAACTGTTGCAGCAGTAATATCAGAGGATTTATTACCAACTGAGACTCAATCTTCAATTTCGTCAGTTCAGTTCTTTCCAAATAAAGCTGACAGTTGTGATGATGTGAAAGGATTGTCAACACGGAATCACAAAAACTTAGACTCTTGTGAGATAAATTCATCCGTGAATGCGTGTAAGGCGCCGCCTCCTTTGCCACCAAAGCCAAAAGTTTGTTTAATTTTTTGAACTCTTTTGGTTTCTTTTGTAACTTTTAAACACCCATATCAAATTTTAAACACTCGGTTAAACACCCATCTACCTTTTATTTTTAAAATACATCGCATCATATTTAGCACATCGCCTTATTGCTATGATCCCTTTATGCTTTCTTACACCTATTAAAAGGATTTTTTATCAATCTTTACGCTACATTTTTTCACGCAGCACCAATTTTCTTTCCCAATTTGCACACACCGAATATTGGTTTTTTTCGACTGGCATATGCAGCAATGTTGGGTGTAGTGTGCTCATTTTATTTGCTGTTTCACCCCTTTTATAAAATCGAATGCCCTTTGCGCTTTAGTCGTTCTTTTCCTTCTTTCATGATTGATCTCATAATAACATGATTTATAAGGGTCGAGGGAATAGGAATGGAGACATTTTTATTTGCTGGTTATTCGGTTACATACCTTATGCATTTTAGGTTATGCATTTCATAAATTTGAATTTTCGTTTTTAATTTATCTATTGCTCTCTTTAATAATAATTCTTTTTAAAGAAATTCTTATTAAAATAAACGTATTTTTACCTGAGTTGTAAAATTATCTGCCAAAATTCTTTTCGATACAGCTTCAAATCCACTGTGCCTTTCGGTACAATCTCCTTTTGCGGCATATATTGAGTACATATATCATGTGGTATAGTTTACAAATTGGTATAATATTGGTATTAATATTATATGTTCATTTTCGTTAATTTTTAGCTAGATTTAAAAATCTTCAAAAGAACAATGAAAAATATTATTACCACACAGATTTTTAAATTAAAATTTTTTTTCTTCGTTCATCAATAAAATCCTGTTTATAACAATTGATATTAAACTATATTTTTCTGGTTTATAATCCACATATCAAAACACATTTCCTTTAAATATTAAATAATTTCCTTTTAATTATATGTATATATTAATAATTTTCTAAATTAAGCATCTCAAAAGTTCCTCCTCATCGCCTGCTGGAAATGGCTTCAACGGTTTCTCCTCCCAAGAATCTGCTTATTTTTTAACTGACAATGTCGTTTCATGTGAAAATTTGAACATTGAAAATACCAGGGTGAATGTTGCGGAAAGCGTCAGGTGATTTTGAACTAACTTCATAGCATTTTTTGATTGTTTATTTTTATTCTTTTAGCTTTTCACAAGAATCCTTGCACACACATGACAATCTTTCAAACAAGTTAGCTAATTTTGATATAGATGTTCGATCAACTGATAAATCATGTGGCTCAAGCTCAAATAGTTTGAACAAACAGGTATATTCTTAAAGTACAAAGGCCTATAATGTCGTCAGCGCCTCACCTTTTTAGTTTATTTTCAAATTTTTAATTCTTTAAAGAATATTTTCTCACCATACTCATCACCTTTGCACCGTTACCAACCCTTACTACCTTCAACTGCGACTGTAACAGATAAAAGTCGAGGTTGTAGTAATTGCAGCACCGTTTCAACTAAATCATCACCAGTACGTCATCAACAAAATTGCAGAAAATCCAATACTAGCATTAATGGCGTCAACGCTGGAATTCAAACTCCCCTTACATTTTGCGCGAATAATGAAGGAACACAAGTATCGGCAAAATGTGTGGATCCGGTTTCCATTATTTGATATTTTATTATTTTACAGTAACTTTTATATAGGCTGCGTCGCATGATAATCAAGATTTATGCGTTCATTCGCCTATTGCGCATGTAAGAAACTTCACCGCTACGAATACAGCTAATACCGTTAAACAGCGGACACCTAGACAGGTCAACGATCAACCGATAAACGCAGCCTCAGAAGATGGTAATGAAGTTGTACGAACAAGACAATCAAGATTCAGGATGACTGATCAACAGGTGAAGGGTTAAAGTGTTAATGACAGGGAACGTGTTGTTAATCTTTAATTTTTTTAATTTTATCATGTAAAGGTCCTTAATGAACTAAAGCGAATTGTTAACAGCGGTGATCCTTTCCAGAAGTATCAACTTATTGATAAAATTGGTGTTGGCGCTACCGGTATGTAACGTTAAATTTTAAAATTGGGAACTACCATGTAAGATAATTGGGCTTGCAAATTTAATTAGCGGGTATTCGCTGAAATTACTGTTTCTATTTATAGCTTCAATCGCAAATTGATTAATTGATATTGATTAATTTAAATATATAAATAAATAGAATGAGTAACTTTTCACTTAGTTTTAAATATTAGGTAATGTTTGGACGGCTAGATGCAAATTTACTGGAGAGGTGGTCGCGGTTAAACGGATGGCATTCAAATCGCAGCCCAAAAAAGAGGTTATAATTCGTTAAATCTATCTAAAATAACTTTAAGATGTTGTTAACTGAAATCAAAGTAATGCAACAATACAAACATAAGGTTTAGAGTTTTGTTTTCCATAATATTTCTAAATCAGAATTTGGTTAACTATATTGATAGTTATCTGGTAGGCGCTGACGACTTGTGGGTAATTATGGATTTCCTCAATGTGCGTATTCTTTATTTTAATATGAGTAGCTTAAAGTATAGAATTTAAAATTATCTAACTATTATAAACTATCAAATATTGTCAATTAGGGTGGTAATCTGACTGATGTTGTTGTAAAAACGGAACTTGACGAGGGGCAAATTGCAGCTGTTTTAAAGGAATGCCTTTTGGCTTTGGATTTCCTACACAAGTAACGAAAATTTATTTCTTATTTAAACATTAATTTCTGTACATATTTTAGGCATAGCATTATCCACAGAGATATTAAATCAGACAACGTTCTTTTGGGTATGGATGGTGCTGTGAAGCTTACTGGTCCATTTGAAGCCCCTAAGTTATTATTTTAAAATTTAGATTTCGGCTTCTGTGCCCAATTGCAACCTGGATCCAAAAGGGCAACAATAATTGGTACACCATATTGGATGGCACCGGAGATTGTAAACAAAACAAAATATAACTACAAAGTGGATATATGGTCATTGGGAATCATGGCTGTTTGTTTTTTAGATTTTATTTAATATAAGTATAAATTTAAAAGTGACTAATTTTGTCTAGTTTACAAATATTTTAATTGTCATTCGGTAATTGAATTTTGTATTAAGCTAGAAATGGTTGATGGTGAACCTCCTTATCTGTCTGAAACTCCATTAAGGGTAAATTTTTGCAAATAAATAAATGTCAAATTTGCAACTTTAGGCCATTTACTTGATTGCACAAAATGGAAAGCCGGAAATTAGGAGGATGGCTGAACTTGTCAGTTATTTTTATTCAGATAACTTAAATTAGGAACATCAAATTTTCTTAAAATACACTAATTTTTCAGTCGGAAGAGTTCTTGGATTTGATAAATCGGTGTCTTTGTGTTGATCCAAATGAGCGTGCAGACACAGAAGAACTATTAAACCATCCGTTTATTGCGAGGTTTTAAAATTAGGATTAGTTGTCTCCTTTGTAACCTTAAATATTTGAAGGTCAAAATCGCTAGACTGTCTGATACCCTACATAAAGGTTGGTTCCAGTTAAAATAATTATAAGTTTTGTAATTTTTAAGGCAGTGAAAGATTTACGAAACCAATGAAGCCACTGGTTTGAAGTCCAAAAAAGGCATTACTATTTCTTTCATATTTAATTACTTGCCATGTTTATGCATATATACTAATATAATATTTATTACTATACTGATCTATTTTGAAGAAGATTGTGATTTAAAGCTAGTGTTTGGAAGCTCGTACCAAAATTCGTAGTTGTGCACGAGAAAAGGCATAAGTACGAGCAAATCGACGTGTACTTTGTTATGCAATCGCAACTTTAGTTGATCGGAATCCATTACATTACACCATTTCCTGCTTAGCCTTACGAATTATGGCTGTATGCTTTACACTTATTTCTTTGCATAAGTATATACCGTATTTATTCTAATTGAATGGCACCTCCATTTGAATGGCACCTCCAATTGAATGACACATTTTTGAATGAATGAAAAATAGAATGGCAGCCTCTATTTGAATGGCACCTCTAATAGAATGACACTTTCTAACTATAAACTACCTAACTCCTATTTCTTTATTCCCTTAATTAATTAGTTTAATATTCTTTTTTAGTATAATAGTTCCGATATTTTTGAGCATGTCTAGGGCAAAAAAGTGGTGTTTGATAGGGATATCAAGGGATGAGGATAATGAGGGATAAAAACATTTGACGAATATATCTGGTATTAAAATAAAATAACTATGGTGTGATATTTAGTAGAGATGTCCGAAACCGAAAATTTTTCAACCCCAAAGACTTGACCCCAAGACCCGAGACCAAGACTTGACTCTGAGTCTCAAGACTAGTAATTAACAATTCTCAAGACAATTTTTCGTTCATAGACAAATTTTTTGGTGATGCGTATGATCAGCGTATGATCAAGATAGGATCCTCCTCAAACTCTCGATAACCTTCCAAAACCCAATATCCCTCCCAATGTCACTTGATCCCAGTATATTTCAGGAGCAATCAGGACCTAACTGCGCAGGAAATTTCGATTTTATTGCACCTATCTAAATCAAAATTTGACTCTTAGTCCCGAGACAAAAAACTTTTGAATTTTATAGTGATACGTAAAGGAAAATTCACTATTAAAATATTGAATTTTACAAAAAAAGTTGGTCGAATTACCAATTTTCCCAATCACCCATCTCAATCTCAACAATCCCAATTCCAATTTTTGACCTATGAAAAATAGAATGGCAGCCTCCATTTGAATGGCACCTCCAATTGAATGACAATTTTTTGGGGTATTGAAAAATAGAATGGCTGACATTCTATTAGAATAAATACGGTATGTAGTTTATATAATACTTGTATGTATATCAATGCGTATTATTTTTTATCAACAAGCTTAAGAGAAGCCGTTTCAACTTATTAACTTTCATTTTAGTAGTAGTTAGCTCTGACGTAATAAATAACGGCGCTAGTTACCTTAGTGACTGTTATCGACATGCGGAACCTGGAAGCTAAGTATATATTTGTAGCTAGCTGCTATCACATTTGAGGGTGGAAGTGCTGACGTTATTCTTCAACAACAGCAGCCAATTACATCCCCCTATGCATAATTCAAAGGCATTCTTACTAATGCGCATTGCCGATTGCCGTTAAGAAATAATAAAAATTAGGGCATTAACAAACAATTTGATGTGTAACCACTGAACTACATATACCTACGTAGTATCAGTTACATTACTATATATCACACTGAAATCGAAAAAACCAAATTATGTTGAATACATATTCCCTTATCCAACATCAAATTGACACCAAAAGATAAACTAGATTTTGCTTGCGTTTTAATGTCACATGGCCCGTGCTTTTTCCAAATCACTATTTCTCGTAAAGATTTATAAAAATATTTTTTACTTTTTAGTATCAACTTTCAATTTAGCACACAAAGCTTTTTACTTTGTTTTTCACCCGCATGTCATGTCCAATTTATGTTAAAAATTTACTGTTAAATACATATTTGTATCCACATCTAACAATGTTCTATATTATACAATCCCGATGTTATCCTATAAAAAATAGTTAAAAACTAGAAACTAGTCAGCTATTTCCATATACTTACATATAGATACATCCATAATATATCTTTATAGGAGGGAGTACGTTTCTTCCTGGTCTAAATACAGCAGCTTTTTGCTTTTTAGCTATCGATTTACTTATGCACTGTCCTAGAGTCTTCCCATTTTTAAAAAATACATCCCGACGTGTGGATACGTCAAGCATATACAGAGATGGGAAACACTAAAAAGCCAGTAAACTGCAACTGCTTCTTTCATAGCGTTATTACCATAACTAAAGGGTGGATGCTTGCCCCCAGAATATTTTTCGATATCCGAGCGCTCTGAATTTGGGTTTAATGTTTGTAAATGGAATTTGGGGCAATATTTACGTAAGATTTATTGCGCATACAACAGCTTACTGTAAATTTTTGTTACTAAAGTTTTTGTTTTAAATAGTCCCTGATAGTCCCTAAATTTATTGCAAGTAATTTCTTAGTGGCGTTTTCTTTTATCATATTTACCCTCGCTTAAGTCTCGGTTGAACGACCATCAACTTAACTATTCTCGACACTTCTTACCCTTTTCAAAATAAATTTGTCCTAACGCATTTAAACCTGCAGACAAAAAAGCAGTAGCGTTCTCTGACATACTACATACTATCTCAGCATTCTACATACATTCTCACTCGCTGTGATTTGAAAAAAGAAAAGTGAAAGGTGGCTGTGGCAAACTTTCACTGACATCGATTGATTGAGCTCATAACGGTCTTTACAAACAGCAGCTGAAACCATTATACACTTTTGCTGCACTTATCCTTTTTAACCTAACATCAATACAAAATCAACAACATATGAGTAGGCTGTCACGCTTTATTAATTACTAACAACCTTAGTCAAGAGATTAACTTCTAACACATCGATAATTGTAAGAAATTTTATATTTGTACTATAATTATTACCTTATTGATCGTCAATAACTGAAATCTAACTGAAATTTTTAGGATAACTAATTTTTTTGTATCTTAAGTCTAACTGCTTTACATTAGCAGAATTGCTTCATGGCCTCAGCGGCTACTGATTCATCTGCAGTTGCAACAAATGCTTCTGCAAGTGGGGCAAACTCACCAACAAGTGCAGCGCAAACCTCAATTGCAGCCGTTAGGCGTCCACAACCGACACATTCAACTACAGAGAGAGTAATAAAATGTTAGTTATATTTATTTTTTAATGTTACGAGTGGGCATTTTAATGTTACGAGTGGCCTAAAACTTAATTTTTGAATCCCGGGTACCTTAAGTCGCTATCTAATTTTTAAATATTTCTAGCTGTTCAATTCCCTATCAGTGAAAGATTGACACTTGACGAAGTCTATGATCGGAGAACGGGTAAACCGCGAGGTGATCTTCTTAAAGAACATTTCATCAAAGAAGGACGAATAGAGGAAGAGGCTGCGTTACGAATTATTAATGGCAACCTCTGCATAGTTTTTTAGAATTATCTTTTCTTTCTTAGAGTGCACTGCATTGTTTCGGCAAGAAAAAACTATGCTAGATATTGAGGCACCGGTCACGGTGTGCGGAGATATTCACGGCCAGTTCTATGATCTTATGAAGCTTTTTGAAGTTGGAGGGTCACCTGCAGCAACAAAATACTTGGTTAATTTTTTTTATTTTTTAATAATACAAAACTTTTTTGGGTCAGATTAAGCATTTAATTATCTTTAGTATTAAGCAAAACTCCCTAAACGTACATAGATTTTTCTTTTTCAGTTTCTGGGTGATTATGTTGATCGTGGTTATTTCAGTATAGAATGTGTACTTTACCTTTGGGCACTAAAAATATCCTATCCTTCAACACTGTTTTTATTGCGCGGAAACCATGAATGTCGTCATTTAACTGAATACTTCACCTTCAAACAGGCAAATAATTTTCTATTAAGAAAATTTTATTTGTAAATTTATCACATACAGGAATGTAAAATAAAGTATTCCGAAAGTGTTTATGATGCTTGTATGGAATCTTTTGACGCTCTTCCTTTAGCTGCTTTAATGAATCAACAATTTTTGTGCGTACATGGAGGTCTCTCACCCGAAATTCATACTCTTGACGATATAAAGAAGGTTGCCATTTATTTTAATCTCATTTTTATGTAGCAGAAGACTATGTTATTTAAATTAAAAAGCAAATTATAACAGTTGGATCGCTTTAAAGAGCCACCAGCTTTTGGGCCAATGTGTGATCTTTTATGGTCTGACCCACTCGAGGATTTTGGTAATGAGCGAAATTCAGAACAATTCTCTCACAATTCCGTACGTGGGTGCTCATACTTCTACAGGTATTTGCCTTTATTAAGAGTTTAAAGTAACCAAGGTTAATTTTTACCATTAGTTATTCTGCTTGTTGCGATTTTCTTCAACATAATAATCTCCTCTCAATCATTCGTGCACATGAAGCACAGGATGCCGGATATAGAGTATCGAATAATTTAATCTATTTTGTGTATATTTATTAATTTAGATGTACAGAAAGTCGCAAGCCACCGGATTTCCGTCGCTTATAACTATTTTCAGTGCTCCCAACTATTTGGATGTATACAATAATAAAGGTTTAATAATAAGTTAAAATTGCTGATTTATGTACTATAGCTGCCATCCTCAAGTACGAGAACAATGTTATGAACATACGTCAATTCAACTGTTCTCCTCATCCTTACTGGCTGCCTAACTTTATGGACGTATTTAGTACGTTTATTTAAGATTCGTTCGTTAAGGAATTTTAGGCTGATATATTATTTAAATTTCAGTTCAACATATTGTAAAATAATATTTAATAAACAATTTTGTTTTAGCATGGTCTTTGCCATTTGTCGGGGAGAAAGGTTCGTTTAATCGTTGTTTGAATAGATGTGATTTTTTAAATTACTTTTCTTCCATTTCAGTAACAGAAATGCTTGTACATATTCTAAACATTTGTTCTGACGATGAGTTGATGGCTGAAGGAGATGATACATTCGAAGGTTGGTACAGGCCTATTATTTAAGCAGTTAAACGCTTTAAGCTACTAATAGGTATTCATTCAAGTTTAATTTTCGAGAAATACATTTAAAATATTCCATTGGGGAAGTTTTAATTTGTAATTTAATCTGTTAGACTTAGAAAAAATAAATTTTGATGTGAAGTTTGTGCATGAATATGTTTTTAGTTGATTCACTTATCTCACAAACAGCAACATGTTTTTATTATCTTGCCGAGTGAAACGTTTTGTTTGTTATCCCTTTTTATGTTTTGTGCTTATTTAATGTCATTGTCTCCTGTATAATACTAAAAATTAACAGTTAATAAGTACGATTTCTCCATATTTATGTTTTATTGTTTGTTAAATTTAATCAAGATATAATTTTTGCTAACTTAATTCCTTATATTTTTAGTTGCTATTTTTACTGTGTTTGTGGGGCGATCATTTTAAGGCAATTCTTCAAAATTCGAAATTCGTTTTGTTAAGATAGGAAAAGTTGATTTTTAAATTTATTTTTATAAATTTTTGATCCATTAATATTTCTTGACGTTTCATTCGGCATTTCCCTTCGAATTTATTAAAGTTGCTGATTGTGGGTGTGAATCAATCCATAATTATGCAATCACAATTGCATTTCATACACATGCACTTTCATACCAAGATAGTTGTGAATAACTTTTTAATTATTTTGTTATTAATATTACTAGTTAAAAGCTAGGTAAGCATTAAGATATAAGAATAGACATACACATAAGGAAAATTGAAAATTTTGTAAACAAATTTTTGGTTTATTTTTATTATTGGTTTATCTAACATTTTACTATTTTATGCATTGATCTTATGCAGGAACCGAAGGTGGGCAATCAAATAGCTCATTTTCCTTTTTGGTTTTAGTTTTTATTTTGCTTTTTGGCCTTTTATTTTTTTAATTCCTTGTTTTTGCTTGATCTATTTTTTGCTTTAAGTATTTGTTCGGGCATTAAATTTTATTTTCTTCATTCTAGAACTAAAAAATGATCGCCTCACTAAATTTATTACGATTTGGTTATCAAATATTAAGTTTACTAAAGCTGATAATTTTAAAAACATTTTATAGTCGACTAATAATTTCACTATTTTTGCAGTGAACTTATGTACATTTTCTAACAATTTATTTATAATATTAGCTCTGTTTATTACTAAAAAAGATTGGAAATTTTTGCTTTGAGTCTGTTTCTGTTTTATATTTCTTTTTGCTTCGGGAATTTTTTTGCAGTTTTCCATAAGCTTTTGTTCTTCTATTTTCCCTTTAATTTAGGTGGAATGCCTTCAACGCGGAAAGAAATAATTAGGCATAAAATCCGAGCTATTGGAAAAATGGCACGAACATTTTCTGTACTGAGGTTTTGCATTATTTCTGCATTTAAATAAAACACTTCAAATGATTTTTAGGGAAGAGAGTGAGACAGTACTCCAACTTAAAGGCCTAACTCCAACTGGTTCGTTGCCGCTAGGCGTTCTTTCAGGAGGAAAACCGGCAATCCATCAAGGTATTATCTTAGAAAAATCTCTGCTATCTATTTGAACAATTGTAACCCTAAATCGATTAGACGATTTAACTTTTCAGCACTAAAATGCAGCAATGACCCACAGCATCCGATAAAGTCGTTTGAGGATGCCAAGAAGTTGGATCAAATCAACGAACGAATGCCACCATCAATGGCAACTGCAGCTACTGGTTCAATAGCGTCATCACAAAGTGGAAGCAGGGAAGCATCACCGCGTCGACCTAATTCTACGTCAAGCGCAACCAGTTTTAAGCCTGGCGGTTAATATGAAGTACATACTATAGAAACCTAAGGTAAACTGACAATAACGTTAAAACTGCCAGAATACAGTTCTTTATTCGATAGTTGTCACACTTGATTCGAAAAACATCTTTTGTCTGTTCCATCTGCCCGGTTTACTAATGTCTACAATATATTTTGAAAAAGCATTTGCGGGATGGGCTGCTGTAATTTTATTTCTTTTCGAATTCCAAAGGACGTTTTTATGCGTTTAAAAATACTTATCTCGTATATTTTTTGTAACATGAATATATCTAAATATTTCATCAGTCATCTTTAATAACTAGCTAATTGATACTTTAAATGTTTATCCCTTTATTGTTTTTCACATTTTATTTCTTACTGTTATCATACATTAATGTTCGGCTTAAAATTTTAACAGTAAAATAACGCACTATTAGATCATTTAAAGCTGTTAATCTTTTAGAATATGAAAATCTTAGAACAATTGACAATTTGTCAATTTTCTGGAAAATTTCTGCAAACACCAGTTACGGAACTGAAATCTCATTTATTCCACGTTAAACTTATTTTTCTTCTTGGATTTGGTTAAAATTAGGGATTTGGACTTACATCAACCCGTTTAATAGAAAATAACTGGTTTATTACTAATTAAATTTTTATCCACATGAGATATGCCTACTTTTTGCTACTATTTTTTAAGAATCAGCTCTAGCATTTACCATATATAAGTTAATCTAACTAAAAATTAATATAAAGAAGCGCTCAGGGATGAAAGCACGAAGGAATGGTCATCAAAGTAAAAATATCCAAAAAAACATGAGCTAAAAACATGAACTAAGCAGCAATTTAAAATTTATATAAGCTCAAGAAAGCGCCCAACCGGTTGGTAATCCAATTACGTTTATTAAATCTGGATTGCGCTTTAAAATTGCTTATAAAGTTGCACAAAAAATGACCGTGTAAAGCATATAAGAGCACTCGACATTATTCATCTTCCCATTCAGTAATTCGTCTCCATGCAAGAATATTTTTACTGTGAAAAATCAAATTCACATGGTCATCGAAATTTGTTTTAAAAATTAGTTAAAAATAAAGATATGTGCATTATACGAATGCCATATTGAAAATTATCAAAACATGATAAGTTATGCTAAACATTTTTTCGACGATACACGTATTAGGATAAATTATATTTAAATTTTTCTATAGAGATTAGAAAACTAATTTATGTTGCGAATAACAGCTTTGCTTTTAATTGCTCTTTTGTGTTTGGAAATGGTCAATAGCTGTGGATTTCCAATGCCCGCTCCTGCTCCAACAATGTGTTGTTGCGGCGGTGGTGGTGGCGGTGGATGTGGACGCAGGAAGCGCGCAGTTCAACCACATTTCAAAGGTTCAGAGATTCCTTGCCCACAGGTATCAAAATTAAATTCAAAAGAAACAAAATGCGAAATTTGCTTTTAGATTGAATGGAAGCGAATAGTTGAAAAGGTATGGTTTAAACATAAAATTGATATAAAAAACAGTTATACAATTATAATTTACATAGTAGTAACCACATGTACAGATAACTGAAAATAATTAAATGCCTTTTATGTAGTTAGGTGTATTTTCTCTGTGCATTTGTTACACTTGCATGATACGATTTAATCATGCATTTCTGTGCATTTGTTACACTTGCATGATACGATTTAAGAATTGTGATACATTTAATAAAGCATCTCGTTTTAACAATATTTACAGTATTTTTGTTTCAGGCTATTATTGAAAATGTGGGAAAAGAAATGACAACTAACGCTATTCAAAGTGCAATGAATATTCGCTTTCCGGACCATAAGTTCATTGTTACATGTGCATCATTGCATAATTCAAATGTCATTGATGGGAAAAGTATCGCCATAAAAGGAGTGAAAATAGAAGAGATGGTAACCTTCATTTCAGCAGGGGACGGATACTGTAATCTTATGGATAAAGGAAAATGGTGCCAAGTAGTGGCTTTGAGTGCTTAAAAAAGAATTTCAAATGGATAAATAAAAAGAACCGATAGATTTCGTCTATAACTTATAAAAAATCTGTGTTTAAAAATGAAAAATAAAAGTTATATTAATAATGTCACATAATTAGATAATATCATGCAGCCAAGTAAATAAAGATAGGATAAAAGGCTGATTAATTAGATTTTATCGATTATCTCATCGTAATTAAATTTTGAAAAAAGTTTCGACACAGATCTGTGTTAAATAAATCTGTTGTTGTTTTTACAAGTACGAGTAATTTTTATAAAACAGTTCTAAAATAATTTTACAAAGAAAGAGGCATTTAGGATGAATATCGTGGGATAATCAGCCATGGGTGGCTCAGTAGGAACACCCAAGTTTCTGAAAGTCAAATCCCTCGTTATATTCTATTTTCAAAAAATATCCTCTCCACAGGATCAGGCTTTCATACCTGCCAGTTATATCCAAAGGCACGGGTTCTTATTCAATAGGTGTAGACAGTAGGGCACTAGGCATAGGCTTCCTTAGACGTTGACCTAGACTTTGACCTTTGAATTACCCCCCCCCTTCCGGACCCAAATGTCCAATGATCAATTGTCCCAATGATCAATTGTCAAGTGATCAATTGTCCCAGTAACCAAATGTCCAATGATCAATTGTCAAGTGATCAATTGTCCCAATGACCAAATGTCCAATGATCAATTGTCCAGTGATCAATTGTCCCAATGATCAATTGTCCAGTGATCAATTGTCCCAATGATCAATTGTCCCAGTGACCAAATGTCCCAATGACCAAATGTCCAGTGATCAATTGTCCCTGACTGTCCCACACTAAAAATCCCACACTGAAAATCTGGCACCAAAAATGACCGACCCCCCTTTTTCAAAAATCCTCTCCATAGGATCATGCTTTCATACCTCCCAGTTATATCCAAAGGCACGGGTTCTTATTCAATAGGTGTAGACAGTAGGGCACTAGGCATAGGCTTCCTTAGACGTTGACCTAGACTTTGACCTTTGAATTACCCCCCCCCCCTTCCGGACCCAAATGTCCAATGATCAATTGTCCCAATGATCAATTGTCAAGTGATCAATTGTCCCAGTAACCAAATGTCCAATGATCAATTGTCAAGTGATCAATTGTCCCAATGACCAAATGTCCAATGATCAATTGTCCAGTGATCAATTGTCCCAATGATCAATTGTCCAGTGATCAATTGTCCCAATGATCAATTGTCCCAGTGACCAAATGTCCCAATGACCAAATGTCCAGTGATCAATTGTCCCTGACTGTCCCACACTAAAAATCCCACACTGAAAATCTGGCACCAAAAATGACCGACCCCCCTTTTTCAAAAATCCTCTCCATAGGATCATGCTTTCATACCTCCCAGTTATATCCAAAGGCACGGGTTCTTATTCAATAGGTGTAGACAGTAGGGCACTAGGCATAGGCTTCCTTAGACGTTGACCTAGACTTTGACCTTTGAATTACCCCCCCCCCTTCCGGACCCAAATGTCCAATGATCAATTGTCCCAATGATCAATTGTCAAGTGATCAATTGTCCCAGTAACCAAATGTCCAATGATCAATTGTCAAGTGATCAATTGTCCCAATGACCAAATGTCCAATGATCAATTGTCCAGTGATCAATTGTCCCAATGATCAATTGTCCAGTGATCAATTGTCCCAATGATCAATTGTCCCAGTGACCAAATGTCCCAATGACCAAATGTCCAGTGATCAATTGTCCCTGACTGTCCCACACTAAAAATCCCACACTGAAAATCTGGCACCAAAAATGACCGACCCCCCTTTTTCAAAAATCCTCTCCATAGGATCATGCTTTCATACCTCCCAGTTATATCCAAAGGCACGGGTTCTTATTCAATAGGTGTAGACAGTAGGGCACTAGGCATAGGCTTCCTTAGACGTTGACCTAGACTTTGACCTTTGAATTACCCCCCCCCCTTCCGGACCCAAATGTCCAATGATCAATTGTCCCAATGATCAATTGTCAAGTGATCAATTGTCCCAGTAACCAAATGTCCAATGATCAATTGTCAAGTGATCAATTGTCCCAATGACCAAATGTCCAATGATCAATTGTCCAGTGATCAATTGTCCCAATGATCAATTGTCCAGTGATCAATTGTCCCAATGATCAATTGTCCCAGTGACCAAATGTCCCAATGACCAAATGTCCAGTGATCAATTGTCCCTGACTGTCCCACACTAAAAATCCCACACTGAAAATCTGGCACCAAAAATGACCGACCCCCCTTTTTCAAAAATCCTCTCCATAGGATCATGCTTTCATACCTCCCAGTTATATCCAAAGGCACGGGTTCTTATTCAATAGGTGTAGACAGTAGGGCACTAGGCATAGGCTTCCTTAGACGTTGACCTAGACTTTGACCTTTGAATTACCCCCCCCCCTTCCGGACCCAAATGTCCAATGATCAATTGTCCCAATGATCAATTGTCAAGTGATCAATTGTCCCAGTAACCAAATGTCCAATGATCAATTGTCAAGTGATCAATTGTCCCAATGACCAAATGTCCAATGATCAATTGTCCAGTGATCAATTGTCCCAATGATCAATTGTCCAGTGATCAATTGTCCCAATGATCAATTGTCCCAGTGACCAAATGTCCCAATGACCAAATGTCCAGTGATCAATTGTCCCTGACTGTCCCACACTAAAAATCCCACACTGAAAATCTGGCACCAAAAATGACCGACCCCCCTTTTTCAAAAATCCTCTCCATAGGATCATGCTTTCATACCTCCCAGTTATATCCAAAGGCACGGGTTCTTATTCAATAGGTGTAGACAGTAGGGCACTAGGCATAGGCTTCCTTAGACGTTGACCTAGACTTTGACCTTTGAATTACCCCCCCCCCTTCCGGACCCAAATGTCCAATGATCAATTGTCCCAATGATCAATTGTCAAGTGATCAATTGTCCCAGTAACCAAATGTCCAATGATCAATTGTCAAGTGATCAATTGTCCCAATGACCAAATGTCCAATGATCAATTGTCCAGTGATCAATTGTCCCAATGATCAATTGTCCAGTGATCAATTGTCCCAATGATCAATTGTCCCAGTGACCAAATGTCCCAATGACCAAATGTCCAGTGATCAATTGTCCCTGACTGTCCCACACTAAAAATCCCACACTGAAAATCTGGCACCAAAAATGACCGACCCCCCTTTTTCAAAAATCCTCTCCATAGGATCATGCTTTCATACCTCCCAGTTATATCCAAAGGCACGGGTTCTTATTCAATAGGTGTAGACAGTAGGGCACTAGGCATAGGCTTCCTTAGACGTTGACCTAGACTTTGACCTTTGAATTACCCCCCCCCCTTCCGGACCCAAATGTCCAATGATCAATTGTCCCAATGATCAATTGTCAAGTGATCAATTGTCCCAGTAACCAAATGTCCAATGATCAATTGTCAAGTGATCAATTGTCCCAATGACCAAATGTCCAATGATCAATTGTCCAGTGATCAATTGTCCCAATGATCAATTGTCCAGTGATCAATTGTCCCAATGATCAATTGTCCCAGTGACCAAATGTCCCAATGACCAAATGTCCAGTGATCAATTGTCCCTGACTGTCCCACACTAAAAATCCCACACTGAAAATCTGGCACCAAAAATGACCGACCCCCCTTTTTCAAAAATCCTCTCCATAGGATCATGCTTTCATACCTCCCAGTTATATCCAAAGGCACGGGTTCTTATTCAATAGGTGTAGACAGTAGGGCACTAGGCATAGGCTTCCTTAGACGTTGACCTAGACTTTGACCTTTGAATTACCCCCCCCCCTTCCGGACCCAAATGTCCAATGATCAATTGTCCCAATGATCAATTGTCAAGTGATCAATTGTCCCAGTAACCAAATGTCCAATGATCAATTGTCAAGTGATCAATTGTCCCAATGACCAAATGTCCAATGATCAATTGTCCAGTGATCAATTGTCCCAATGATCAATTGTCCAGTGATCAATTGTCCCAATGATCAATTGTCCCAGTGACCAAATGTCCCAATGACCAAATGTCCAGTGATCAATTGTCCCTGACTGTCCCACACTAAAAATCCCACACTGAAAATCTGGCACCAAAAATGACCGACCCCCCTTTTTCAAAAATCCTCTCCATAGGATCATGCTTTCATACCTCCCAGTTATATCCAAAGGCACGGGTTCTTATTCAATAGGTGTAGACAGTAGGGCACTAGGCATAGGCTTCCTTAGACGTTGACCTAGACTTTGACCTTTGAATTACCCCCCCCCCTTCCGGACCCAAATGTCCAATGATCAATTGTCCCAATGATCAATTGTCAAGTGATCAATTGTCCCAGTAACCAAATGTCCAATGATCAATTGTCAAGTGATCAATTGTCCCAATGACCAAATGTCCAATGATCAATTGTCCAGTGATCAATTGTCCCAATGATCAATTGTCCAGTGATCAATTGTCCCAATGATCAATTGTCCCAGTGACCAAATGTCCCAATGACCAAATGTCCAGTGATCAATTGTCCCTGACTGTCCCACACTAAAAATCCCACACTGAAAATCTGGCACCAAAAATGACCGACCCCCCTTTTTCAAAAATCCTCTCCATAGGATCATGCTTTCATACCTCCCAGTTATATCCAAAGGCACGGGTTCTTATTCAATAGGTGTAGACAGTAGGGCACTAGGCATAGGCTTCCTTAGACGTTGACCTAGACTTTGACCTTTGAATTACCCCCCCCCCTTCCGGACCCAAATGTCCAATGATCAATTGTCCCAATGATCAATTGTCAAGTGATCAATTGTCCCAGTAACCAAATGTCCAATGATCAATTGTCAAGTGATCAATTGTCCCAATGACCAAATGTCCAATGATCAATTGTCCAGTGATCAATTGTCCCAATGATCAATTGTCCAGTGATCAATTGTCCCAATGATCAATTGTCCCAGTGACCAAATGTCCCAATGACCAAATG